TACCAAAAGGTAAATGGCAGCATCTGAATACAGGTCGGTAGGATAACTGAGTCAGTCTCAAAGATGCACACCTCAACATTTTTACATTTCTTTGAGTTGAGAGCAACCATTAACAACATTTGACAACAGTATTGGAAACTAACTTTGGGGCCAGATTCTAATTGCCTAAGAATACAGATAATTTTAGTAAAGATCATCTCTCTGAGACTTCTTTATAAAAGTTTTTTTGGTCTGTAAAATAAGGATAATAGCCACTATAAAAAAATAACGTGAAAATTAAATGAGGCAATAGTGGAAAGAGCTTGGACCATGGTGGGCATTCAATCTATCCCTGGTTGCTGAAGCCCTGGTGGGTAATGATTACTATCTCATAAGCACAAAAAAACTCCTCTCCTGAAACAAAGGGTGGGTTGGTGCAGTATTAAGATCCTTTGCAATACTAGATCTTATTTGGGCTTTCTTAGAAGCTACTTGACTAACACAAAAACTTTATGCTGCCTACATATTTCCCAATATTCACAAATTATTCACCACTGTTTATGTAAATCTGGGCCCAGTGAGTTAATTCTTTACGCTGAATCTATTTCTTAGAAAAACCTTCCAACCATATATATAACACTTGTTCTGAGGCACTGGAAGGCTGGCCTCAGGCAATTCAGAAATATATTTATCTCCATCTAATAGAAGCTGCTTATAACAATGTAATTTTGCTTTCTCAGCAATGCTTTTTCTCTCTGCCTAACCTCCTCCTTTTTTCCCACACAAAAAACCTTCTGCTCCATCTGGCTTTTCTCCTGTGCCCAGAGACACTTGTGTCCCAAACACAAGAGAAATTAGCACTGCCAGGAATATGTATAGGCAAGAAAACACATAACTCGCTCTGCAAAGATCAAACCTGTACTTGTCTTTTATTTCACGCCACTTAACTTCTTCACAGGCTAATTTCCAAACTTCTGAAGCTAGCGTGTATATAAAGACTATTTGTACAGTATTCTCCCTTTATCTAGTATATTGAACAAATTAAGATTAGAACTTTTAAACCACTATTATATAGATGTTTTCCAGAAACACTCTTGATTGTTTGATACTAAAATATGTAGGATTTCTTCTCTGAAGATTAATGACCATATTTTATATGATCAAAGGGAAGGAAATGGCAAAAGGCAGGGTCTTAGAAACTAAGTTATTTGTCACCTGGGAGTCAGATAATAAAACAATGCAAATGTTGTATTTAATGTGGGTAGTCTTTCCGTAAGAAGTATAATCTATTTGGCATGCAGCAGACACCTGTAATTACTTTCAGCCATTCATAGATGCTGGCTTCCATTGAAGTATTCTCTGAGTGTAGAACAACTTTCCTTCTCAGAGTTTTAGTACCAAGAACCAAGACCTGTTTATGCATCTCTTTCTACAGTATAGGTTTCTTGGCAAACGGGTTCTACCCTAAGAAGGGCTTCAAGTGCAGGGAGCCCCCCTGTTCAATGGAAACCAGGGTTGCTGCTTCACAGGTGCTGTACCCAGCAGTTTATTTCAGTATTTTATTTCAGCTCACTTCTGACTTGGAAAACATTGATAGCCTTAGAACAACAGAATGTTGCCATTAGAAACCTAGCTCAAGGCCTATTTTACAAATTCAAATAAAAACCAAAGGCCAAGACTTATCTAGTCTCATACCCATTCAATATTGAAACTCAGCTTGAAACATACCACTTACGTTTTGTGAGTATAATTTAATGTGGTTTATTTTAAAGAGAATTAGAGCGAAGTACTTAAAAATGGTGTTGGTGATACTATACTGTAAGTAGCATGTTGGGTGAGAGTAGTTCATACATTAGCTATTATACAAAAGAACAACTGCATTCCTTATACACGTCTTCACAAACTGGGAATTAGGGCATGAATATCTTTGTGAGCCATTATTATGCTTACTGTAAGAAAAAGGTGCAAGATAAGCATTTTTTTAATACCCACCTTATCCCTAGAAAAATTAATATAATTTAAATATGTTTTTATAATAAGCATTACATACAGGGAAAGTATATGGTGAAGAATGAAGCCCAAAATAAACTTTTTTTAAATGATTTGAACCCTCATGACATGACAATTATTTCAACAGTCCAGTGATATAATATGAAATCCAACTCTTGTTTTGGTGGATACTCCAGCTTCAGTCATCATTCTGTTGGTGCCGTTTCCCTTCCCTAAAACAGGTATTTTCAATTCTAAGTTTATAATTAATAAGAAAAAATATTTCAAATGTTTCATAACAGTTCTTGTTAAAGAGATACTAACCTTTATTTTCCTACTTCAAAACATTTTGAGGTCTAAAGTTAGTTTAGCACTTATAAAAACATGGTTGTATAGGGTATTTAGGCATACTAGGATTTAAAATACTGCTATTCAAAAAGTTTCTAATCCAAAAGAACGAAAAACTCACTATTGTAGCATAGGGACAGCTAGACACCATGAATGGTCTGGAGTTACAACAGATCTTATATGACTAACTACATTTTCTAAACCAAAAATGAGGCACATACTCTAAATGAGGGAATTTTTGGACTTTCATTTCATCTATATAAAAAGTCTTTAAAAACACAAGTGGAAACATTATTGTACCTGTATAATATATACAAATATATCTTTTTAATGTACAAAAATAGAAACAAAACAAAAAAAACCTCTCCTGCAAACTGAGGGTCAATTTATAACCAGCAGCTGAGTGCTATACCTTACAACAAGCAGCATGGCAGCCTGAGACTTTTTCTAGCCATTAACAACTAAAGTGAGGGAAAGGAAGACCTGTAGAGAGACAAGAGTCAACCTTGTCAAAACAAAGTTTCTACATTTTTTAATGTGCCATGACAAAAAGGAATCTGCAAGCCACATTCACTCATACTCCAAAATATACTTCATTTTTGTGTTCCTATAAAACTTTCCCAAAGCAGGTATCAAACTTTTCATGCAGCAACCAAATATGTATGCCTTCATATTCATACATTACAAACTAGTACATATTTACCTAATGTTTTATACTGTTTCAAATAACCACATCTTTTAATTCCCTTAATGCATTTCTATCTAATCCTGTTCTGTAGAGAATTCTAAATTAAAGGAAGTTTAATAGCTCCTTTTTGTAAAGTGAAAAGAGAGCACAGCATTTTAGATTGCTTTTTCCTGACCAGAAATTAAAAGGGACACTTCATAAAAAATGACAAGTGACCCCAAACAAACACATTGTGTTCCAAAAGTTTACTTGGAAGCTGAAACATGTTTTTCCCATGGGAAATTATCAGATGCCAAACGAGTGTATAAATATCTAATTAATCAATAATAAAAAATGGATAAAAATAGCAGAAAATTCACTACAATTCCCAAACAAAATATAACGAAAGTATGAAATACTAATATGGAAATTAAATACTGGTCCTTCAGGAAACAATTTTTAATCTAATTTGTCTAATTAAACTTATGTATAGAGCCAGGCACTGGCTCATGTCTGTAATCCCAGCACTTTGGGAGGCCAAGGCAGGTGGATCACCTGAGGTTGGGAGTTTGAGACTGGCCTGACCAACATGGAGAAACCTCGTCTCTATTAAAAATACAAAAAAATTAGCTGGGTGTGGTGGTGCGTGGCTGTAATCCTAGCTACCCAAGAGGCTGAGGCAGGAGAATCACTTGAACCTAGGAGGCGGAGATTGTGGTGAGCCAAGATTACGTCATTGCACTCCAGCCTGAGCAACAAGAGCGAAACTCCGTCTTAAAAAAATAATGATAATAAAACAAAACAAAAAAAATCACAAAAAAACCTTTAAACTTCCAAAAGAAATTCTGGCTACTGTTTTAGAGTTTCTGGAATCTTATAACACTGATTCATCTTGAATTTCCTTTGCTTTAGGCATATTGTTTAACACCATTCACCTTTATTAATTAGTATTAAATGACAATGTTAAGAACACTTAGCTTAGCTCTGGCACAAAGTAAGCTCTGTAAAAATTATGTGAGTAGAAATGATCTGAGGCTCACGGTAACTGGGCAGTGGTAATTTGACAAGAAGGCAACGAAAGTTAAGAGAGAATGTGTGCACATAAATGCAAAAAAGAATGACCTGAGACAGCATCAACTCAGGTGTTTTTCTAACCCTCCAGTCTAGAAAAACCTGCATTTGAGGTCTCTGGAAGGCAGAATTTGGCAAGGAAGTCAAAAACCCTTTGATTATGGTCCTGAAGCAAAGGGTAATCTTGTGAAGCAAGTGACACTCCAGAAAACAGATGAAGGGCAAGAACTGAATACAAAGCATTTAGGTGGATGGAGCCAACCCATTCTGGAAGAAAAAGCTGAAGTGTTCTCCTGAGGAAATAGGAGCATGGAGACGAGGGCTACGCAGGCAGTCTTTTGAAGTGCATCTGTGGCTAAGTCTGTGGACCAGGTTGTTAAAATCACTGAATCAGATTGACAGTTATGAAGATAAGGAAGAAATGAGCAGAGAATGGCATGTGTTGAACCTTGCTGAAGAAATAAAGGGAAGAATCATCATTGGAGTAATATAGTAGTTTGAAAATCTGAATAAACATTAGGATTTCTTTGGCATACTTTTAAAATGCAGAGTCCTAGGCCTGTCCCCATCCTTAAAGATTCTGATTGCATAGGTATGAATGATTATAATGTTCAGACAGATTTGGGAAATACCAGATCAAAGTTCAGTTCAATTATTAACCTCTGAAGTACAACTATAGAATATTATCAATTTATATTATCTTAAAAAGTAACATCCTGACGCCACTGCTTTTGAAAAGTAACATACATAAATCATATAACCACAAATTTTCTGTGCAATAAATAATATACGTAAATGTCTGAAAATATTTTTTAAAACCACAAATCCAAAGTGACTTTCTTCAAATATGTAAAGAGCTTAAAAAATAGATAACTGTGCTTTCAAGTTTTAAAATTTGAAATTTAGAAATTATGTCTGATATTGATATTATAAAGAAAACAAGACACTGTATTTTTGTTTTATTTCAGAAAGTTCAAGTCTTTCCATCATAATTGAAGGAATTGCATGATCAATTAATTATCAGCATTATTTTCCATTAATGTTTTTAAATGCATTCACACACTTCAGTGTTTGGAATTATATAAACATATCCATTAGAGTCTAGACTCATCAACATTTATATTATGCTTTTTCAACAGAATTTGAGATGAATCACTAGATAAATAGGTTACAAGATTATCTGGATTTTATGATGAGTTGGTTTGCCGAACTTTAGAATTCATAGGAGGAATTAAATCTTTGAATTTGATTTTTAACAAAAGAAAATTGTGCATTGTGCTAATCTACTTTTGCATATTACATAGAAAATGGCTATTAAGGCTTTATTGTAAGGGATTACAGTAAAAGATATTCTATTGTGCACCATGCAAGATGCAGAAAATAATGGTTTACAAATAATGTTAAGCAACCAAGGCAATAATGGTTTTCCTTTCATTCTGGTTTTCCCAAATTTTTTTTTTTTTTTTTTTTTTTCAGATTAAAATCAGGTTTGGAGTTAACGGAAAATTGCATTCCTAACTTAAAAACTTCAACTTCTTTAGATTCCTTTAGAAAAGGAATAAATATAGTTTAAAAAACGTTGCTTTGGGAAGAAGTCTTGATTCATTGCTTCATTCTTACAGCTTTTTCTTTGCTTCCTTACTAAAATAATCCAATGTTATTGTGAGGACAATCTCTGATTCAGTTCCAATGCTCTTGTATCTCCATGAGTTTTGGCATTATTTACCAGCACCTATGGGAAATCACATACAGGAACATTAGCATTTTGTTTATTAACAATATCTGTATTTTGATTCATTGAAGCCAAGTAACCCAAGAGTGGCAGTCTTGAAAAGGCAACATTAAACTACACTAGGAAAAGTGACTCTGTGCAGTCTTTCAGTCACTTTTGCAGATATAAATTGTTCAAACAAAGCTAACATCAGAGAGATGCACAATTCATTCAAATTAGTATAGATGCCAACATTCCGCTTTTTTTTTTTTTTTTGAGACGGTGTCTCGCTCTGTCACCCAGGCTGGAGTGCAGTCGTGCAATCTCGGCTCACTGCAACCTCCGCTTCCCAGGTTCGAGAGATTCTTCCACCTCAGCCTTCCAAGTAGCTGGGATTACAGGCGCCCACCACCATGCCTGGCTAATTTTTGTATTTTTAGTAGACATGGGGTTTCACCATGTTGGCCAGAGGCTGGTCTCAAACTTCTGACCTCAAGTGATCTGCTGGCCTTGGTCTCCCAAAGTGCTGGGATTACAGGGGTGAGTCACTGTGCCCAGCCTGATTGCTATCATTATCAGCACTGTATAAAATTAAAGGTTTTGTTTGTTGGCTTTGTTAATAATACCATCACCTCTAAACGGTATTATAACGTCACCTCTAAAAAGACCACTTTATGCATAGAACTGTTCAAATGAAATGGCTCCCCTTTGAAACCACAGCTCAGGATCTAAGCTATAGGTTCTAGGCTTTATTAAGAACTTTTCCATGATTTCACCAATTTCACAAACTAGGAGATTCAATTTCAGCTGATCCTTCATATTAAAACATTTTTTGGTTGTTCATCGTCAAGCATTGTGAAGGGTCTGAGGTTCTGCTCTATTTGCAAGCTAACAAGTTAGCCTGCCGCAGTTCCATAGATACTGCCAGAAGACACAGGATTTTCAGGTCACAGAGAAAAGTCTTCATTACTCAAGGTATGGCAAACAGCATGAGCATCAATATATTTTCCTCTGTTCTTCTTGTCCTCTCAGCCTGCGATGTGGACGGACTGACATAGTTTCCCACATATGCAGTTGGTTGTATTTATGAGATAGCAACCCTAAGCTTAGGATGCTTAATCTTTTATAATGGACAGGAATATCTACCCTTTGTTCTGGAGGGAGACACTAGCTCTGTCTTCCAAGGATGTTCACTATATGAATATCTTTAAAAAGATAGATTAGAACAAAGAGTTAATCAGGCCTCCTGCTCACAGGACATTTAGAAATGCAAGAGACCCATGCTGAACTGTCTCCCAACATTCATGAATGTTCTACCTTTTTGGTTTGGCTTATGTTGATTATAATGCCTTTCTCCAAGCATTGTTTTCTTTACTATTTCTTTAATGTAAACAGTATTTCAGAATGCTGTAGGCAAACAGTATTTCAAAATGCTGTAGGTACTGAAAAAGCTTTTCAGTGATTTTCATTGTGTTTTAAAAATTGTTGGCTAAAGCTACGAAAATTTTAACCTAATACATTTGTATATTATCTACATTATTCGAAATAATTTTGGATACATATATGTTTATATATTTAGATGCCAGAGCCATCCCATGAGAAGTAGAGTAGAAACTGTCACATGTATTTCATAGTAAAGGCAACAATAAGGCAAATAAGATAACAGAAAATAACAGAAATAGGATTCTGTTACCTCTAACTCCATCCTATCTGCCTATTTGCCTCCACTGCAATGGCCGCAAAAATACAACTAACACCTAGCAGACCAAGGATGCTGCCAAATATCCACCATTGCACAGGACAATACCCACCCTCGACCCACACCCAAGAAAAAATTGTGCATTCCACAATCTCAGTAGGTTGAGTTGAGATCTCTGAAGATGAGAAACTCTGGGTTAAAAAGACTGTAAGGCGGTGTATCATATCCCGGGTTCAGGAAAAGAGAAATATAGGCAGGCAAAAACAGTATAATTGTTGTGATGTTAATACAAGACCAGTGACAATTCATGCATGGACATTCTCTCCTTTGGTTTACCAGTTGGCCATTTTTACTTAGCCTTGCTTCTTGCTTAAATACAGTTAAAAACTTCAACTTCTTTAGAGTCCTTTCTTTAAAAAAGAAAAGAATGAATAACTATAGCTTTAAACAAATGTCGCTTTGGGAAAAAGTCTTGATTTACTGCTTCATTCTTACGGCTTTTTCTTTGCTTCCTTACTAGAAAATAATCCAATGTTTATCGAAAACTGGATAAAATATTTTATCCATCGATTTCTAAAGAAATAACAAAGGTATATAAATAATATGAAAGAAAGTGTCGTTAAGTTGTTCCTTTCTGGCCAAAAAAGGGAAAGAAAATGTTGATTTTTGATACTGCTTTAGGTTGGATTTAGATGGTCATATATTTGTATTGTTATAAACTTCACTAGGTAAGGGCTTTAGATCAGCAGTTCGTAACTTTTTATAAACCTCAGTACATTTAACGGATGACTTTTAAACTTGTGATGTTCTCATTGGTTCAAAGATAAAGTCCTGCAATTAGACAAGCTCCTTAAAATTCTACCTTTTTCTTTCAATTAAAAAAGCTTATAGGGATGCATTAATAGAGAGATATATAAAAATATCCATGAATCTGTCATATTGTATTACTGAAAATAAAAAAGTAAAACCATTTGTCACCTATGGTTAGTATCTAATTACTTACAACATGCTTCACAACTGATCATGACCCCAAGGTTGTTGGTACTCAAAAAGTGTCAAATTTTGGAGCATTTCAGACTTTGGATTTTTAGGTTAGGGATGCTCAACCTGTACAGTTTCCCCATATAAAGGCATCTTGCACATATACAGGTTAAATCCACATTAAACTTTTTTAAAACACAGGTTTTAACAGTTCTGTTATTTATGCCAAAAAGCCCCAGCTTTTGATATTCTAATATCGAAAGGAGAATTTCACAACTAACCCATGGTAAGATACAAGCTATATATTTAACCTTCAAACCATGTGCATAAATATTTCTCATTTTCAACAGATGTAACAGTAGATATTGTAGTCTTTTATTAGACAAAAAATTACACACTTAGTTTTTAAAAATTCAACCATAAAAGTGAGGTAACTTTGAACAATTAACTCTAAAACCCTTAGATCAAAGATACAACATTTTAAATAAAATCAATGCCTTAAACATTTTAAATAAAATCAATGCCTTACGTCAATAAGCTCATAGTCATCTTTGGCATATAAGTGTCTCAGCAGGTACCAACGTGCAGTTGATGCAATAGATTTGGGATACCCAGGCTGATATACCACTCTTTCCAAAAGACGCCGTGTCTCTCTGGAAAAAAAGTTAAATTTAGTCCAAAGCATGCAAATTACCATAAGATATCTCCTATACTAATCTCACATACACATTGTCGTTCTCATATTTTTGCAGATGTGGTACCTGATTATGATTCTTTAATTCAGATAACAATAAAGGTAATAATGGCTAATATCTATTAAGTGTTTATCATGCACTAGGTACTATGCTAAATATGGTTGTATTTAATGTTCACAACCTTATTAGGTAGATAGTTATTATTCCCATATGGCAGATAACTAAATTATTCCAATTCATTCTCATTCCAAAGAGAATAGGGAGGCAATCCCTATTTTATAATCTACTTTGAGTGCTCTACCTCTAATCTTTTTGAAAAGTAGGCAGAAACTACTTAAGTCACTACTTAAGTCACTAAATAATACAAGGGTGATACAGAGTGGAACAAGAAATATTCAGCGTCTACATTACAGGCTATGTATATCATATCAGGCTTTTAGCATATGTTTTCAAGGATGTGTATGATAACGTAAACCCATGTAATAACAGGCTGATTTACAGCTGTGTTCTAATTTTTTCTTTCCTAATTTACTAACATCTATGACTCCAAAACTTCTGTACTGCTAAAAACAACATAAACCATAGTATATTCAGAACTGCTAACCAGAAGGATCTTCTAAGTAGCAATTAGTTTGAAGCAGGAACTAAATAACTTGTCTTGAAGATGCTTTTGCAGAGGGATCACATAGTAAGTACGTTGTTACTTTTCTTAGACTACATCTTTATTTGGGCTAGGTTTTGAAGGTGATAAAAATTATGGGAGGTGTTAACAAAGATTATTGGGATAGGGGGCGAAAGGGGGATAGTCCTCTCTAAGTTACCAACACTGAGCATGAGCAGAAGTAGTTCATTAGGAAGTTTAAATTACAGCCTAAAACATTTCTTAGTGAAATTAGTCACACATAAAAATGGCCCAAAATAAATAAATGTTAATAAATAGTGCTGGAGTTGTTAATCAGCCATATGGTCTTAATCTTCCACCATCCCTATTTTGTGATGTGTCTTTTGCTACATATTTATATGTACTAACCTCCATTTCTACCATACCTATTCTGTTCCAGTAATGTTTGCTCCTCTATCACTGCCTTACTTACAGATGCTTTGTATTATATGTAATATACATTAGAACTAGATATTTTCAAAATCTTAAAGTATTCTTGCCTGTACTTTTTAGCCATGTGATCTTTAAGTAATGTTCTTCAAAATTAAGTGCACTTCTTCCAACATATACATTGCTATAGAATTTTTATATTTCAATCAGAGCAGCTTTTGGATTTTCTAGATAGGAAACCACATCATTTATAAAAAACATGTCTCTGCCTTTTCAATATTTATTACTTTTTTCATAGCCTATTACATTAGCAAGAATTTCTGATAATGTAGCCTTGAACTGGGGTCTTTTGGTTTTGTTTGTTTCTAGAACCCACATCACACTGTTGGCGCCTCCTAACACAGTGAAGAACAAAAACTCCAAGACCTTCTTCACTGGAAGTGCTATCATGCCAAATCCCTCATGTCCTATAAATATGTATCAAATTGCCTTCTTAAACAAATATAAGGCTTTATTCTCCCTTACTGGATTTCTGGAGCCAGTTCTTCCAAAGTAGATACAGATATATAAACACCCCTCAAAGTTTGTTAAATTGATCTGTTACAAACTTTAAAGTTTATAATCTTTCCTTGTTTCCTAGAAAGATTTAAAGTGAAGAAGCGTTTATAAGAAAAAGATGAAGATTCTTCATACCTTGCCCCCATTTTACGTTTGAATTGTAATAAAGCTTGTAAAAGAACAGCCAGTGGACAAAAGCAAAGTTTTAAGGCCTCAGTTGTAGCCTCTTGAACCAAAGATGGCCAGTGATCATTGGAAATGTTAGCCTATAAAAATATAACACAAATATTAACTCAAAGATTTGGTATATTTATTTGAAAAGTATGCAATTCAATTCTCATTTATTGAGTACCTATTTGTGCAAGTCACCATAGAAATAATACAAGGAGTATAATTACTACAAAATGATTTAAGATCTGATCCCTGCTCTTAAGGAGCTACAAAATGGGGCAGACTGGGATAAAGGAGGTTTTCAAAGAGGAGATATTTAAAAAACACTAAAATATTTGTTCAAAGAAAATGCACTATTATACTACATAGGGGACTAAAATCTATCAGTCTTGTGTCTACCAAATATACAAAACTCAATTTAACATAATTGATTCTTTAACTGGTAGTGATAAAGTTCTACATTTAAAAAATTATCTCAGGAGAGAGGAAAGGCTGACATAAAGTATTTTAATAAACTCCCAATATAAAAAAGTACAAAACAGATCAGAGATAAAGGTATTAAATCAAAGCAATCAATACTAAAAATCTTTTAAAAATTTCACTTTATGGCTAAGATATCAATGCATATATTACTTGAGTTACATGCTTCATTTTCACATTAGGTACTGACTCAGAAATAGCAAAGATAAGTATTTCTGAAGAAACAGTAACAAACTAAAGTGATGAACACTTTACTGAATTATGTAAAGAGAAAAAAATGCATTAGAAACTTTCATTTAAAAATCTCAAATTTTGACTGAGATTTCATAACCACAAGTATCTAAAATATATATTTTAATAAAGTCAATATAATGAGTCAATATAGTCTATTTCAAACACCAAATTATATAACAAAAATTAGAGCAATTATCTGAGTGGAGTATAGGCAGTAGCAATTTATATAATTAAGTAAGAGGAAGCTATAATGAACGTGAAAATAGACAACAGCGGTTATGATGCATCATCTATAAACAGCGGCAACCCTGGGATACATCTGACAAAGAAAGTAAGGCAAAGCACATTCTAATACAATTATTCTTAACATATTATTAAAAACCAGTAACATAAAACTCTCACTGGATGCTTTCAATAATGCACTCTCTAAATTCTATGAAATCATATAAAACACTCTGTAAAGTTAGCCCAAAGATGACTTTGTAAGGAAAAAGTCGCTATATATACCTGGCATATTAAACAAAGTGATCAGAATACTTCTATTTTGTTTTCCCACTACCTCTTTAACATTTATTTGAGAGATACTTTTTCTGTGTCCCTGGATGTAAATTACATTAGGCCCCATGAGTCTTATTCCTTTTTTCTTACATTCATCCACAAATATAGTCTCAATTAGAATGTCCTCTTTTCTTCTCAACACTCAGTCTTTGTTGAAAAGTAATATTTGCACATACTTCCCTGCCCCGCCTCAATTCCCCTCGGCTCCCAGGCTAGAGTATGGTTACAGGCAGTAGCAGGTGGCTGGTTCCTCTTCCCCAGTACTCCCACCTCCAGTGGCTAATTGTAGCTTCAGGGCCCTACTGAAACACTAGAAGTTTGTATTTAACTGGTGCCATTGTAAGGTGGTGCCAAGCTCTCCAGGGTTGACAGATATTTAAAGCTCTTTTCCTCAACTTGGCTTTAGCAGAGACTCCCAACTTCATGGGTAATCTCTCATCAGCAGGCCCAGCAACATAACCTGTGGGGCCCAGTGCAAAATAAAGTATAGGGCCCTTTGTTAAAAAAATTATCAAGAATTCTGGCCGGGCGCGGTGGCTCAAGCCTGTAATCCCAGCACTTTGGGAGGCCGAGACGGGCGGATCACGAGGTCGGGAGATCAAGACCATCCTGGCTAACACGGTGAAACCCCGTCTCTACTAAAAAATACAAAAAACTACAAAAAACTAGCCGGGCGAGGTGGCGGGCACCTGTAGTCCCAGCTACTCGGGAGGCTGAGGCAGGAGAATGGCGTAAACCCGGGAGGTGGAGCTTGCAGTAAGCTGAGATCCGGCCACTGCACTCCAGCCTAGGCGACAGAGCGAGACTCCGTCTCCAAAAAAAAAAAAAAAAAAAAAAAGAATTCTAAGATAGCAACTACAGAACATTAAATCAATTATGACGCCCTGTGTAACTGCAGAGGCTGCATGCCCATGAAGCCAGCACTGCTCACCTGCAGTTCCACTAATCTAGCAAATGTATTCTATTCTTCTTACTCTCTCCACATCCTCTAGCAATGTGGAAACTTCAGATTCCTTTCTGCTGACATTCCATCATCCCTCTAGGTGGCCTTACTGAACAGGATCTAGGATAACTCCTATATCAACCCACTCTCACCACTGGCATTGCTCATTTCTGGATCTAACAAACTCTGAGAGTGTTGCTGATTCCGTCTGCAGCAACTCTCCTTCATTCTTTCCTCCCTATAGCACAAACTGATACTCCTACTTACCTTTGGGATGAATCTACTGTTGACCACTCTCTCCCAGAAACATGTGATCACTTTCTAAAACGCTAGCAACTCTCCTCTTCTCTGTCCTAACACCTTAGACTGAGTGCCACAGTCTCTGAAACATGTTAGATACCCATTCATATGCTTCTAGACACATGCTTCCAGGACCCCAGAGGACACAGATTGAAGCCTCCCTCTCTCTGGTAGCACCCCTTTCCTCAACTTTGTGTGTATCTGTCTACAGAAACATGCCAGGGGGAAAATGGGCGAGGCAACAGCCCTCTCCAAAGAAATGTCTTCAAGAATCCTTCTCTAACTCCACTCTTCTGAAGCTTTTTTCTTTTTTTTTAATTTCAAGTTTAACTTTAGATACAGAGGGTACATGTGTAGGTTTGCTCCATGGGTATATTGTACCCAGTTAGGGAGCATAATAGCTAATAGGCAGTTTATCAACCCCTGTCCCACTCCTTCACCTCCAATGGTCCACAGTGTCTGTTGTTCCCATGTTTATGTTCACGTGTGCTCAATGTTTAGCTCCCACTTGCAAGTGAGAACATGCAGTATTTGATTTTCTGTCCCTGTGTTAATTCACTTAGAATTACGGCCTTCAGTTCCATCCATGTTGCTGCAAGGGACATGATTTTGTTCTTTTTTTATGGCTGTATAGTATTTCCATGGCAGATATGTACCACATTTTTTTTTAATCTAATCCACTCTATGGGCACTGAGGTTGATTCCATGTCACTGCATTGTGAATAGTGCAGTGATAAACACACGAATGCATGTGTCTTTATGGTAGGATGACCTATTTTCCTTTGAGTATATACTCAGTAATGGGATTGCTGAGTCAAATGGTAGCTTTAAGTTGAGAAATCTACAAACTGCTTTCCACAGTGGCTGAAGTAATTTACATCCCCACCAACAGGACATGAGCATTTAAGCATTCCCTTTTCTCTGCAGCTTCACCAGCACCTGTTATTTTTGTTGTTATTGTTTGTTTGTTCGTTTGAGACAGGGTCTCACTCTGTGGCCCAGGAAAGAGTGAGAGGGCAAAATCTCAGCTCACTGCAGTCTCAACTTTCCGAGCTCAGGTGATTCTCCCACTTCAGCCTCCCAAGTAGCTGGGACTACAGGTGCATGCCACTATGCCTGGCTAATTTTTTTTTTGTAGGGATGAGGTTTTGCCAAGTTGTTTAGGCTGGTCTTGAACTCCTGGGCTCAAGTGATCCACCCGCTTTGGCCTCCCAAAGTGCTGGGATTACAGGCATAAGCCACCACATCCAGCCTGTTATTTTTTGACTTCTTAATAATAGCCATTCTGACTGAAGTGAGATGGTGTTTCAGTGTGGCTTTTATTTGCACTTCTCTGATGATTAATAGGGATGTGCATTTTTTCATATGTTTTTTGGCCACTTACATGTCTTCTTTTGAGAAGTGTTTGTTAATGTCCTTCAACTATTCATTAATAGGGTTATGTTTCTTGCTTAATGATTTAAGTTCCTTATCGATTCTGGATATAAGACCTTTGTCAGATGCATAGTTTGTGAATATTTTCTCCCATACTGTAGGTTGTCTGTTTACTCTGTACATAGTTTCTTTTGCTGTGCAGAAGCTCTTTAATTAGGTCCCACTTGTCAATTTTTGTTTGTCTTGCAATTGCTTTTGGATGCTTAGCCAAAAAATTCATTGGCAAGGCAAATGTCAAAAAAGGTATTTCCTAGGTTTGCTTTTAGAATTTTAATAGCTCGAGGTCTTGCATTTAAATATTTAATCCATCTTGAGTTAGTTTGTATATATGCTGAAAGGTAAGGGTCTAATTTCATTCTTCTGCAAATGACTAGCCAGTTGACCCAATGCAATTTATCGAATAGGGGAGTCCTTTCTCCATTGCTTGTTTTTGTCAGCCTTGTCAAACATCAGATGGTTGTAAGTATACAGCTTTATTTCTGAGTTTTCTATTATATTCCAGTGGTTGATGTGTCTGTTTTTGTACTGGTACCAATGAATTCCCTCCGTATTTGCTTGCCCTTCACTTATTTAGTTTAGTTTGGTGGGATATGAAATTCTTGGTCAGAATTTCTTTTCATTAAGGATGCTTCAGAACAAGAAAATAAAGAAAAAAGAAAAAAAGGATGCTGAAAATAGGCACCAAATTATTCTGCTTCTAGTTTGTAACATTTCTGTGGAAAGGTCTGCTGCTAGCCTGATGGGATTCCTCTGCATGTGATTGGACCCTTCTCTCTAGTTGCCTTTAAGACTTCTTCTTTTGCATTGATCTTGGTAAATCTCATGACTATGTGCTCTGGGGATGACCATCTTGTATGTCAGTATATAGCTGGGGTTTTCTGTATTTCTTGGATTTCTATGTCAATCTCTTTAGCAAATTTAGGAAAATTTTTGCGGACTAATATACATTTTTCAAGTTGCTTATCCTCTCTCAGGAATGCCAATGAGTTGTAGATTTGGTCTCTTTACATAATCCCATATTTCTCAGAGGTTTTGTTCATTTTAAAATATTCATTTTTCATTATTTTGGTGTCTGACTGAATTGATTAAAAGAACCAGTTTTTGAGCTCTGAGATTCTTTCCTCAGCTTGATGTATTCTTCTTTTAATACTTCCAATTGTATTATGAAATTCTTGTAGTGAATTTTTCAGCTCTAGAAGTTCGGTTTGGTTCTTTCTTAAAATGACTATTTCACATTTCAGCTCTTGGATTATTTTACTGGATTTCTTGGATTCGGTTTCAACTTTCCCCCAAATCTTGATAAGCTTCCTTGCCATCCAGACTCTGAATCCTATGTCTGTCATTTCAGTCACTTCAGATTAGTTAAGAACCATTGCTGGGGAACCAGTAGGCTACATTTGGAGGTACAGGGACACTCTGGCTGCTTGAATTGCCAGAGTTCTTGTGCTGATTCTTTCTCATCTGGGAGGGTTGGTGATATGGCTTGGATCTGTGTCCCAGCCCAAATCTCACGTTGAACTGTAATCCCCAGTGTTGGAAGTGGGGCCTGGTGGGAGGTGATTGGATCATGGAGTCAGAGTTCTCATGAACGGTTTAGCACCATTCGCCCTTAGTACTATACGCTGAGTAAGTTCTCATGAGATCTGGTTTTCAAAAGTGTGTGGTACTTCCCCCCTCTCTCTCTTGCTCCTGCTCTGACCATGTAAGATGTGCCTGCTTCCCCTTTGCCTTCCACCATGATTGTAAGTTTCCTGAGGTCTCCCCAGAAGCAGAAGCCACTATGCTTACTGTATAGCCTGTGGAACCATAAGCCAATTAAAACCTTTTGTTTATAAATGACCCAATCTCAGGTATTTCTTTACAGCAATGCAACAGACTAATACAGTTGGTATTCCTTTAACTGTGGTATAAATTGAGTATAGTCAGTTGGCTTACTTCTGGATGCTTAAAAAGAGTCAGGGCTCTGTACAGGGTCTTTATGTGTAGGTGAATTCTCGTACTTGGTTTCACAGGTGTATATGTTAGCAAGATAATTTTTGGTGTTGTAGTTTGGGCTGCAATCCAGTAGATAGTGCATAAGAGTAACAGTGGGTACCTAGGCTAACACTTAGCCACATGGCTCTTTTGTACTTCTTCACATTCACAGGCATTCTCTTCAGCGGTGATGGCGGGGACAGGATAGAAATGACCACCTCACCAGGTCTGCTCCAGGGCCTTAGGGGAAGCCCCCTCTGATCATTCGCTCCATGCCCACGTTACTTTTGTTAGGTGATTTGGGTTGTGGGGTCCCCTTGTGCAGGGGCTATGACAGGGAGATATGCCAAAACCTTTCTGGACTGGCCCTGCAAAGGGAGGCATGCCCCACTCTTGTCCTTGCCCAGGAACCCATGCGTCTCACCCCTCTCAGCTCTTGAGGGTAGGGACTCCTCCCCAACTCAAGTGTCAGCCGCAGATTTCAGCTCCGTACTCTTGAGTTGCATGCCACAGCCCTGGGGGCACTGGAATGTCCCATGGCTCAGGGTTGAGTTCAGGTTATCCTGGAGGATCCTATATGCTACACAGCAATCTCTCTTGATCTGATATCTCACTTTGGAATCTGATATGTAGTGTCTTAGCCAAACTGTCAGTTTTTATATGTGTCACATTTTATCACATATAATAAAACTTTCAAATAAAGACTTTTATAAATGTCTTATTTTAATATATCCATCCTCCCCATACTGCCAGCTGTTTACCATAGAAATATGGCATACCTTTTATTCCTTTATAATTACTGGATGTCAAATGTTTTTTCAAGAACAGATTGGATTGATAGCACTTTAAGGTTTACAAAGGCATGTGTAAACATTACTTCATTATTCAAATAACGCCACAAGAATGTAAAATAGGTATTCTGATCTCCTCTACTACAGAACAAGAAAAGAGCTTTAAACAGTTTAACTGGCTGAAGGTTTCATAGGTAGTAAATGGTAGAACCAGAACATGGGATCTTAGAGAAAATAATTCTGTGGTGTAGTACTGGTAGAGGTGGAGTGGGGGAGTGGGGTGGGGGGACAGGTATACATGGGTATTACTGAACTGCAAGCTAATTTCTTCATCTGTCAAATAGGGTTATTGTGATTATTAAATAAGTTAATAAGAGTAAAGAACTTATAACAGTACCTAGCATAGACTAAGTGCTATAGTTTGCTATTATTACAACTATTATTAATTTGTTCTATTCCAGGTCAGATTTAACTTCCCAGCATTAATAAAAATCAACAAATAATATTGAAAAGTAATCCATAATAAGTTAGGCGAAAGGAGTGTCTGCTTCTCCAGTTCACAAACTGTAGGGCATGTTATAGGTACTATGTGTGGCTTCTATGGCTCACTAGTTACCAAGATCATAAAGACTTTTGTTATATATAAAAATGGGGCAAACAAAACAAAATAGTGAACTATAATTAGTTGGCCACATTATTATTATTTGACCATTCATTCAAAACCATTTATAGAGAACCCCCTATGCACAAGGCAGACTGACAGAGCAAGGAAGCAAAAATGAATAGAAATAGCCCCTGACATAAGAAGCTCTTAAATGTGCTCTACAGTAATGGCACCAAAGCCAAAAAAAAAGTCCTAATTCTGTATTTCATTATCAAAATGCCTAAAGTGAATAACTAACATTCTCATGGGTTACTATGGTAAAAACAAGAGTTACTTTAGCTGTGTAGGATAATTTCTTCTAACCATGCAAAACTGAAATAATAACAGTTTAACAAAATAATAAGGATATGATAAAAAAATCCAAACACCATCGAAAGATACAAAATGAAAAATTATCCTCTACCATCCCTTAAAACCCCCAGTCCCCTTCTCCAAATAACTGCCATTATATTTCTTATATACCTTTCCATATAATTATATCTTTGTGCTTTCAAGCATCTGCACAAACACATATGATGTATTTAGAGATATACATTCTTAAAAATTCATACCACATATATGAACACTCCATTAGAATTATATGATACATCTTGTTCTGCAGTTTGCCCTCACTCTCACTTAAACATGTATCTTCACAAATTTTCCCTACCAGCATGTAAAATTTTCAGATTGATATATGTAAATTGGTATCAGAAAATAGCTTGTTAGGTCACAAGTTACTAGAAATCCCTCTTAAAGAATGCTGAATTGAAATGAGAATGACTGAAATGCTCACTATTACCATTTTTGTCACAGTTGAGTAGCTAAATTTAATTCTAATACAATTTGTTTCACCAAGAAACAAAAATGTATATCCTACTATAATTCAACTTTTAAAACTGTAATCCTTTTCCCCCAAACATTGACAATGTTCTGCTGTAGTCTATAGATTTATGTTGCTCTATGTCCATCACAAACCCAAAATACAAAGTGTATCAAGAAGCCACACTAGAAGACAATGAAACAACAGGAATTCAATCAAATATTACTGTGTAAAAAGCCTTCATGTCAAAGAAAGATAAAATATCAATTTTTCATGATCATAATTATAACATGATCTTACCATACAGACTTTTAATGCAAGCAGTGCTAGTCTCAACAGACTTGAGAGCTTCCCACTCCAACTGCCCTGTTGAGATGCCACTTGTAGACTCTTTCTGTAACACATCTCTGCAGCTCTCATCATTCCTTGGGACTGATACACATGTGCCAGCCACTAAGAAACAAAACGGGAGGAGGCAAAGGATTTTAGTTTACTATGCAGTCTGTAACCCCTATTCCAACAAATTCAATAAACTTTGATGTAGTAAAACTATGTTTTTAGTTATTGGTAAGTTCTGTGCCCAAAAAACAATTACAGGTCAAAAAATTGTCATATTGTCAATTCTTTTAACAACAGCTATTAACAAATCAATTCCAGCAATATATAAAAACAATAATATATAATGATCAACTAGGGCTTATTCTGAGAATGCAAAGTTGGCCTAATATTTGAAAATCAATGTAATCCACCGCATTGACAGAATAAAGAAAAAGATTAATAGATGCCATAAAAAAGTTTTAATAAAATTCAAGACCCATTATTTTTTAAGAAAAAACTCTCTTAGCATATTCAAAGTAGAATCTTCTTAATCTGATAAGGATATTTATACAAATCTCTAGCAAACACCATTCTTAGTAATGAAATAGTCAATGCTTTCTACCTGAGGTAAGAAGAAACAAGAATGTTTACTTAGCACCACTTTTAACATTGTATTAAAGGTTCCAGACAGTACAATAAAGCAGAACAAATAAACAAAAAACCTTAATATGTAAATATTGGGAAGAAAAAGGTAAAAGGGGCATAACTCTCTATATACAAAATCCAAAACCTTTCAAAGAATAAGTGAATTTAGCAAGGTGCTCGAAAGTCAACATATAAAAATCAACTGAATTTTTAAATGTTTGGAGATAATTTAAACACACACACACAATGGAACAACAACAAAAAATACCAAATACCTAGAAATAAATTTAACATAAAAGTATAAAAGACCTCTAGGTTGAAAATCGCAAAACAATGCCGAGAGAAATTTCAAACTTAATTAAATAGAGGAATATACCACATTTGTGGACAGAAAATCTTCAGTAGAGTATTACTTCATCAATTGTCCCCAAATTAAACTGTAGATTCTAAACAATCTCATTTAAGGTCCCAGCAGAGCTTTTTTGGGTGAGAATTAACAATTTACTGTAGACTCTCCCCTTAACTGTGGTTTCAGTTACCTGTGGTACAATACAATAAAATACTCTGAGAGAAAGAGGGAGACCACATTCATATAACTTTTATTATAATATATTGTTATAACTGTTTTATTATTATTGTTGTTAATCTCTTATTGTGCCTGATTTATAAACTTTATCATAGGTAGGTATGTATGTATAGGAAAAAATAATAGGTATTTTTATATATGTACACACACACACACGCACGCGCACACACACACATATATATAGTTTATTACTATTTGCAGTTTCAGGCATCTACTGGGGTGCTGGGACATCTCCCCTGCAGATAAGGTGGGACTACTGTATTTGGCAATGCAAAGGACCTAAGACAAACTTGAAGGAGAACAAAAAGTTGGAGGTTTTAATGTTATCACATATCAAGACTATTTATAAAGCTATACTCAAGAATAAAAAACAAAAGAATAAACAAATAGACCAACGGAAAATAATGAGGCCTGAAAGACCCACACATTGATTTATGACAAAGGCATCACCGTGATTCAATGGGGACCAAATAGTCTTTTCAAAGATTGGTACTATGTTACTTATGGGTAAAAATAAATCTTAACTCCTGCAATATTCACAAAGATTAATCCAGGATAAATTATAGACCTAAATATGAAAAGTAAAACAATAAAATTTCTAAAACAAAACATAAAAAAAAACTTCATGAACCTAGAGTAAGCAAAAAGTTCTTAAATAGAATATCCCAATAAAGCATTAACCATAATCAGACTTCATTAGAATTAAGAACTATTCATCAAAAAATAACATTAAGAAAGGCAGCCATAGGTGTAAGAAAATATTTTCAATATAAATATCCAAAAATGTGCTTGGATTCAGGAAATATCATAAATTTCAATAATTCAGTAAGTAAAAAATGAATAGTCCATTAAAAATTATGCAAAGCACTTTACACAGAGGATATCCAAAGGCTCAATAAGCATATGAAAAGTTGTATGATGTCATTAGATATCAGGTAAATACAAGTTAAAATCACCAAAAGATATTATTACCTACATATTCACCAAAATGGGGGAAAAACACAACAATCTGGCAATATCAGCACTTGGAATTCTCATGCACTGCTGGTGCAAGTGTAAACTGGTGTAACCATTTTAGATAATTCTTTGGCAGGATCTACTAAAGTAACCGTACATATACCCTATGTCCCACCAAAAAGCATGTCCAAGGATGGTCACAACAGCATTATTCATACTAGACAAAACCTGGAAACACCCAAATGCCCATCAACAGTAAAATGAATAATTATAGTATATTCATAAAATGAAATGAAATAATTATGGCTACATAAAACCACCAAATGAATCTCACAGACATCCTGTTGAGTGAAAGTAACCAGATACAAAAGAGTACTACTCCACTGACAGAAAGTTCAAAAACAGAAAAAACTAAATAGAAGTCAGAATAGAGGTTTTCCTTGTATTGGGGTGGGGGAAGTCAAGCAAGGAGATCAACTGACAGAGGCCTGGGGGAGGCAGTTGGGTTGTTAGAACTGTTCTGTATCTTGATATGGGAGGTGTTAAACAGACATGTCATATTTAATGAGGAGTACTTTAAACATTTTTACACTTTATTCCTTGTGAATTATATCATAACATAAAAGAAAACACACACATACACACACACATGCAATCTCTTAAGACTTTACTTACTGATATGGTTTGGCTGTGTCCCCACCCAAATCTCATCTTGAATTCCCATGTGCTATGGGAAGGACCCGGCAGAAGGTAACTGAATCATGAGGGGAGGTCTTTCCTGTGCTGTTCTCATGATAGCGAATAAGGCTCACGAGATCTGATAGTTTTAAAACGGGGAGTTTCCCCATACAAGCTCTCTCTTATGTCGGCCACCACGTGAGACACGCGTTCTGCCTTCCATGATGATTGCAAGGCCTCCCCAGCCACAGAGAACGGTAAGTCCATTAAACCGCCTTCTTCTGTAAATTGCCCAGTCTTGGGTATGTCTTTATCAGCAGTGTGAAAATGGACTAATACACTTATGATATAATTTATCCTTCAATTTTTCCCTTTTAATTTGACAATGTATTTCTCCCTTTGATAATGAATATGAAATCAACAACATCTAGCTGTTGATTAAGTATCTAAGGTCAACTAGATGTTCTAAGGTCAACTAGATGTTGATCTTAAATCCTAAATCTCATATGGAAAACTTACTCTAAGAAAGTGGAAAAAAGAATTACAGTAAAATGGAGGCTTAGTTTTCATAATCTAGTAATTTTAGGCAAAGCAGGGATATAAAAAAGCTGGCATAATAAAAGATCAGAATAAAAAACAAATTATAGTAAGATAATAAGCTTCTATAAATCTGTATCAAAAAGCACCTTTGATACTTTCTCTGGGGCACAGAGAAAATACAATTGTATAAAATAATTATGTGCTTCCTTGTATTTTAATATCAATAAGAACAAAGTACACAGTGATCATTGTACATTTGTCACTGTGGATAACCAGAGCCACCTGAAAGAGCAGATGATCTGTTGATTCAAGCATCAATCCTGAAAATAATTATTTCTAAAAGCACTAAATACAGGTTATCTGTAAAGTAGGTAGGGAGAAACTATACACATTCCCTCTAAAGGCAGAGTTAAACACCATTATGATACCCTTATCATAAAATGTCTATAACATATCAACCCATATAAAAGACAGTATTTTCATCACTGTTTTAAAGTGAGAAAATTTATAATCAATAACTTAAGAAGCTTTAAATCATCATTGTAGCAGATTCTACATTAGTATTAAACTTCCTTAGCTCCCCTAACCACAGTACCTTTTTTAGACCTTGAAACTGAGAGATACCATGGTGAGAATGACAGCAAGTCAAATAAAGATGGAGCATAGCCCTGACATTAACTAATATTATGAAGTGCTTTAATTGAGGACTCAGGAAAGAAAGGAGAAAACTTACCTGCCAAGCTGGAACAGAGGTTGAGTTGGACATGACTGTTTTTTGTAATTCTTCAAGTACAGCATCTGGGAGTGGCTTTTGTGACTCCAGGAGTGGTTTACACTGAACTTGTCTCAAAAGTAAGATAACGGCTGGCTGATCAGGGTTACTTTTTAAATTCTAGAAATCAAATCCCAAATAGGAATACATCAAATAGGTTCTTAAGTGTTAAAAGTAAAAGGCATATTCTCCAAGTTGGGAAAATAAAATTCTGAATGTTTATACCTTTTCTTATTAAAGAGTAAACAACTGCAAAAACTAAATAAAACAATGAACAGCTTGTAAACATCAAACTTTACATTTAAATAACCTTTACAATCAGAACACTATTATTGTAGTCTACATATATTTCCCTTTGACTTAGTTTACTCTTAAGTGATATCCTGAAAAATTTAGGTTCTGAACGTAAGTAAATAGTTGAACTAAGAAAATATAAATATAAAATCAAGTGGGAAGGCTATCACTATTCCATACTGGAAAAAACTGCACTATGTAAGAAGAAAAGAGGCATACATTTTTTTTCTTTCTTAACTTAACAAAGATATTCACTCTACATGTCCTTCTTCTAGGCACAGCCTTTTTGAGTACTTTGAGTAAGAAAAATGACCTATTTTCCCCATTTCCTTAAGCCACTATTTATATCTTAAAATACTTACCTACATACATACATAAATGTACTGTATATATTTATATCCTCTATGTGTGTATATATTTATATATATGAAGAATTTCTGTAAACAAGTCCTCCCACTATTGTTTCAAATGTTTATCGCTTGTCCCTCAACAGCATACTTTTCTGTTTTTTACTCATTAGATCTTAAATGTATTTCTAAAATGTATTTGATTGCTTTCTTCTAAGTAAGAGATTGGAACAACAAACTGACAAGGAAAGGTTCATAAGGCATCACTTATGCTATCAGAGAGCACATAGCAACTGTCAATTTATGCTTAGTAAGCACTTACTGAGTAATACCCTGTCCTGAACTTATCTCAGATGGAATTCCTTAAATAAAAGAAAAAAACATATTACTCTGCTTTTCACAGAATTCAAGAACCAAAGAAATCTTCAAAAGTCCATTCTTCTTTCTGTGTAAAATGTATACTGATCTTTAAAAAAAACGTTACACAACCTCCATGGTAAGCAATTATGAAATATGATGTTTTCAGGAAAAGCTATGTTCAAAACTCTCTTTAACCATTACATTATTTCTAAGTGATCTTTGGAAACTCATTCATTCATTCAGTAAATATTCGAGTCCCTACTATATTCTAGGCAAGGTACTACACATTTATTCACAGAGCCTGCAAGCATAGAGCCCTACAATTCTGGCATGTAAAAACAGACTACTGAGTAGGTTCCAGTCACCCACTCGACAATCTCCACAGTCATTCTATGTGATTCAGAACTTTGGAAAACTGAAGGGATATTGGAAAATATAGCATTAAGAAGGAAGCAATCAGAAATTAAAGGAAAATGCTGTCTCTCTAATGGTACCCAAATAAAAAAAAATTTTAAAGACCTTTAATGAGAGCTTGAGTCCTAGAGTCAGACAAATGTGAGTTCAAATCACAACTCTATCCATTCCTAATTGTGAGCTCCTATGCACATTACTTACCCTCTTTAAGCCTTAGTTTTCCTCAACTGTAAAAATGAGGATAATAATAAATACCTATATCATAAGATTGCTGTGAAGTTCAAATACAAAATGCTAAATGCAGTGACTGGTTTGTGGCAAGTAGAGTAATCAATAAATTTTAGTTGTTAACATCATAATTGACATCACCACCACTACATGCTCTTTAAATAATATGCATTCCTCCTTTTTTTTTTTTTTTTTTTGACAGGGTCTTGTTCTGTTGCCCAGGCTAGAGTGTAGTGGTGTGATCACGGCTCACTGCAACCTCAAATTCCTGGGCTCAAGTAATTCTCCTGCCTCAACCTCTCGAGTAGCAGGAACTACAGGCATGCATCACCAGGTCCGGCTAATTTTTTAATTTTTTGTAGAGACGGCCTCTCGCTATGTTGCCCAGGCTGGTCTCAAACTCCTGGCCTCAAGTGATTCTCCCATCTCAGTCTCCCAAAGTGCCAGGAATACAGGAGTGAGCCACTGCGTCTGGCCTCACATATTCTATTTTTGAAGTTATTTTCCAAGTAAGATAAGAATCCATGAGTTTCAATGCACATTCCATAATAATACCTTTGTGCAGAGAGTTTCAGCTTCAGATATTCTTCCTGTGTCTATTAGACCAGTGACAGCTTGTGACAGAGACCACTTTTCAAGAGACTGGTTGTAATTTTCAAAGAATTTTTTGTCTTTAACTGTAAACAAAAAATGTCAATGTTACTTTATTCTGCAATTTATAATGTGTTCTCAGAGGAGTAACTGGTTCCTAAAAAGTTACCATTAGACTTATCATCCATACACAGTTTTTCAGTTACATGTGCCACATGCACCATAGACTATCCTGACAAGAGGCAGGTTTCTGAAAAGTTTCATGGCAGGAGTATTTGTGGTTAAATAACTCAAAGCCTCTTATAATTGTGACTTCTAAAGAAACAATAAAATAAGTTGCTGAAAACATGTAAAGATTTACTGTGATATAACTGATGTAAAGTAAGCTGTACATTTTCAGTCTATACAATTTGATATTTGACATGTATATCAGTGAACCATCACCACAATCACGATAATGAACATATTCAGCATCATCAAAATTTTCCACTTCTCCCTTTGTAACCACTTTTGTCCCCAACCTACTCCATCCTCCCCTAGCCTCTGTCCCCAGTCAGCTCCTAATCTGTTTTCTGTCACATAGACCAATCTGCATTTCCACAAATTTCATATAAGTGGAATCATATGGTATAAACTCTTTGGCATCTTTCACGGGTGCTAATATGGCAAATTACATTCATTTTCAAATGGTACATCAACCTTGCACTCCTGGGATAAACTATAATTGATCATGATGTATTATTATCATTTTTACGTATTGCTGGATTTGAATTGCTGAAGTTTTGTTATGAATTTCTCAATCTACCTTCACAAGCAATGTTGTTCTTTGCGTGGTTTGGGTATTAAGGTAATGCTGGCCTCATAGATGTTAGAAGTGTTACTATCTTAGATTTTCTGAAAGAATTTGAGTAGAATTGGTATTATTTTTCCTTAAATACTTGGTAAAATCACTAGTAAGTGAATTTAAGATAGCTATTCAAGATAGCTGATTAGATGCATTTGGTGCTCGCCTCATCCATGGAAAGGAACCAAATAGCAAGTAGACAATCACATTTCAGATATGTTATCTGAAAAAGCACACTGGACCTCAACAGAAAAGTAACAGGAAACACCAAAAGCAAGGAAGGAGAGGGGAGTGAGGTCGTCTGCTCAGCTGGGATCAGGTCACGCTGAGTCCCACAAACCCCTGAGTCCTAAGCAGCTAGAGTGAGGCACTATTTTGAGAGCCCAGCCCTCTACCAGGCTGTGTCTTGCCATGCAGCCCAACAGCCCCTGTATCTCCACAACCCTGCAGCCCCACTGATATTCCCTGCCCACAGCCACTGCTACTGGAGCTGAGGAGAGCCACTGTGAACCACCATGAGCTGCCAGTAAGGAGCAGCCATGCATATTCAAGTGCCCTGAGAACAAATTCCACTGCCCTGCAGTTATCACTGCATTGGAATACAGCAGAACTGAGGCATGACTGAAGCCTGTAACCCCCACAACCAGCTGCCTATGGCTGCTCACACTGAAAGCAACCCCCCCCTACCCAGTAGCAGGGTCACAGAACAGCAGCTGCTGCTCCCAACAAAGTATTTCCTGGCAGCCCAGCATCACTCTGCCCCTGCCTATCACAGCCAGGGCCCGCATGCACCACCAGGGAGCCTAAGGACAGGTCTACCTGGCCTGGCTCCACTCCCCAGAGTACCCAAGCATGCCCTCCTGGGGCCTGGGGATTGCCCAGCTTAGACCATCACCATTAGCATTTGAGCACTCCTCTGGGGTCTGAGGTCAGGCCCATCCAATCTGCCGCTAACACCGCAGCTGGCACTCACTCACATGTACCACACGTGGGCCTGGGGACTGGTGTGCTCAGTCCATTGCAGCCACCACTAATGCCAGTGTGGACTGCTTGGGTCCCAGAGGGTCAGTCCCACTGCTACTGCCATCATCCACACCATGCCTGCTGCCCAGGGACTCAAGAACATACCCACTTACCCAGCCTAATTTTGAGGGTTAATATTGAGTGTCAACTTGATTGGACTGAGGGATACAAAGTATTGATCCTGGGTGTGCCTGTGTGGGTGTTGCCAAAAGAGATTAACATCTGAGTCAGTAGGCTGGGGAGGGCAGATCCACCCTTAATCTGTTGGGCACAATCTAATCAGCCTCCAGCAAATATAATGCAGGCAGAAAAACACGAAAAAGCGAGACTGGCATAGCCTCCCATCCTACATCTTTCTCTCATGCTGGATGCTTCCTGCCCTCAAACATCAGACTTCAAGTTCTTCAGTTTGGGGCCTAGGACTGGCTCTTCTTGCTCCTCAGCTTGCAGACAGCCTACTGTGGGAACTTGTGATCGTGTAAGTTAATACTTAATGAACTCTATATAGATATAGATATAGATATAGATATAGATATAGATATAGATATAGATATAATCTATCTATATATATATATATATCTCCTATTAGTTCTGTCCCTCTAGGAGAACCCTAATACACCAATGCTGCCATTCCTGGAACCTGGGCAATCCATCTATAGAGGCACAAGAATGGGCCTGCCTAAACCCACTAACACCAGTGCCACTGTACATTGCTCTGGTGTCCAAGGACAGGCAAGCTTAGCCCACTGCTGCCACCACTGGGGCCCAAAGACTGGCCTATCTGGCATCCCAGGCCCCACCAAAACTTCACCAAGCCTCCACTAACAAGTGTATCCTAACAAACCAAAGAAATCACAAATATCACTGATGCTGTCTACAGCCAAAGAAATTAGAGACTATATTCAGAATCAAAGCCAAAGTGACCTACCCAAACAACACCATGGATATACATCTTCAGGAAAAAATGCTCCCCTACGAAAGAAAATTCCAAAATTGGAGGGGACTGTTAGACTAGATGTGCATATATCAATGTAAGGACAAAGAAAACAAGAAAAAGCAAGGCAATATGACAACTCCAAAGGAACATCATAATTCTACAGCAACAGATCTGAATCAAAAAGAAATTTATGAAATCCTAGGGGAAAAATTCAAAATACTGATAGTAAAGCAGTTCAGTAAAATACAAGACAATACTAAAAACCAGTACAAAGAAATTACAAAAAGCAATTTAGGATACTAATGAAAAATTTACCAAAGAGATGGATATCATCAGAAATAACCAAACAGAAATTCTAGAAATGAAGAATTCATTGAACGAAATACAAAATCCATCTCAAAGGTTCAACAACAGACTAGATCAAGCAGAAGAGCCTCAGAACTTGAAGACAGATCTTTTCAAATAACTTAGTGAAACAAAAGTATAAAATAAGCAAAGCCTACATGACATATGGAACACCATAAAACATCCAAATATTTAAATTTTCAGTGTCTTAGAAGGCAAAAATAAAACATAATTATTTTGTTAAGAAAAACTATTTAACAAAATAATAGATGAAAATATCCCAATTCTAGCAAGAGATTTACACATCTGAAAATACGAGGAGGCTTAGAGATGCACAACTATTTACAATTCCAAAAGATGTTCCCCATGGCACACTACAGTTAACCTACCAAAAGTCAAAGACAAAGAGAGAATACTAAAAACATACTACTTATAAATGAACACTCATCAGACTAACAGCAGATTTGTCAGTAGAAACCTTCCAGGCCAGTAGAGAATAAGATAATATATCCAAAATGCTGAAAAGAAAAAAACTGTCAGTCAAGGATACTATACCCAGCCAAGTTATCCTTCATAAATGAGGGGAAAATAAAGTTTTCCCAGACAAGTAAAAGTTGAATATCACCCCTAGTCCAGTCCTATCCTAAAAGAAATGCTCAATGGAATCTAAACCTGAAAGAGAACAGACAATATTTACCATCATGAAAACACACAAAAGTAAAAACTCACTGGTAAAGCAAACATACAAATGAGGAAGAGAAAGGAGACGAGAAAAACCACCAAAATACAATAACATACAATAAAGAGAGAAAGAAATAATGCATATACAAAAAAAAACTAATTAAACAACAGAAAAAAGGCATCACACATCAATGATAACCTTGAATGTAAATGAATTTTCCATTGAAAATATATAGATTGGCTGAATAGATTTAAAGAATTATCTAATATATGCTGCCTACAAGAAACTAGTCTCACCTATTAAGACACATATAGGCTGGATGTAGTGGCTCACACCTGTAATCCCAATACTTTAGGAGGCCAAAACAGGAGGATTGCTTGAGCCTAGGAGTTTGAGACCAGCCTGGGCAACATAGCAATACCTCATTTCTAAAACAAAAAAATTAGTTTGGCATGGTGACTCCCGCCTGACTTGGAAGGCTCAGGCGGGAGTATTACTTGAGCCCAGGAATTTGAGGCCAGTCTGGGCACACAGCAAGACTTCATCTCTTAAAAAAAAAAAAACTAAAATAATGATAGCAACAACGTATTTGATTATGTGTGCTTATGTGTGTATGGATGTACACAGACTCGTATGCTTATGTGCAAGCAAAAGAGCAATGACATAAAGGACAATAACTAGGATTGTTTTACTCTAAGGACTTGCACTATCCATAAAGCAGTACAGTGTTAGTTGAAAATGGAGTTGGATTAATTGTAAATGTATATTGCAACCAGTAAAAAAGGGCAACCAGTAAAAAAGAAAAGTAAGAAAGAAAATATGACTGACATGCTAACAAAGAAGAGAAAATAGCATCAAATAAAACACACAATTAAAACTACAAAACACAGAAAAATAGTTGGACAACAATAGAAACAAAGAACAAGGGCAACAAATAGAAAATGGTAAAATACATGATAGATACTAAACAAATGATATCAACAATCACTTCAAACACCTATAGTCTAAACATACCAATGAAAGACAGATATTGTCGGCCGGGCGCGGTGGCTCACGCCTGTAATCCCCGCACTTTGGGAGGCTGAGACGGGCGGATCACGAGGTCAGGAGATCGAGACCATCCTGGCTAACACGGTGAAACCCCGTCTCTACTAAATACAAAAAAAAAAAAAAACTAGCCGGGCGAGGTGGCGGGCGCCTATAGTCCCAGCTACTCGGGAGGCTGAGGCAGGAGAATGGCGTGAATCCAGGAGGCGGAGCTTGCAGTGAGCTGAGATCCGGCCACTGCACTCCAGCCTGGGTGACAGAGCGAGACTCCGTCTCAAAAAAAAAAAAAAAAAAAAAAAAAAAGACAGAGATTGTCAATGTGGATAAAAAATAAAAATAGGTAGTTCTTTCTTTTAATCTGAAGAGTATGGCTTAAAAATAACTATGTTATAGGTATTTCTGATTTACCACTTAATAAATTCATTTTATTAAAATATTTCAATCTTATATAATCTAATACCATTAAACAAAAGCCTACTTTTCTTAATTTGCCCTAGTAGTCAAAAGACTGGCAGTAATGATGCTTAACATTTACTAAACAATGACTAATAACCTAAAATTAATTCAGTGAAAAGTTAATGTCCCAAGACAAAAGTAGGCTAATCTATTTATTAATTTAAGTAGGTTAATCTATGTCACTTTTCAGTGAAGAAATTTATAGATTTACAATACAATGTTAACTAAATCTGATTAGATTAACAGCTTATTCTGACCAAGATTCCCAGGAGGAATCATGGGACAATTTCAATGTAGGTTTCAGTAAAGGAATCTTTCCAGGTCGCCTCTATCCTAAAATGCTGGTAAAGTCTCAAAGTAAGTAATGCTACAAAAGAAAGATTTCAGCTAACAGAACCTATTGGGCTTTTAAGCTATCTGGAAGAGAAAATACATATGCTTATCACACTTTTGTACAAATATTATACTATGGATTTTTAATGAATATGTATATATATATACACATATTTTTTTTTAGACGGAGTCTCGCTCTGTCGCCCAGACTGGAGTGCAGTGGTGCGATCTCAGCTCACTGCAAGCTCCACCTCCCAGGTTCATGCCATTCTCCTGCCTCAGTCTCCAGAGTACCCGGGACTACAGGCGCCCGCCACCATGCCCAGCTATTTTTTTGTATTTTTTAGTAGAGATAGGGTTTCACCGTGTTAGCCAAGATGGTCTCGATCTCCTGACCTCATGATCCGCCCGTCTCGGCTTCCCAAAGTGCTGGGATTACAGGCATGAGCCACCGCACCCGGCCTAATGAATATATTTTTTATAACAATATGTGCTGAAGCTGTTTGTATTCCGGATTTAACCATTCAAGAAATCTGAATTAAATCATGTATAAAGAAGCTTTTTAAAACTTACTTGAAGCAGAAATAGCAGATAACAGTGCCAAGTATAAATCTATCCTCTTTGGCTGAGTCTTGTTCACTAAGGCCAGTTTATCATCAGCATGACAGGCTGCCATTAGCCCAGCCCAGACAGCAGGATCACCTAAAAACAGGAAACACACAGTGATAAGTCTTGTTAAAATCAACATGTTGCTTAAAAACTATCAAAAATGAGATTAAGAGTTTACAAGTTAAAAAAAATTGTATCTAAAAAAAAATTTCACTTTCTCAAAGGAAAACTAAATTGCACTTGTTTTCAGAAACACATTGCTACATTCATCTTTCAAGATTTGCCAATTTTTCCAAACATATCAGAGGATGAGAAACATCCTATTAAGTTCTTCTTCCATGGCTGGTTAGCTCAGCTGCCTAGAGTGCTGTATTACTGTGGAAAGGGCAATTAGATTCACTTGCACTGAACACCAAGGATAAGTCTCATTCATCTTCGTTACTTAGTAGTTGCCATTTTAAAGACTCAGTCCTAGGACAAGGAAGATAACACCAGTTCTTAAGAAAAGTTTAAGCCAAAGGAAAGACTCAAGATTTTAATTATATTCTAATAGGCAAGCATGAAAGTAACTTCATCATTCCAAGTGAAGCATTTATATGACTATATATCCTTCATTCATTTGATCTTTCCTTCTTTCCTTCACCCTTCACAGCAGCTTCAGGGGAGGGAAAAGAAGAAAAGTCCAACAGCAGTGAGTTGGAAGGTAACTTTCTATGTATAGAAAAGATTATGTATAAAGACTTCTTTTTTTAAGAAAGTTGTGAAAAAAAACGTGAAGGGGATTTGGAATTTAGAAGTTTTTTCTTTTCATTTGTTTGGTCATTTATTTTTATAAATCTTATTTTGCCCTTTACTTCAACAAGTTAATATTTTAGTCCTGCTACTCTTAAAAAACAAATGAACGCTTTCAAAAGCTCACAAGGGGGTATTAGTTAACAATATAGTCACTTGATCATACTTTTTAGCTTTGGTTTTCTATTTTTTCTTATCTGACCACCCCACCCAATATGTTTCTCATCAAATATCTGAAATATATATCAACTTCAGTTATAGGTGACCAGTATTACTGCTAAAAGTACAAAAATCAACAAAATTACAAGAATCATTGAAGTCTTATGCAGATCAAATACTTTTACAAAAAGTTCAATACATACCTCCATATAATGAAACAATTTCCACTCCAAATAATGACTACCTTATTTTAAGTAGCATAGACATAATCAAATTCCAGAATACACAAATGGGGACTATTTTCTAGAATTTATGATAAAATCTGATTACTATATAAATAAAGGCACATGACAGCCTTAGATGTGGGTGTCAGGTCTAGCCATGCCACTAATTAATGTGTAGCAGTTCTTCCTTTAGGATTCATTTTCCTATAAAACAAGACAACTAAACTAGATAATAGCTGAGGTGCCATAGGGTCTTAAATTCTATGATTCCAACTGAAGTGGACTCAATCTCTGAATATTAACTTAATCCTAAGATTAAGGGGATAGCCCCTTTAGGGATCTTACAGTATTGTATAGTTTGGATTTCTGATTGGAGAATGGACAATAGCTGGCAGCAACTTTCTCTATCACAACACAAAATAATTACTGTTTCCATGAACTCTTCCACAGATGACCAGCAAACCAAATTCCCTATAAAATGGAGTGACTCTAAGATAAAATATAAACTACAACCCCCAAAATTTTAAAATACAGCTTGCTAAAAATACCTCTTAGTATCACAGAAGCACTAATGTAGCAGAAATTGGAATTTTTTCCATTCAATTCTAAATTCTTGGAATTATCTTTAAATTCCTGACAAGACTCCCTGGAATAACATCTATCAAAACTGTGCTTTGTTCATCCAAAGATCTACAAGGACTAGGTGTACAGCCACTACACATAATGACAGTTATATTCATTTTCATTGGACTCTAAGGACAAGTCTCGAACAGGCGCTCATCTTTGCCACTAAGTCACTGTTCTAGCATCTTATGTGATGTCTCTGCTTCCTCGAGTATGTATTTATCCAGATAATCCGGGAACATCAGAGATCATTAGAGAGGACCTAATCTGGGCAATCTCACCTTTCTAAAGTTTTTGTCCTTACACAATCAAAGGCTAATAGATCTTTTATCATTCTGGATCCACAATAAGAATTATTGAGAGTAAGTTTATCTAATATCTGCTTGAGAACTCCAAAAATAAAGAACTTACCAATATATATATAACATAGACAAATCAAAATGTTTAGTCTCTTTTTGTTTCTATGTCAAAATGAAGGAAAACGTAAACAACAGAATATTGATTTTTTTACTTAGTTTACAAAATAATCCCTGAAATGTTAGATATTTTGCAGCTTAATGAGAGTCTTTACAATTTATTGTCAAGATAACACTGAACTTGTTCTTGGTATAATTTCTTTCCCAACAGTGCTTAGCCTAAAGCAATAGCATTCTGATCTAACACATCTGAAGAGTTAAAGGAGAATAAATTTCATGCATTATTTCATATTTAAAATACTGTATTATGTAAAAATATACCTTATAACCCTATATTGCTAGACATTCCAGTCTTCTACGGCATTTTTTGTAGTGATGGAACATGCTTAAGTAACATTCTTCAGTACCTTTGTGATCAACAGCCTATATATGACACAATTAGCTCAGGTGAGGCCATAACTGTGTCATTTCTAACAGTTACCACACAAGATACATCCCCATCCTTCAAGAAGCTAACTACACATAAAAATATCTAAATATGTATGTTAAATAATTTAGCAACTATGGGTGAAACTCTTTAAACCATATTGATGCAAAATGGAAATAAAACTGTTTCTTGAAAATACACATATAGTTCAGATTTTCAGTAACAGGTAATAATAAAGTATCACTAAGCAGACATTCCTTTAGGCCTATTTCGATAATTGATGCTCTCTTAATTATCAGTAGCCAAAAGCAGATAATCAAATGATATGCAAAATCTTGAAATATTTTCTTAAAATTCTTTTGACTTATTTCATGAAAATATAAACTTTGCTCCTATAAATCACAAATAAATGCAAGATTGATAGAATCCAAATTCAAGAATATAAATGTACTGAATTATCACATGCACCTTGAAACTATGTGAATCTATAATGCATCAATTTAAAAAGTCATTTCTGATAGCATTATATATTGTATTAAACACTTACATAGTGCAAAATACTTTAATCACTCAAACTCCTGTTGTAGAAGATCTAAATTACGCACATTTTTGTCTGGTATAAACAATGCCAATAAAATATATATTGTGTGCAAGATTTTTCCCCCACTTACAAAATATGTATTTAGAAAAAAAAATTGGAATTAATGAAATAGATATTATATGCACCTGGAGAAAGGAGAGCTGCCTTCTGAATGGTCTTTAGTGCAATATTTTTTTCATCTTCTCCTGAACTGCTTCCCATAGCCAACTGATTTACTGCAGTGTACAGTAACGCCTTCTACATAAGAGCAAAGAAGTATGTTAGCCAATTTTCCTTATAGCTCCCTCTCTTTCAAACTGACTAAAAGACTCCATTTGATATGATATAATCACTAAGGTTATGAAAACTATTATTCCTTCATCAGTATTATTTAATAAATTCAACATTTCCTTTGTACTAGGACAAACTAACCTTTCCGTGATTTGAGTCCAGGATATGAGCCACATTTCCTGCTACCACACCTCCCTAGAACAGAAAATATTGATGATTTATACAAATGCAAAAACTTTCATGAAAAAGTAAATTTAAGATTGATAAGGCCTTTCCACTAAATCACTGGAAAGGTTCAGTTTTACCACTTTCACAACTCCTAACCTTCTTAAAAGTATCAATTTATTATTAATGTTTGAAAAGACTAATAATCTTGTGAAAGGAAATCTTTTCTACTGTGACCAACTCTTCTTTCAAAATATTCATTTATAGGCTCAAAAGTTACGTAATTTTACCAACCAAATGTATACATTTTCTAATAATATAAAAGATTATAAAGACTGAGAGAGATCACAAAAATAAATTAACATGGCTTACTATATGAAAATACATAGTATTTTCAAAACTTACATACTGCAGTAAAATAAAGTTCAAGGCACCTCATCATTGCTTCAATAATCAACTCAATACTAAAAATTAAAAAAATACGTGTAGCATCACAGGGTTTTCATTAGCTCAGTTTGAAATCTATAACTTTAAATAATTGCAGCTATTTCATATGGTTGTTGAGATTATAAAAATGCTGATAGCTGACACATAATAAAGCACTTCATTCAGGTAATTTTGGAGTCGAATAACAATGGTCTTCCAGGTCCTTTGAGCCAACTCACTCATTAAAAATAACAAAAAATGTGAAATAAAACCCTGCTGCTCAAACTGCGGCTTGTGCCTCTGCAGCGTCCACACACTCTAAGAGGTTGTTAGATGTGCAGAATATTGGGTCCCGTCTCAGGCCTACAGAATTAGAATCGGCATTTTCACAAGATCACCAGGTGACTTCAGTTGCACATTACAGTTTGAAAAGCACTGAGATAAAAGATTTTAAAACCATATTCTTAAAAGCACTGAAAGATTGACAAGATATTAAGGACTTACCAGGTCAAAATTGACAGGGAAAACTGGAATTCAGAGAGACAAGTGAGCAGGGAAGCCGCTTCTGCCGTTCCCAAATGCTAACAATTTCTTTTATTTTTTTTTTTTAGATGGAATCTTGCTCTGTTGCCCAGGCTGGAGTGCAGTGGCACAATCTCAGCTCACTGCAACCTCCGCCTCCCGGGTTCAAGTGATTCTTCTGCCTCAGCCTCCCAAGTAGCTGGGACTACAGGTGTGTGCCGTTATTTCCAGCTAATTTTTGTATTTTTTGTAGAGACAGGGTTTCACCATGTTAGCCAGGCTGGTCATGAACTCCTGACCTCAGGTAATCCACCCTCCTCGGCCTTCCAAAGTGCTGGGATTACAGTCATGAGCCACCGTGCCTGGCCCAAATACTAACAAATTTTAATTTTAATCCTGAAGGACGCATGGGCTGGTAGGACAAAAATTAAGGCCCAGGTTAACACAAGGAGGGGAGTATAGAGGAGACCTACATCAGAATAAGCTGAGACCCCAACAGGCCACACCCTAAGATTCAATGTGAATCAGAATTAAGCCAGGTCTCAGGAACTAGCAACCCAAGCACAAAGTAGACTGCTTGGTCCAAAAACCCCAAGTTCTAAACTTTGTATAATGTAGTCCCAGATTGGTGGACCTCCCAAGCACCCAGCGGAAGCAAGTACAAATTACTTCTGTAGAAAGGTACCTTAATTCTAGGCCTCAAATTATTCCTAGAAATAATTTTCAAGTACACACAATTGGGTAAACAAAGAAACAAAGCCACCAAGAATGAAATTCCGTAGGAATAACAAACAAGACTCACAGATGTCAAACAAGTGTGTGGGTCTTGTAGATTTCAGATACTGGAATAATTAGCCGTGGTAAGCTGTTGAAAACATTAGCTATTACCATCATGTTTACCAACTTGTGAAGTGAACTATGAGAGGATATATTAACCACAGAAGTTAATAGAAGAATACAGACTCCTGAAAATATCTGGCTGTTAGAAACTAAAATGTAGTGTATAATCCTTTATAGAATGTCAATGACTTCATATTTATAATTACATAGTTGTATATTAGCAGTGTTCTAGTTCTTACTGCCTTATCTTTAAGATGATTTTAAATAAAATTATCTTTTGGGATTCAAGAACACATAGCTAATGCTTACTAGTGGCAGTGTTACATTATTTTATCACATATCATTACCATAATCTGTATGTGTTCAAAAAGATCTTCCTACTTCTTTGTAGCTCCCACAACATCTAGAACAGTGCAACGATACATGAAGAAAACTCAGTCTAGTATTCGTTGGATGACTAATGGAAAATTTAGCTAATAACAGAACTTTCTTCATTGTATAAATTATCTTTCAGAAGAATAGTGTCGTAGTTTAAAATTATCATATTTACCACATAACAAGTTATTTTATCTTTTTGCTAGAATTTGAAACATTACTTTACCTTTGCATTTCGTTGAGCATACTGTGCAACAACTCGAGACAACAGAGACCAAAGAGCAGGGTCACCAGGGTTGCTAAAGAGATCATCGAAAGTAGCAGGCTTAGGGACAAGTTACTTTAACCACAAAATGTACAAGCAACTAACAATTTATTAAGTTTAAAACCTTTTAGACATCTAAAACAAGTTCATATTAATTGTGCATGTTTGGTTGAAAGTATTTTTAGAAAACATACTTTATATCACTTATATACTCCAACAGTCTTTATGAAAATAAGAAGAAAAAAATCAACAATGGATGATTATAAAGTCATGAGATAATTAAGAAAAGTTAAGGAAATTTAACACACTGTGTTCAAACACAAAGAGATTAAAAATTATAGGATAAGTAATCTTGCATGGCAGGAAGATGACTACTAATAAAAATGACATAAGGAATAAGCTTTATATTAAAATAACTTAAAAAAAACCCAGCAGATTGTTAATAAAAATGAACTCTGAAAGGAAGAGAGACTACAGACAAGATACTTTACTGCTAAAAATAAAATATAATAATTAACCACTGCTGCTAATGACAGCTTTCCTTTTTTCAAATTTTGAAGAAATTAATGAATCTTTAAATGGCTGAAAATTACTAAAACCATCAATCTAGATAGTACCAGACAACAGACTAAGAATATTACAAACTTGGGAATTAAGAGCTTTAATAGCAAAACAAAGTTTGGGCCTTAACCTGACTAAGGGCCAAACTTATCAATTGAATTAAAAAAACACAATCCTTATAGGTAAAATAATATATATAGTCAGGTCCTGCGTAAAATTGCATAAAACCAGGGTGTCGTTTTCAAATGTATATTCTTACCTTATTTTATAGTATTAATAAAGTCCAAATGTCAAATGCAATGATATCAAGTATAATTAGGTTCCAAGTTCACAAATACAGAATTTACCTGTGAACAGCTTTAGATACTTGTTTTTGCACTGCCACACTGCGACCTTGGAGTGCATAAATCGCTGATGTAAGAAGGCACCTCTGATAATTACTGTCTTTGTGTTTGGTGTGCTTCAGTAACTCATTAAGTGCTGCTTTTGACAGTGTAGCATCCTGCATTGCCAACCCTAGAGCACACAGGGCTTGAAGGCTTTCTGTGGTTGGTTCCTTTAAGATAGAGCTGTAAATATATTTTAAAATTACCTATTAGTTATGACTAGAGTAGTTTTTTTTGTTTGTTTGTTTGAGACGGAGTCTTGCTCTGTCGCCCAGGCTGGAGTGCAGTGGCGCGATCTCAGCTCACTGCAAGCTCCGCCTCCCGGGTTCACGCCATTCTCCTGCCTCAGCCTCCAGAGTAGCTGGGACTACAGGCTCCCGCCACCACACCCAGCTAATTTTTTGTATTTTTAGTAGAGACAGGGTTTCACTGTGTTAGCCAGGATGGTCTCGATCTCCTGACCTCGTGATCCGCCCGTCTCGGCCTCCCAAAGTGCTGGGATTACAGACGTGAGCCACCGCGCCCGGCCTATGACTACAGTAGTCTTTATCTGTAACTATTAAAACATTATTTAGTATAAAAAGCAATTTACGTAAAGATTCACCAAACTAAACCCAATTTTAAGATTAATATAAAAGCAAAATTTCTTGGTGTTTAGAGATAGCAATTTCCCTGATTGAAGCAGTTAAAAACATCAATGACTTTTCACAGAGCAACAAAAGCCAAACGTATTTTCTGGTCATTATATCTAAGTGATATGGTTTGGATCTGTGTCCCCGCCCAAATGCCATGTTGAATTGTAATCCCCAGTGTTGGCAGTGGGCCTAGTGGGAGGTGATTGGATCATGAGGCAGAGTTCTCATGAATGGTTTAGCACCATCTCCATTTAGTACTGTATAGTGAATTCTCACGTGATCTAGTTGTTTAAAAGTGTGCAGCGCCTCCCTCTCTCTTCCTCCTGCTCTGGCCACGTAAAACATGCCGGCTTCCCCTTCACTTCCTGTCATGATTATAAGTTTCCTGAGGCCACCCCAGAAGCAATGCTGCCATGCTTCCTGTACAGCCTGCAGAACCTTGAGCCAATTAGACCTCTTTTCTCTGTAAATCACCCAGTCTCAGGTATTTCTTACAGCAGTGTGAGAACTAACAAACACATTAAGTTTTAGAAACAAATATAAATTAGCTTCTTTGAGTTTCACTTCTAGGTAAGTAATTAGCACAATTTTGCTAAAATATTGAGTTCCAATAAAATATTAGAAGGTATAAATAATAAAAAAAAACTCTTCAATTAAAATATGATTTTTATCATTCCAAAAAAGCTTTGTCCTATTTGCTCTATGGTATTGAAACTAGCACTTTACATAATAAGTACAGATTGTCTCTATATCCACTATACTCCAAATGAGTATTTTTATAATTTAAGGAGAATTTACATTTTATAGGTAAACATCTAGCATTTTTTTTCTTCTTTCAACTATAATATCTGACTTAGCCTTATGGAGGAAAATCTATTAATGTTTAGGAATCCCAGTTAATTTAAATAAAGAAAATCTTAGCTCTCCACTAACAATCAAACTTATAAGAATTATTATGAATTTTATACTGCAATAAAAATAAAGGAATTTTTTTAAACTTTTTTTTTTTTTACTTAAGTGGTTTTATTTTATGTGCAAATAATGAACAGATCTACTTTCCAAAAACAGGAGCTTTTTAAAAGAAAACCACATAATAACTTTTAAAAGGCACTGGAATTCCTCTGCTTCTAGATCATTGCTAGGCAAGAAAAATAAAGTTTGTTGTACCAGGAATCACAAGTTAGAACTGAGTATTCTCCAAAGTGGAAATTCTAGAGTGTAATGTCACTCCAGGCAAAGACTATTCAGTTCTCATCCCCAAATTACTATCAGAAGGGTTAAACCAGGTCAAAACAGTCCAGCATAATTAGGCTTCATCAAACAATGTCATTATGCTCTTCTAAGATGCAAGTAAACCAAAACAGGAAATACTAAAATCAAAATAATATTTGACACTTCATACAAATTGTTAGTTCTTTGTTGTATCCCTCCTTCTATAACATTAATAAGGGGAATATTTTACTCAAAGAATATTTTATTTTATACATCGCTAGCCATGAATTTTTGCCATTAGTTATTATACAAATGCTGCCTAGTGCCATTATCCAAACGGCATAACCATTTTACGTTCACAATTCACTTCTATAGTTACAAATAGAATTTTCATGATTTACCTAAGTACATCTATCGGTGAAGATTTAACACGGAGATGCAATCTAACATCTGTAATATCTGATGTTGTGTAGATGGCAATGCAGGAAAGATATATTTTAATTACTTTTCATTTAAGTGATCTCATATAAAAAATAAACTAATAATTTAGCAGGTCCAAGTTTTAAACAATGCTCATTGAAATATAACAGAAATATTTATAACATTATAAAATGTCACATATCTACCATTACCTCTTTGGACTATTTTTGGAAGGGGGAAATTAAGAGTTTTATACTTCATTTTGACAAGCAGGTATGAAATCATGAATTTTCTGAGGCAGCTCTGAAGTAAATAGCTTACGTAAAGTATCCATAGTAACTCTTTTTACAATAAGAGTTAATACATATGTGTCCAAATATGGAAGTATGTCAGTCAGTGTCATGTCTAGCAAATAACCATATGGCTAATGGGTACAACTAAAAAAGGCAAAAAGCAAATAGTAAAATACAAATTTCAATATTGATAACAAAAAAAGAAATTCTAATTTGTGCCTTGCTCAATGGAAAAAAAAAACTACCTAATTTAATACTTATTAATAAACAAAATCTAAATTATGACTGAAATGACTACGTTCTAATATTAAGCAAACACGTGCTGAATGCTCAATACCTGTATGTTGTATTTTACCATGTTCTCAGGATTTTACACATGGTTATTTACTATCATAAAGTGTATAAAGTTGGTAACCAAATTTTTTTCCCATAATGAACTAAATCCTATTCCCCTTAAATCAGTGCCTAGAACACTGCTCAGTTCCCAACATATGAATGCCAAACAACAGCAGTATAGGTTAAGTAACTGAACTTTTCATAGAAAGAAAATCAAACAAAAGAGTGCCAATGGGCAGAGATGGAAGCAGTTGGTAGTGTCAAGCTTGGGTGAAGACACGCAGAAAATCAAAAACAAAGAAAGAAACATAAAAAACAAAAAAACTAGGCTTGGATCCAACAACATAAAACGTAGGGGTAAAGGTTTTCCTTCACATAGGTGAAGGGGAAAAAAAGATTACATTGTTATTTTTTCTCCCACTTCCATTTCCTGTCTTAAGCAGTAACCAAAGACAAATCTAATGACTCTAATATGGGGTTACTTTTGCCCTTGATAACTGCAGTCATCATTAGTATCTATGATTCTTGTCACCAAGCCATTTGCAAATTTAAGTTCTCAAAACATGTTATATATAACCATAGATACATGTTAAAAGGATATAGGCATGTAAAGTGACAGGATTTTCTTTTAAATGGGTTGGTTTTTCCTAACCAGCAAAGAGGAAGAAAAAAAAATTGCTTATTTATTAGACAAGGAAATGACTGTAATGGCACAGGATAAGGCAAAGGCATTACATCAAATAAACGCATGTCAAGTTTATCCTATAGAACTGGTTCTCAACCAGTACCATCTAACCATCTCTATCCCCCCACCTTTGGAGATGGGGTAGTTACAGAGGCAATTTTTTTGTTGTCACAATGACTGAGGGGTGCTAATATTACCACTTAGTAGGTGGGAGGCAAGGATATAAGCTTTTTGCAATGGGAGAATATCTCTGTACCATGAAGATTAGTACCACTCAAAAATGCCAATAAAACACTCATTGAGGCCACTGTTCAATAGCATGCATTAATTACTACTGCTTGTGAAGGAATTAAGGCCAATTTTCTAAACAACTAATCTTCAAGAAGTTATAAAATATTATATAAGTAACCACAAATAACACAGGTTCTTATTTTATTAACTTACTCCAAAAACACAGAAATAATTTTAAGTTTTGTTACTCATTTTTAAAAAGATTCACCTTTAAATGAACCTTTTAACAGGTTATTGTGAAAAGGAAAGAAGAAAACATCTCTTTGGGAATCCAAGAAGCCAAAAAACAAGGCTTCGTTACAACTATCTTCATTAAAATTTTAGGATACTACTTATCAGGTAATCAGATTATCTTTAAAAAAAATACGCAACAGAGTATAGGACAGTTTTGAAAGATCCAATAGATCAAGGGCTAAGAATTAAATTACAATCTGTAGCTCCACCTGTGACTATCAGTTCAGAACCAGGTGGGCCCAATCCCTTTTGTTCACCCAGAAGTTCCTAAAGCATTAAGAACTTCATTTTACATTGCTCCAAATCTCAACCCAAATATTTAAGTATCTGGTCATGTTAAATGTTGATGTCAACTATACATACCATTTAAATAGCAATGTCTTGGCTACATCCATTTTTCCTTGTTTATATTCAGTTATTGCCAGAGCTGTCAAGATATGCGCTTTGTCTTGCTCTGATTCAACAATAGACAAGGCTCTCTCATAGGCTGTTACATAAAATTGAAAACAAACAAAACAATATAAAAGCCATCCTGATTGATGAAGCATGGCATTTTTTCTTTCCGAATCCTATTTTTCAGAAAGGTCTAAATACAATTACATCTTTGTATTCTCCTGTTCTCAAGCAGATAGAATAAAACTTTATAATAATCTAACTTGTTTTCAGTGTTCCAAGGTGATTCTCAGGTATCATTAGGATTATTATGTGACAATCTCTAACTTCTACCTTCAGAATCTATATGGGAATCTAGGTCACTGTCTTTAAGAGCCAAAGCAGAGGCCTGCGGCCACTGAGATATCACCAAAATTCCCACGTGCAGCCAAGCAACTCCATCAAGCAGTAGATACTTAAATGCTCTATACACATGTGGGCTAAGCCCATACATGTGAAAATGCATCATTTAACATATTTGGAGAAATCAAAATCTATTACTAACATGGTTGAGGTCTTCATTTATCAGAAATTAATATCTAAGCAGTGTAGAGCAGTAAACATTTGCTTTCAAATGCTAAGTCACATATTTGTCATAAGTGATCTTGGGCCTCAGGTGCCTCATTTGTATAATAAATACTCAGCTCATAACACTACTATAAAGACTACTCATCATAATAACATTCTAAATGAGGTAACAGATAAAAAGTGCCTAGTATTGCTCCTGACTCCTAGTCAGATTTTAATAAACATTGCAACCCCCACCCCATCTCATTATTACATCTTTCTGTATGTATGCTCATCATGATTAAACTCAACTCCAGAAAAGACGTGTCCTTTAGCTTCAGGGCAATATTCTTACCTTTGCTGCTCTCTTTATAAAGCCCCTTCATGAATAAAGCCAAAGCAAAACCTATGATGTCTTCTAACTCTTCAAGGGGTGTTGACTTAAAAGCCTGGATAGCTTTATCATATTCGCCAATGGAACTAAGAAGTAAAACACAACTTACTTTTAATATCAAAAGTAATTCTGGCATGTATCATCAAAATACAGAGATACAATTACACTAAGTTGGGCCGGGCGCAGTGGCTCACATCTGTAATCCCAGCACTTTGGGAGGCTGAGGGGGGTGGGGCAGCGGGGGGAGGGGAGTGGATCACAAGGTCAGGAGTTCAAGACCAGCCCGGTCATCATGGTGAAACCCCATCTCTACTAAAAACACAAAAATTAGCCCGACATGGTGGTGCATGCCTGTAATCCTAGCTGCTCAGGAGGCTGAGGCAGGAGAACTGCTTGAACCCGGTAGGCGGAGGTTGTAGTGAGTCGAGATTGTACCACTGCACTCTAGCCTGAGCAAGACAGAGCAAGACTCGTCGCAAAAAAAATAATACTTTACACTAAGTTTCTTCTGATAATTTCATGTGTACTTCCTTTTTTATAGTGGTCTACTAAATTACAAATTGTCTCTCTCTTCTTTTTAACAAACTTTAATTAAAATCCCAAATTATAAAAATAATTTCAAGTTGACTTTTATATGGATCTCTAATTTTTTTAAGCTTAAGACTTAATTAAATATTACCCTATGAGTATGGTTCTAGCATCTTTGCTAAGCTTAACAAGTCATAAAATGCCTAGTCAGAATCAAACCTATCTTTTGTATAAACTGTTTATCTGCACATTTTTCTTTTTTGGAGGACATATAGACACACTAAAATTCCATGAACAAAAGCATTATTCCTTTTTGTGTTTAAGAGGGAGGAGGCCGGGTGCAGCGGCTCACACCTGTAATCCCAGCACATTGGAAGGCTGAGATGGGCGGGTCACTTGAGGTCAGGAGTTCAAGACCAGCCTAGCCTGGCCAACATGATGAAACCCCGTCTCTACTAAAAAAATACAAAAGTTACCCAGGCGTGGTGGTGGGCGCCTGTAATTCCAACTATAGAGGCTGAGGCAAGAGATTCACTTGAACCCGGGAGGCAGAGGTTGCAATGAGCCGAGATCGAACCATTGCACTCCAGCCTGGGCAACAAAAGAGAAACTCCATCTTAAAAAAAAAAAAAAAAAAGAGGGAGGAAAATATAAACTGTAATATATACTAAAGTGCAATACTTATTAATAACAGAAAAATAACTTGTTTTTGCTTAAAGATAAAAGGAATTTGTATAAGCTCAACCGCCATCATCTGAAGAGATTTAAGATTCTTCTTTCTAGTATCCATCACCATAATCTGAATGTTTTTATTTTTAATGTGTTGTGGAAATGCTTTTATAAAATCTTTTTAATCTTTGAGGATATGAATGGAGGCTAAAAATATAGGCAACCTTCACTCATAAATAAGTTTTTAAAAAGTGAAAGAACTTATAAAATCAACACTTAAATTTTGATAAAGGAAAGAGGACTACTTTAGATTGTTTATGGATACATACATATATATTGAAAGTATTTCTTTAAATGAACACTATCTTCTAAGATGTGCGTGCTTTTGTGGAGAAAAGAATGGAACTACGGAAGGGAATGTGGGTGCTTCAATGAATCTATCTGAAATTTTTCTGGAAAAAGTAACCTGAAGGTTGGGCGTGGTGGCTCACACCTGTAATTCCAGCACTTTGGGAGGTCAAGGTGGGTGAATCATGAGGTCAGGAGTTCGAGACCAGCCTGGCCAACATGGTGAGACTCCATCTCTACTAAAAATACAAAAAATTAGCTGGGCGTGGTGGTGGGCACCTGTAATCTCAGTTACTCGGGAGGCTGAGGCAGGAGAATCTCTTAAACCCTGGAGATGGAGGTTGCAGTGAGTCGAGATCACGCCACTGCACTCTAGCCCAGGCAACAGTGCGAGACTCCATCTCAAAAAAAAAAAAAAAGAAAGAAAGGTAACCTGAAACAAGCTGACAGAATTTTAAGCTATAATTTGATTGGTGAGTTTTCATTAAATTATTCTATTACTCACTGCATGTTTGCACATTTCATACATTTCATAAAAGTAAATTTTAAAAAAACAGATAATTTGTTTTCAATTGAAGGTATACATTTTCTTCTAAAATACTTACATTAGTACTTAGATTATATAAAACATCAAAACTAAAAAGAACGGATACTTTATTCCATACAATATATCTGTCCTCTACCTTCAACAAAATCTTGGAGCTGACAGCTCTTTCAACTTTTAAATATTTTTTCAACTTTTAAATATTAACAGTTTAAATGACTAAAAGGAGAGGCAGTCAGAACAGTATAATTTTCCAAATCTGGATATTTTTCAAGTACACAGTTATAAAAGAAAATAACCGGCTACCTAAGGTCTACCATGTAGCTCCTTAAAAGATGTGGCACTAATCCTAAAGCATCAAAGTATAGTTTTAACAGTGTTTTGCAAACTGCACCATTCAAGTTTAGGGCACTCTAGGATGCTGCCTTAACTTGAATCAAAAACCTTCCTCCTACAATACTTCCATCCTCTGGTGTTAGTTCTACCCTCTAAAACAATTGGTTCTTAACCTTTCTTTCTTTTATTCTTTTTTAGAGTTAGAAGTCTCTGAAAAACTGAGGAAAGAGCTCCTTCCTCATCCCCAAAAGGTACCCACGCAACAATTTTTGTGTACTATTTCAAAGGGGTTACTGGACCCCTAATGTCCATCCTCAGTTTAAGAATATATAGCAAATCAGAATAAATCTAATTCCTCTTCCAATTAACTAGACTTCTACTATTACAGATGGCCACTACCTCTCTTCCAAATGTTCTCATCTCCAGTCAACAAACCATGAGTTCTAAATCTGTTCCATATAAAGCACACCGGGGTTAGTTAGCATTATAGGTACAGGAAACTGTTAACAGAGCCTGTTTCTATGGAAATTATGTATCCTACATGTCCCACTGTTCTGGGAACTAGTCAGCATATCACCAGTTCCATAGCTTTCACCAGAAAAATACAATCAATTGATAGACTTAATGGAGAAAAAAATATGCTTACCATAACAATCTGCCGTAATTTCTTATCGCAACATTATAAGTATCTTGGTCTTCTGCACTCTGTAACAACAAAATTGCCCTTAAAAAAAAAAAAAATCAAGGTATTTTAATTTATCTCTGTGCAATAGCATTCTGTTACCTTCCTCTTTAGCTGAATCCACAGATATTTGTTCATTTAGTTCTACTAATTCTTTGGTGCTAGTTATAATAGCTTATTCATATTTTATTAAGTTGGTACAACAAAAGAACTTACAGATATTTAGATTTTAAACTGTTGGGAAAATAATATCTAAATGACCTCTTAGTAAGTGAAATTATTTATTACATTTGAGCTCTAAATATTCCAAAAATCTAAATATGGGAAATAACTATGTCACAGTTTAAAGTTTTGACATATTTGGAGTTCATAGACAACACTCTTGAAACTATTTATATATTAGTAGTTTGAGTTAGGAAGCCAGGAAATTGAATGCTTTCATGCGTCCTTGCTTGTACATACAGAAAAAATATTTAGAGAAAAGTAAGTTGAGGGAAGAGGACTAGTCACTAGAAGTCCCTCAAGGATTGGAATAAATAACCTGCTGATAACGTGTATTTTCTTCTCATGGTCAGTTCCCTATGGCCAGGCAGGGAAATGTCTTAACTACTAAAAAGGGTTGGATATTTAACAAGATTTTTGGTTTTTATTTTCATTCCCATTTAAAGAGGACCAGCAAGGGAGAAATAGCCAACAAAGACTTTCTATCTCCCTGATGTTGCATGAAAAACAAGAATTTGCTAGAGAAGCCTAGAGACAGTATTACAGAGATGAAAAACTATACCCCTATTTAGATGTATGCCTAATTTGTGGTTTCAACCATCAAATACTTGTTTAAAGCAGAAAACAGCAGTGATGATCAGTCAAGAAAGTGGTACACACACCCAAGTGACTGTGGAGATGCCATTTTAAGCCTAAGGTGCAACCAATGTTAAATTCACAATATCTGCAATAATAACGATATGTCGTTTTTATTTATGTCATTTATATATATGTCATTTGCTATTGCAAAAAAAATAGCAAACACCCTAGCTGCCTAGTTTTCTCTGTTTAAAAATCTTGCTCACTGTTGCAGTCTGTCATATTTATAGTTTACTGTTAAGTTTGTTGGCTTTGAAAGAAGCAAAATAGTGGTTTTTCATATACATTTATTTTCACATACTTCTTTCCATACACACCTGGAAAAATAACTTCTTGATTACACAAGCTCCAGTACCATCTAGTGATTACTCCTTTGAACTACAGAGAGATCCATAAAAGGATATGGCAAAGCATTCAGGACACCTCAATTATTTTTCACTTGACAAGGCTTCCTGTAAATATTTATTTAGATTTAGGGCAATAATGTGCCTCAGAGATTAGGCAACCAGGTCTTTTTACTTTTCATCTAGTAGTTGGTCATGAGATCAATAGTTATTTTCTTATCACCTATCCATTAATTTACATAGAAATTTATGTAGATTTCATTTCCTACCACTCTCCAGCTGGTCATTCCATTGTAGCACACTGGCTTTCTTATTCCGTAAATATGCCAAATCTACTCCTCCACTTCTCCACTTCTCTTGCTGTTCCTTCTGCCTAGAATCATCCTGCCCAGATAAACAAGTGGCTTGTGGCCTCAGTTCACTGAAGTCAGGCCTCAACTGCCTCCTTAGTTAATCTATCCATTCTTAAACTCACCTGAAATGTCACTTCCTGCCCTGCATTCTCTGGCCCTTTACCCTACTTTAATTTTCTTTCTTAGGAATTATTATCTTCACAGATGTTTATTAGCTCATCATGTCTCTTCAGCCACAGAACACACGTTCCATGAGAACAGGGCCTTTGTCTTTTTTAATTGACTGCAAAATAGCCAGTGCCAAGAACACTGCTTGGCACACAGTAGTCAACAAATATTTATTAAATGAATAAATACATAGTAGATATTAAAGTCATTCAAACAAACACATCACAATGTTCTTATTTCTTGTCTCACTGAACACATTTTCAAATCTAATAAAGTTAGATAAGTTCTTAAAAGACAGACTTTTCTAAAAATCTGATGTTTTTTGTTTTGTTTCTTCTTTCTTTTCTATCGATTTCTCTCTCTCTATTTCTCCACCCCACCTCCTTAAGATGAGCAACAAAAACCAAAATATAGCTGAAAATTTGGGATCACATCTTTTCACCTTCTAAGATGTAATAATAGTATACAAGGAAACATCAGGAAAGGAGTCAAAACAATTATTTAGTACCTTCTTCCTGAGAATGAAACTAACATTTGAAAAGCTAACTGATAAACAATGATTGCATTGCAACTGATGTAGAACTTTGTTCCTTAGTTCCGCTAAAACCAGGTCCTTGTCACACAAGCAGGAAAAGTTAGGCATGCAGACACACTGAAGGGTGAGGGGAACGGATTTATTGGGTGAAAAGGAAAAAAGAAAAAAACCTCTTAGCAAAGCGAGAGAGGTTCCTGCTAACAGACCCCCGTCTCACAGATTGATTCCAGGCCACACACACAGGAAATGAAGAGGCCAGGTTCCTCTTTGCCTGCAAATGGCATGAACTCCCCCAGGCTTCACCCCCTTCTCCCAATGCAGAGGCCAGTCAGAGATTCTCCAGGAACCCCTCCCCTCATCTTCCTCCTGCATCTATCACAATTAAATGTAGTTTACCTTTGGTATGCATTTGCTGCTTCCTTTTTGAGTTGCAGATGTTCGTTTAAGTAACCCAACATTGTGAAAGCTGGAGCATAATTCTGAATTCTTTCTAGAAAATGAGAAATATCTTCATTTTTACATATGCATACTGATGGCATTAACAAAATATTAGTTTTATTTTTTCAGTATCTTAAATACCAGATTACCTCTTGAGATCACTCACACTGTTAAGAATAGTGGCCTGATTTTATCTTGAATATAATATGGCAGTAAAAACTTTATTAACTCTTCTAATCACTGAATAATGTTTAATAGTTATATTTGATTTTAGTTGTATTAGTTTTAGTTGTATTTTAGAATTTAAACATTTTTATGCCCAAAGGTATCATAACTTGAAATTACAGTTCTTGTTAAAACCAGTCATGAGATTTATAAAGAAATTCAGTTCTTTGGCTAATTACTTAAGCCTTCCTATGATTAAATTAAGCAATAATTTCTCTTGGTGGTTCTGTTCCAACACATATGTATTTAAAAAAAAATAACAAAGTCAGTATTGTACACTAGAAACAGAAGGTAAGTTTAGTACTTTCAGTGCAGTATTTTGAAATTTGAATGTCAAAAAACATCATGTATCTGAAACCACCATTTCAAAATTATAACTGAAACAGTGACAGAAATCTGACCTAACTCTATCTTGCTTCTAACCTCCATGCTGTCCTCATTCATTCCTGGGTGTAGGCTAAACTAAAAATAGGAGGAACTTGGTTTATAGTTTATAGATAGAAACAAAGATGACAACAGCCCTTTCCCAAAACAAACTCCTTGCCTGGGGACTAGACCTGCCTTTGCAGGACCAACGAATTAGTCAAAAGATTAATTATGGTTTAGGAGTCCTGCAGCTGGAGGCTACAAGATTCTGACCCTCCCCAAATTGCTCCTGGGGATAACATCACTATTCAGAGCCTGCACTTGATGGATCAGCTGGCATCACCCAGATTGATAAACTGGCTCATCTGATCTTGTGGCCCCCACCCAGGAACTGACCCTGCGCAAGAAGACAGCTTCAAATCCCTATGATTTCATCTCCGACGCAACCAGTCAGCACTTCCAACTCAGGGCCTGTCCACCACCATCCACCAAATTATTCTCAAACATGCTGATCCCCAAATGCTTACTCGGGGAGACTGATTTCGGTAATAATAAAACTCTAGTCCTCCGCACAGCCGGCTCTGCATTAATTACTCTTTTTCTATTGCAATTCCCCTGTCTTGATGAATTGGCTCTGTCTATGCAGCGGGCAAAGTGAACCCGTTGGGTGATTACCTATCAAAGAAGGTGAAATGTAGAAAAAGAAACATATCTGATATAATCTACTTAAAAGTAGTAGTGGAAAGTAAGCCTTCAAATCCTTTAGATTATTTAACAAAGTACACCGTAACCATATCTTATGATTGTTAGGTTCTAAGATCAACAACTAAGGTTAAAATCATATAGTCAAAGTTATTATTGAAAAATCCTTCAAGTCACAACAGAAAGAGTCAACAAAACTGAGTCAAAATAAGCATGAGGGCCAGGCACAGTGACTCACACCTGTAATCCCAGCACTTTGGGAGGCTGAGGCAGGTGGATCACGAGGTCAGGAGATTGAAACCATCCTGGCTAACACGATGAAACCCCGTCTCTACAAAAAATACAAAAAATTAGCCGAGCATGGTGGCACGCACCTGTAATCCCAGCTAAACGGGAGGCTGAGGCGGGAGAATGGCTTGAACCTGGGAGGCGGAGGTTGCAATGAGCCGAGATTGTGTCATTGCACTCCAGCCTGGGTGACAGAGCGAGACTCTGTCTCAAAAACATAAATAAATAAAAAATGAGCATGAGGAGATCCATGCATTCACATGCCACACCCACCCTAAGGCAAACCTACCCTAAGTGCTGATGTTTGTAAATTAATTGCCTAGTCTACTGCCTCAAGCTAAATGCATGCAGAGTGCCACAATCCCCACAATATCTACAGTGAGGCATTTTCTCTCCTGTTTTTCACAATTCGTCCGATTCTTTATATTATTTGATTGTCAATATTTACTGTTTTCAGTATTCCTGCTTAAACTCCTTGCTTCTTTATTAGTATTTTGTCAATAGTTAATGAAACTAACATTTTCTTGAGCATCTGGGATATGCCAGGCACTCTGCATAACATTTTGTACAAATCACCTTATTTAAACACTAAGCAATAAATACTTTCCTGTTGAGAATTTTGGTAGCATGCCCAAGGTTTCAATCAAGGCTACTAATTGGTGGAGCAGAGATTAATAACCAAAACCAATGGTAGTTTTATTTTAAAAGACAAGAAATTATTACAATAGATGGTTAATAAAACTTCATCACTCTGTCAACTTCCTAAACCTAAACGTATTTTTCCAATATCTTCAAGAAAAATCAGGTGTTAAGTGGGGAAGCTAGTCACTGGGTTTGGTCCTTCATTTATATTATCTCACCTAGTTCTCACAACTCTACAATCCAGGTATTATTATATCCACTACCCAAGCAGCAAATAGAAGTTAAGGGAGGTAAAACACTTGGCCTAGGACTGCAGAGAAAGTAAAAGGCAAAGCTAGAACAGCAGCAACTGTTCTAGTGTATAGTGTATAGTGGACAGTGTATTAATACACTCCACTATAATATACTCTCTACTATAATAAGGAAATTACTTTTATCTTGCATCATTAGGTAACAATTATCTTTCTTCAGAAGCCTTTAGTAAAGTTTACAAAGTAAAGACTGCTTCGCCACTGCAAAGAGAAGGCAAATTCATGTCTTAAAGAATACCAATATTTAATTTGAAATGAATTAAATTAAAAAATTTTACTTTTAAAAATTATTTAAATTATTTCAATAGTTATTCAAATATCTTGCTATTATATAACAGGTAACTTACCTACGTATTTATTCAAAACAACTTGTGCTGCTGGAATAGCATTCATCTGGAGGATGTTGTACTGGTACAGCTCTGTTTCTCTGTTGCTTTTATCTTGTAATGTTGTGCAGACCCAATATGCATAACCTAAAGCTCCTTCAGTCTTTAAAAAGCCAATGTTAACAAGCAGACATAGAATAATAAATATGTCAATAAAAATTATAATAAATAAAACAATGCACTTCAATACAATAAATATCCTAGAACACATCTCAGTGTTCTTTAAGTCAACTGTTAAAAGTACCTTTAAATGAAGAGTCTCTATGATAAAACACAGCAAAGAACATATTGAAATTACTTGTTCCAATCCTAACTAGAAGAATGAAAGAGGATAAAATGCAGAAAACAGAGCCTCGCCTGATGGGTTGGCTTTCCCCTCCTCAGCACCATTGCCAAAGGTCAAACCAAAAAAAAAAAAGAATTCTAAAACATTTTCATAAATACTCTAGAAATGTCTACCATGCCTACTCCTTATCTCATGTCTATCTTTTTCCTAGAGTCTCAGTTTCTATTTTATTAATATATGACTGCTACTATATCTATTAAATCTCAATGTCATGTCATTTCTTCACCAGCTCTTGAAAGTTGGAGAAAAAAGAAAAATGGTAGTTCTTTAATTCAAGACAACTGTTTCTAAGAAAGAATAAATAATTAAAACAACTGATGTCATTAACATCTAATACCACTATCTATTCATTTTCTTTTTCCTTTTCTTAGAGACAGAATCTTGCTCTGTTGCCCAGGCTGGAGTGAGATGGCATGATCATAGCTCACTGTATCCTGAAACTCAAGGACTCAAGCAATCCTCCTGCCTCAGCCTCCTGAGTAGCTAGGGCTACAGGTATACACCATCATATCTGGCTAATTTTTAATTTTTTTTTTTTAAGACAGGGTCTTGCTATGTTGTCCAGGCTGGCCTCAACCAATCCTCCTGCCTTGGCATCCCAAATCACTGGGATTACAGGCGTCAGCCACTATGCCTAGCCCAATATCTACTCATTCCCTTAACAAGGATAATACTTTTCTCATTAGTGAATACTCAAGAAGAATGTTCAGATTCTTACATGCATATTTAGTTCTGTAGTGTGCCTGAAGAGATCCATAGTGTCGTAACTTCCAACTGCCTCAGCAATAAGAGCCTACAAAAGGAAAAAAACAGACTCTTAATGTGTTTAAAAGAAAATAACAATAATAATAAAAAATGAAACTATCTAGAAGAACCAAAGGTTTACTAGCAGAGCTTAAAAGCAAAGTTAACCAAAGTTTTTCACTTCTATTGTTATTATTTTAACTAAATCTTCCAGTTACCTGCTAAAATAAATTATTTTTAAAACCAAAAATACTTTTAAAATTTAAAAAAAGTGATTCTGATAATCATCTAAGATCTACTGACCTACAGCAGTACTACGCGAAGTGAGGTCCCTTGGACCACCCTCACAATCATCACTTGGGAGCAGTTAGAATGCAAATTCTTGGGCTCCCTGGGTTCAATGGTTGACACAGAGGTTTGCATAGCAATGCCTCTGCTCCCAGATGCTACCACAGTGAATGGGAACAGGAGTTCGCCTTTCGAGCTCTGCTTGCTTCACCAATTAACTACAATTAGGCCCAAGAGTCTAAAATACAATAAAAGATCTCTAAACCCTGATTAATAATTTTCTAATATGGGTGATGCTCCTACTCTCTGAACCAAAGCAACTGACTGCTTACTAATTCATTATAATTCCTCAACCAGGCAAGAACTTTGAGGCCACTCAGTCTAATCTCCTTCTTTTTCAGGTGAGAAAATTAAAATCCAGAAAAGTGATATGCTAAGGTAAAAAAAGAGAAAAAATCAGTAGGTAACAGACTCAGACTAGTAACAAAGTATCCTGATTCCTATTTGGCATTACAAAAATCTAAATTTTGGGGGAGGAGAGAATACTCATAAACAAGTGACAAATCAAATATGAAGATTTTACAGAAACCTAATACTCAAAATGATCTTTGTAAATGTGCATTTTCTTTGTACATGAGAGTTACACAATACAGTTATGGGTTTATTTTTTAGGCACAGTAATGTCAGACTGGTAAGTGTTCAGAGGCCCCCCCAAATCAGAGTTAAATCCTTACAAGCTATGTGGCCTTAGGAACGACACTTAGGATCTCTGAGTTTCCATTTCCACAACTATAAAGAGAGTATAACATTAACCATATTTCAAAGAATTGATGATAGATTAACTGAAATAGTGTATACAAAGAGCTAAGCATAGTGACTGGCACAAAGTAAGTCCTCAAATGCTATCCGTTACCATTATTATCACTATTATATATCAGTCAGTTACTTATATCAACAAGCTTATTAGTAACTATATGTTATATATCTTACTTGTCCAATCCAGCACATTAAATAAGATGGATCAAGGGACTGGGCCATTTTGAAAGCTTCATGAGCTTGCTAGGAAAAAAAGGCAAAAAATATTACAGCAAGTCATTTTATAAACTTATTAAATCGCTTATGTTTAAAAAGCATAAAATAAGAGAATAAGTCAAACCTCTCATCATAAATATGTATGAACATAAAACTTCACTGTTTAAGCATAATTAGCAATGCTTAAAGCAGTGTTTTAACTGCACAGTTCTAGGACTCCTAGGTGCAACAGATTTCTCCCCAGGTTAGGAGTTCTGAACCCCAGCAAAAGGGGGTTCTACCTTGTAGTCTGCAGAACTTTTAACCAACCAATCATGTGCCCATTAGCTAGCCATAGGTTTGAAGGCAATGATTAAATAAGGCTATCTATTCCCCTTTCTTTTAGCTTAACTGGGAGGATAAGAACTCACAACTAATGAAGTCCTAACCAATGAAGTCCCAGACATGTATTATACTGCTACTAGAGAGGGAGTGATCAACAACATAATTGTGCATTAAGCAATGAGGAAACTTCAAAAATATCTAACTTGGACACATTAACTTTGATGCTTTTTTTTTTCTGCCACAAAAAATAACTTTTTATTACATACTGCTTTATATTATTTTCTCAATAATCTATGTATGGCAGCAAACAGTCTTATTTTTCCTGTTTTTAAAAAGTAAGCTCACGGGTAACAACTATCCCATGCTACAATAAAACCACATCCATAGCTTACTAAGACATTGTTTTATTTAAATTTTTTTAAAATTTTTATTTAATTTTTTTAAAATGTATTTTAAAATCCAAATTAATATTTTATTTAATCTATTTACAATTTTCTAAATCCAGTCTTTTCTGCAGTGACTTAATGTATCCTTGAGAATATTGTGAAAGCTTTTTGGAATGAGACTCAATATACTGACTGAAACACAAAACAGTTCAGACGTGGTATTACCTATAGATTTGTGGAAACTTTCCAAACATGACCTATAAACATGCTCCCAATCACTTTAGTTGTAATTGCCTAATGAATAATTGCTCAAGTATGACAAATTACACTTGCTATTTAAAGAGATTAACATCTACTAAAGCCAAAATGTGAAGTACCCAAGCAAAGGTTAAATTTAAGCTTCTAGAGATTACTGTCTCCCTTGCGCTTATCCACTCCACCTCCAACACTGTCTACACAGGACTTCTCTTACATGTGTACAGATAAAAAAATGCCAGATTGATTCAGAATAGAACTGTCTTAATCTCTAAATGAAAAACCAACATAATCATAAAACCGCAAGTTTCTTGAAGGTCATAAAAAGGAAAATAAATCTTACACATTAATTATTCAACATAAATTGAATATCATCAATTAACTAGCATACTGGACAGCATACTGGCTAGATAACAATATGCAAAAACATTTCTCCACAAGAAGTTGAGCTATTGGGGAGATAATAATATAGAAAACATTTTTTATTTTAAATATGACAGACAGGCAACATATTTACCTCAATATTTTCATTTGTGAGGTATAACACTCCCAAGTTGGTCCATGCAACAGCATTCTAAAAAACATACATTTTTTTTCTTAAAATATGCCTCTTGTCTACTTGAAAGTCTCAGAAAATTAGTAATACTAAATTTTGAAGTTATTTTTTATAGACGCATAAAATACTCACAATTTGTTCTGACTGGATTGATTTGATGAAACAGTGCTGAGCAAGGGCATAATTTCCAATACCTGAAAAATACAGAACTTGATGAAACTGAACTTTGTTTGAAATACACAATCTTCTAAAAATATTGAAGTGTTACTCAATTCTCACCACTGTAACATGCAACCACACCAAGAGCATTCCAGTATAAGTGATTATTACTGTCGAGTCTCACTGCTTTTTTCAGACACTGAAAAGAAGTTAAATTAGATTAATTTTTATTTCTTGGAATAGCAGCATGTATATCAAGATATATGTGGTTTTATGTGAAAACACTATTTACTTCAAAACATCTTTGAGAAAAGCACTTAGCTTTTTAAAAAGTTTACAAAAAATTTATATAAACCATACATGTAAAGATTTCTCCAGCAACTCCTTAAGATCATTCATGTTGCTGCCTGTTTCTGCTAGATGTTTTGCTTGGTGATAATAATTAATTCCAAGATCACACCATGTATGAGACGTAGACATCAGTTTTAATGCACGACCGTAACACCTATGGGAATACAAAAGTGAATGTTATGGTTTTTGTTATAATGCCTTAATTCAATTCAAATGTTATTAACTGGCAATCTTTGCAAATTACCTTCCTCCAAGGTGGAGGAGTTCATTTTTCTTTAATACTTGTTTTCCTTCTTTCTGACCTAGAAGGATTCCTAAAACATGAACATTCACTTTAGATGATGAGACAGCGTACAGACAGGTACAAGCATCCCCAGCTAGCTTCCAGAGGCAGGACACATCAGCTCGATGCTGTAGAGCACTAAAAAAAGAAACAGTGTGATTCTTATAAATTATTTATAAAAAGTAAGAAGTTTATCTCCCTGATTATTACTTAAAACAGAAAAACTGTACACTAAGCACTGCAAATGCTTTACTAATCTCCTCCTAACTGAATTATATCATACCACCTCCCTAATAGGAAGGGAAGAAGAAAAGGAGAAAGGGAGGGAGGAAGGGATTACTTTAAGTGCCAGAAATTTTGTGGACACTTTTTTTTTTGTTACTCTTCACCATTTTTATTAGAAGTAGCAGCAATCACACAAATAAATAAATAAGTTTTCCAGGACCAATTTTCTTTTAATATTAAAATGTTAAAACTATGCTTTTTGTGTTTAAGCAATGACCAAGGCAGTAAAGTTCGTAACTCTCTTACAACTGACCATTGTAACTCAGGTTTTTGCTTTTAGATCTTCTCTCATGCTGTGTAGTTTTGACTACGTCCCCACAAAGTTCATGAGTTGAGAACTCAATCTCCAGGGCAACAATGTTGAGAAGTAGGACCTTTAAGAGGTGATTATGTCATGAGGGCTCTGCCCCCCAAATGGATTAATACTGTTATTGTAAGAATGGGTTAGTTGTCACAGGAGTGAGCTCCTGATAAAAGGGTAGGTTCAGTTCCATTTTTTTTCTCTTGCATTCTGCCCTTCTGCCGTAGGATGACCCTCACCAAGATGCCAGCACCACGCTCCTGGACTTATCAGCCTCCAGAACCAAGTCAAATAAACTTCTATTCTTTGTAAATTAACCAGTCTGTGGTATTGTTATGGCAGCAAAAAAATCAATGAAGACACCTCAAATAAAATGTACCAAATATATTTGGTAAGATCTGAAAGATTTTTATAAATTTTATTTTTTAATTGGCATAACTATATATATTCATGGGGTACAGAGATTTTTTGATACATATAATGTATCGTGATCATATCAGGGTAATTAGCATATTAATAATCTCAAACATTTATCATTTCTTTGTGTTAGGAATGTTCACTATCCTTCTAGCTATTTGAAACTATATATTATTGTTAACTACAGTCATCCTACAGTGCTACAGAACACTAGAACTTACTCCTTGTATCTAGCCATAATTTTGTGTCCTTTAACAAATGCTACCCATATATCCCTTTCCCCTACCCTTCCCAGCTTCTAATATCCTCTGTTCTACTTTTTACTTCTATGAGATCAATTTCTTTTTTTAGCTTCCACATATGAGTAAGCACATATGGTGCTTAACTTTCTGTTCCTGGCTCATTTCATTTAACATGATGTCCTCCAGTTCTATCCAAGTTGCCTTAAATGATAGAATTTCATTCTTTTTTATGGCTGAATAGTATTCCATTGTATATAAATACCACATTTTCTTTATCCATTCATCTGTTGTTGACTATCTAGGTTGATTCCATATCTTGACTATTGTGAATAGTGCTGCAATTAACATGAGGGTACAGATGTCTCTTTGATATAATGATTTTCTTTCCTTTGGATAAGTTCCCAGTAGTGGGATTGCTGGATCATATGGTCGTTCTACTTGCAGTTTTTTGAGAAAACTCCATACAGTTCTCCACAGTGGCTATACTAGTTTGCATTCCCATAAACCATATGAGTTCCCTCTTCTCCACATCCTTGCCAGCCTTTATTTTTTGTCTTTTGAATAACAGACATCCTAACTGGGGTGAGATGATACCTTACTGTGGTTTTGATTTGCATTTTCCTGATGATTGGTGATGTTGAACATTAATACCCTGAGACCAAAAAAAAAACAAAAAACAAAAATCTAAACATGAAAATCTGAAGAACTACATTTATTGAAACAAGAGCAGACTGAATGAACAAGCTCAAAAAGCAAAGAGAAATATTAATTATGGTGACAGAGGGCAATTCCTTTTAGAACGAGAAAAACTTCAGCTATACATTTCTCTTCATTTTTCTCTTCTCAAGATCTTATAAATAAAACATGGCAAGTTCATTTAAGCCAAGTCTCAATAATCAGCTATCACAAGCTGCTATGTTACTGGCAGATGGATAAGCAGATGGAACATTTTTCATAGCCTTTTCTACTCATGGAGTCCAGCCAAAAATCATTTTCCAATGTCTTCCTAAGAAATAATATTAATTATTGTGGTCATGACTAAAAGCCTACTGAGAATCAGAAGGAAGGGCAATACGATTTGGAGTTCCTTTGCCTAAATATCGTAGCAAAATTTCTAAGATTGACAGCAAAAAATGAAAAAAGAGGGGAAAAGTAAAACAGAGGCAATTTTAACAGCCTAAATTCTTATTTTAAGTTCAATAAAAATAAAGTATCTATAAATTGAAGTAACTTACATCACTCTTACACAATAATTGTGATAGTATTAACGCCTTGTAATTCTAGAAGTAAATACACATTTGGAGATAATAATTGTTTTATATGCCACCTTCTAATGGGTTATGTTACATGTTATCGAGAATAACATATCCTAGGCTCAGAAAGGAAGTATTTACAGCTAAGGTACTGTCACCCAAAGGTTCACATTTACTCTTAAATACCAGTTCAAATAAAGCATGCCCTTTACACAGTAACCTTCTCTTTAGAAAGAACTATATTATGTGAGACTTGAAAAGAAGGAATAAAATTCAGTGAGATAAAAAAGGGTTAGTTTTCATTTCATATTTGGTTCATATGAAAAGCAATCCTGGAACAACCAATAAATAGAAAACAGAGGAGAAACCACGCAGGAAAGTAGGGAAAGTAGAAGATGTTTAAGAGTTACAAAAAATTCAAATGTACACCTAACTTGTGGACTTTTGGAAGTCATCTACCACATGTAACACTTTTTCTGACCTAACGAATGAATTCACACTTCTATAAAATGCCAAATCTACTCGAAATTTTCTGATTCCTTTCTTGTTATTAGACACATCACTTTTTTCCTTCACAGTTTCTCTTCAGAAGCAATCGGATGGTCATTTCCCCTTACCTTCAATACCTACTAATAATCCTACAACTGGCTCTTACCATTGAATGTAAAGTGTATTGAGCACCTACAGCCCTATTTCCCAATTGGTTCCAATTAAAGATACTCATTTCCAGGCCTACTGAAAGAGAACACTAACACATGGTGTCAGAGCTGCTGTTCCACAAGCAGACTGCTCCTTCCTTCCTATTCTTTCCTATGCATCTAGGATGCCAGCCACTACTAAGATCAGAAGAAATTACATCTGTTTCCCCAAGTGCAAAATTAATACAACATGTATGTTACAGAATGAATTGGCTTGTCTGTTATTCTTTATGTTTGAGATTCTGAGTAATTGCTATATCTAGCAGAATACATAAAATGATCTTCTAAATTTGGCTTCATTATAATATTACAAAAATAAACAATAAATAATAAGAATAATACGAACCAAGTAAAATATTCCAGTGCTTTTTCTATGTAGTCTACAGCTTTTCCATCAAGATAATCAACTAGAGCTTCTTTTGCCATCATAAGATGGCATTCACCCAAACCTAAAATCAGGTAAGTTTGTCACTGTTATTAAAACACATAAAACAAACACTTAAAATGAACGTCAAATAAATTTATTGGTGTTATTTTAAAGCACTTTCCAGAAAATAAAACTTAATGGTATGTTATAAAATTATCTTAAAGCATGATCCTACATTGATTCAATAAGAAATTCAAATGGAAGAGTTCTGTTGGAGTAAACATGCACTAGAAGTTATTAAAAAGTTATCTACGGAACCCAAGAATTTCCTTGTCTTTGGGCAAGTTACTTACCTGGTAAAACTTTGGCTACAAAAATGCGGATATTATCTGTATGTTACTCTCCATCATATTACTACTTATTAACTATTGTGAAACAAGATATGATCTTTTTATATTAAAATCTGTATAGCAAGCTATACTATAAGAATTAAATGAAATAGTGATTTCCTAAAGTGCCTAGTAAAGATTTCATAAATGTGAGTTCTCCTTCTCTTGAGGAAAGAGTTTTACAAAATTAAAAAAAAAGTTTCAAGCCCTAAGTTATTTGTCACTTATAATATACTATTTACACTATTTATGTGCTCACTTCAGCGGCACATATACCAAAACTTGAATGATAAAAAGAAGATTAGCATGGCTACTGAGCAAGGATGACACAAAAATTCGTAAAGTGTTCCTTAAAAAAAAAACAAAAAAAAACAGAAAATAAAAAACAGTTTCTTTAAAAAAAAGGAGGAGGAAATGGAGGAGAGTAAGCACATATAATGAGCTCCCAGTTTTTTAATACAATCATTAAAAATGTAGGTTATATATGGATGGTGGTATTTTATTTTATACTACCAAAAATAGATAACTATAAAACAAAGCAAGATGTCTCTAAAGTTTAAAAAAATTTTAATGAGCTTATATAACTTACAAAATAATGAAAGGTATTAAGATATTCTGGAGACATAATGAATTAATTATCAAAATGTAAGAATAGGGAAACATGCTTTAGAGATCGTTTTTTAGATCTAATAGTTATACTGTTTGTCTACAAGTTAAATCTCTATCATATTACTATTTATTAACTTATAAAACAAGATTTGATCTTTTATATTCAAATTTATATAAGTTATACTGTAAGAGGTTCATACTGGATGCTTGCTGTTGACTAAAGAAGTCCTTTTTCACGTTATTCAATACATTTAGGCAGGAAATCTACTCAAAGATTTTATACTTCAGGATCATAAAAGTCAAAGGAGCTATTAAAAATTAATTACCTTTTAAAGCAGGCACATAATCTTCTGTCTTTTTAATGATCATCTGGTATTGAGCTACAGCCTCCTTATATTTGCCTAGGATCTGCTGTATTGCTGCAACCTTAAACACACTGTATGTGGATTCTGGGTTCAGCTCACTGGCTTTTGTGAAGGACTTCAAAGCTGTTGTGTAGCCTCCTCTGCTTAAGTATGCCTCTCCTAATGATTCCCAACAATTAAAGTCCTTTGGGTCTGCTCTTAATGCTGCCTGTAAACTAAAATTTTAAAAAACCGTAAGAGAACTAAAAGTTATGGAACTATCTCCAAATCTGAAAGGAAAATATAAAATAAATAATTCAAGTAATTGAATTGCATACATATCTGTGGCTCCTTCTACTTATAAAAGTGCTATTTAAAGTAGGTAAATCTGTTCCTTTTATGATTTTTTTAATACTAAGAAATGTTATTTTAATTTTGGAACAAATAAGAATAAAATGCTTTTTGTGAAAAAGTGCTGAACAAAATTTCTTTTCCTTGATTATCTTGAAGAACTCGAGTTTTCTATCCTACCAGGACAGGTGTCCATCTCAGTTTGTCTCATCAGTCCATAATCCCCCACCAGCAATCCTTTTACCAAACAGAAATACCACAGTTTAAATACGGAAACAATAGGCATGCTTTAAATATCTGATCAAATTCAATTTCCGTGAAAATGCCTGTACTCTAGATACTAACATAAACCAGAAACAACTTTATCTTGATCCAAATACATTTATTTACAAAGTACTGTTCAAACCAAATGACTCAAATTGATCATATATGAGCTGCTCCCAATGCCCTTGAGGCAGCCAAATGTCTCCCTTGCCAAAAACAATGTATGTCAGCAGAACAATAAAGATATGTACCTCAGCTTCTCATCACTAAAACTTCTATTGAGAACTACTATACATATTTATTAAGACTTCAATTCACTAATCTGGCTATCTCCTCAACAACAGGACATCATGTAATCCATCTCTGCAATTCCACTGCCCTATAGACAATAAACACCAATCAATCATAAAGAGACAATCTGTAAAGTTCATTTGGGGTATAAATAATGCTTAATTTAAGGAATGTTATGCTTGTCTAACATAGTTTAAATACAATAAGGTGCCTTACTCAGCCACTGCTTGAGAATGCTGACCAGCTTTCAAATAGTATAGTCCTCGCCTAAGCCAGGCCCATTTTGCCGTTCCAGCACTTGCCTTTTGAGTTACTGTTGTTAGGATAGCTAAAGCAGTTTCCTAATGAGAAGAAAATACTAATATTAGATATTTGAACATTATAAAAAGAACACTCATGTAAAGTACACAAATATATTTTCATTTCCCACTTCTGATTTTTTAAACTTACACTGGTATACGCCAAACTACAGTTTCAACAACAACTGGTTAGTAATTTAATATCCGCCAATGGAAAAAAATTTTACTTATAGAAGTGAAAATATTTATATTGCACCTATAGAAAAAAAACTAATAACTTTCAAATATACATATATAAAAATATTTTCATTTATATACTCAGGATAAAAAAACAAAAAGCAAAAGTGGTTATTAGACATACCATATCTTCAAGCTCCACACTTAAGTCAACCGCTGCAACTCCAGATTCAGCATCAGTGTCATCTAATTCAAAGGCTTTCCTATAACATCCACGAGCTCTGTTTTTATCTCCCACCACATCTCTATAATAATGACCTAAATAGCAGAAAACTTTGCCCATATATGTATCCAGTCTTGCAGCCTTTGAAATAAATATTGATAATACCAGGACATTAAAAGTTCATTTAATGAATATCTTTACAAATACAGAAGATAAATACACAGATTAAAGAAAAAAGAAATAATTTCATTAAACATACAAAAATATGCCAAAAATCCTTTAATGTAAGATTTAAAACAGACAGGAAAGCTGTCCCTCACTGCTTATAGAAAGTAAACGGAAGTATAAAAATATTTTCTTTTTTGGTAAAGGAAATGTGAAATTAGAGCTGCTACTGAATTAATCTGCTCTTACAAGTCAAGATAAGAATGCACGACTTATAGATGTGAAATATCTAAAAAAACAGGAATTTAAACATCTAACTTGTATGCTCATAAAACTACAGTGAAAATTACCTAAAAAGTGTTGTTTACATCTAGAAAATGTCTCATTTTCTAGAACACATGCTTTTTAAAAAGTAACTTTTACATTTTATGTTTTAATTTTTTCCTTGAAAACCCATATAACACCATCACAAAACCTTACGTACGAAAGATAAAGTACAAAAAACAGTTCAGTAAGGAGCAACTGTAACTAACTTATATGATTATTATTTATGATTTTATAATGCCATTTCAACTAGGAATTGAATTGCAGCACTTGCTTTACCTTCAGAAAGTGGGTAAGAGCCTTTGTTTTATCTTTTCTTGTCTCTTCACCCATGAACCAGTATGTTAATCCAAGTTGGTAATGATATTCTGCAACTTCAGTATCTTTCTCAAGAGCTGTCTGAAAACTAAGTCACCAAAGGGTAATAAAAAGAAATAGTAAAATAAATACACACACACACACACACACACAAAATATAGGCAACTCCTAGTTGGAACAATCAAAGTTTGAGTGATTCAGAGGTGCCAAATTAGAAATGAATCATTACTTTAGGATTTATATTATCACCAGGAAAGAAGTGATTTGTTTTTGAAGAAGAGGAGCTTAAAAAAGCACAGTGGCCTTTTAGCACTACCATGTGCTAAGTGTTCAGACTATACTGAACATTACATCTGCTTAGTGAACACAATGATCAGCTAATTAGATTTTTTTTTTTTTTTTTGAGTCCGAGTCTCGCTCTGTCACCCAGGCTGGAGTGCAGTGGAATGGTCCTGGCTCACTACAATCTCCACCTCCCAGGTTCAAGCAATTCTCGTGCCTCAGCCTCCTGAATAGCTGGGACTACAGGCATGTGCTACCACACCCAGCTACTTTTTGTATTTTTAGTAGAGATGGCGTTTTGTCATGTTGCCCAGGCTGGTCTTGAACTCCTGGGCTTAAGAGATCACCTGCCTTGGCCTCCCAAAGTGCTGGGATTACAGGTGTGAGCCACTACGCCCAGCCAAGATCAGCTAATTAGATTTGAAACTCATCATGTAATTTTTTATAGCTACTGTACAACATGCTAAATACATTTCTTAAAAATACTAAAACTTAAAAGCCTACAAAGATCAAATTCATACAAAATCAAATCTTCATCAAGCCTACTCATTTTGAATTTCTGAGAAATACAAAAAAACTAAGATGTAAATGGTTCTATGAGCAATCTATATATCCTTACCATTTTTCTGCTTGTAGATAGTCCTTTTTGGTGAAATGAATCAAAGCCTCAAGGGCATGAACTTCAGCTAGGTCAGGGTAAGAAGAGAGAAGGTCTTCCATAATCTATAAAGTAGACACCTGTCAATTCTATACCCAAATAAAAATGACTTTTAACTCAAAAAATGCTCAGTTTGAATAAAAAAGCCAACCTTTGTAGCTTCATCTAATGAACCTTTGTTCCGATAGGCCAAGCTTTTGAGAACCAAAAGTCCTGGGATATTATCTGCATCAGAAATCTAGAAAATAATTGTGAAGAACTGCTATAAATCTCCTTCAACACAACCACAGCAATGTTTGCTTTAATTAAAGAATGGACACAGAAAAGCAGGATCCTAATAGAATAAAGAAATAGAGGTCCTGATTTCTATCACTACTAACACATCTTCACTCTTTATAACCTTTTTATTAGGGAAAATCTCATATACATAAAAAATTACAGAAACTAGTATAATAAACCCACATGTACCCATCATCCAGCCACAAAACCACAAACTCACAAGCAATCATTCTTTTCATCTATACCTCCACCAATTTTACCACACTTCTGCTCAGATTATTTTGACACAAATCCCAGATATTGTAATTTTTATCTGTAATACTTCAGTGTCTATATCTACAAGTTCATTTCTAAGTTACATAACCACATTACCATTATCATACTTAAACAAAACCAACAAACATCCTTAACATCATCAAATTTCTCACTTGTCTCATAAAATATTTGAACAATTTTAAAAATCAAAATCCAAAGAAGATATATACATTTCAACTGACTGATATGCCTTAAGTCTATTTTAATCAATAAGGCCCCCTTCCTCTTTTTTTTCTTCCTTACAATTTAACTGTTGAAAAATATGGCCTATTTGTCACAGTTTCTCAGAGTCTGGATTTTGCTAAATGTATTCTCAAGGTGTTTAACATGTTCCTTGGTTCCCTGTATTTTCTGTATATTAGTAGTTGGGTTTAGAGGTTTGAAGATTCCCAATGATATCTTAGGTCTTCAGGTGTATTTGCATTTGTTTGTGTCTGATTGTCTTTTTTTTGTTTGTTTTTTTTGTTTTGTTTTTTTTTGAGACAGAGTCTTGCTTCAATGCCCAGGCTGGAGTGCAATGGTGTGATCTTGACTTGCAACTTCTGCTTTCTGGCTTCAAGTGATTCTCCTGCCTCAGCCTCCCAAGTAGCTGGGATTACAGGTGTGCACCACCAAGCCTGACTAATTTTTGTATTTTTAGTAGAGATGGGGTTTCACCATATTGGTCAGGCTGGTCTTAAACTCCTGACCTCAAGTGATCCGCCTGCCTCGGCCTCCCAAAGTGTTGGGATTAGAGGAATGGGCCACTGTGCTCAGCCTGATTGTCTTTTTGTGATGTTAGTAGCCACTAACCCTTGACACCTAGATCTGTTAATTCACTGAGGATTGCAAAATGGTGATTTTCTGTCATCTTCTCTTATTAGACAGAATAATTCAACAGACACATTTCTCCTCCTTTCATTATTTCATTATCCTGAGGAATGATTCAGATAGAAAAGGAAGGATAAATGCCTTTATTCTTCACAGTTGGGTTTTTAGCATCCTCCCAAAGATTTGTTTTCTTGAGGACATTTGCTGATTTTTTGTTTTCTGTATCATCATGAACACATGGATTTAACATATTTGATGTGTTTCAATATACCACATTAGTAATGCCCTCTTTAGCCAGTAAGAATCTCTTTATGTTAGCTCCTGAGCCCTTTTGTAGTCTGAGCCCTTTTATAGTTTCTTGCTTTCTAGCATGACAAGGTGTTCTCGGTTCATCTTGTACACTTCCTATCTCAGACCTAGACTCTGCTAGTTCTCCAAACTAGTAGTCGTTTGTCTTTTTGTAAAAACATTATTTGAAAAACCTTTATAAAGCATTCACACAAAATACACTATTGGTGGGATAGCAAAAAGAAAACAAGAAAGTATTAATTCTTGAAGGATGCTGACAACGGTTCTGATTTGAAAGAAATATTATGAAATACAAAGCCCTTTGAAATATATAAAACTGATTTAAAAACTCAATTTTAATTTTAAACCAGTAATAGTCTTTACCTGACAAAAATCTTTAGGGCATAATGTTATAATTTTTAATTTACCAGTTATAGATTTTTTTGGTATGGAATTTCAAATTGCTGGAACTCAAAACACTAAGAAATTGGTTTCATTATGAAATATCAATCTTTCTTTGAATGAAACAAACATTCTCTACCATGAAGCTAACAGTGTCCTTAATTATTCTGGTCAAATCTGCAGAATATTTCCTGGAGGAAAAAATTTAGAATCTCAAATTAATAATAATCAAGTAGCAATAACCTAAGAGGGCAACAGGAAGAAAGGAGAATGAGGTCTAGAACTAAAAAAATAGTCTTGTATGATAAGTACTGTAAGTCCTCAATCAAAAGGCAAACAAATCACTCTAGAAGTGCCCAAATGTATGAATGACTTATGAAAGTGCAGATGTGGTGAATACATACCTCTAACACAAAATCTGTGTAAGTAAATATTCGTGGTAGGCATAGAATGGTTGTTGCCTGGTTGACTGGAAACTAACTACAGTTGAAGAAACAAACTTGGTAAGACTACCTGATCAAGAGTACGAATTGCTTCCTCTGAAGAGTCATAATCTGAGAGTTTAATCAAAGCCTCTGCTTTCAAACGAAGACAAAGATTCCTCTGATAAAGACGGTCACCAGACGCACCAAGATTATCTATGATCTTCAGAGCTGACAAAATTAAGGGTATCCAAATGAAGACAGCCATATCACTTCAGTTTTTTTTCTTTTTTAAGGATGACATATAATAAATTGCAGATACAATAAGCATAAATTTCCAAAACAATATACATGAAAAATAACTCAAAGTTAAATATGAATTCTTCCCTGAATTCCTTATGGAAAGACCTGAATTTAAAACAGAGCATACCTGAATTTAAAACCTCTATCTTCACACAACATATAATAAAACTGAACATCCTAAAAAATGACAATGACTATCTATATCTGCTAAGCAATAAAGGTTAGCCCATAACCAAAGCACCTGTAACAAATATAAGAAATAAAGATACTGGAAGGGGAAAGCAGCTGAATTAGAATGGACCAAGGTGAACTATTTCTCAGTGACAGAGGGCAAGCTACCAGGTGGGTCAGAAACAGTGAACCACTTTCATGATTTCCTGTCCCCACTCCTCACCCTGTCACATTCAAATAGGCTTCCAAGATGCCTAAGGTTTCCCCTCTCTATATCCGAGAAATTAAGAACTCGTATGTCTTGGACACACCAGAAACTTCCTTGTTACAAAGACAGAGGACCTCCACACCCAAGCCTAAACTGACTATGTCGATATTCCAAATGCAAGAAAATTTTGCTAAATATTCATTGCCAGTTTAAAAATAAACACACTAGTATACACATATGCAGACTTTTATTTAACCTCAGTGAAATTAAAATTAGCAATTTAAAATACAAAATACAGCATTTTGGTTTTTAAAATCACTATCTTTGTCCTTTAAGATAAAAACAAATAGGGTTGGTCACCCTTATGTGTCAACCCAAAAGGTATCAAAAATACCTTGACTGCATGAAAGAATAGCTTCTTTAGGTCTATGCATTTTGACTTGGGCTTCTGCCAGATGATACCATCCACTTGTGCAGACAGGGCTTTCCTTTAACCCTAAAAGGATAAAAACAACCACAAAAACCAAGATTTCTGTGACTACGTAGATGAATGGCACCATTGCCTACTCTCTAAATCAGACTCCTCCCCTCTTCATCTCTGGTATCTTATCAGTCACAAAGTCACACTGATTCTCTGCCTCAATTCATTCCCCTCCACACATTTTTCTCCATCTCTACCAACACCAATTCAGTTCAGACCTCAACCATCTTTATCCCAAATCACGGCAAGTGCTTGCCATCCACCCCAATGCATTCTTTACACTGTAGCTAGAATATCTCTAAAAATACAAATCAGATTATAACATTCCCCTGCTAAAAATCTTTTACTGATTCCCCACTGTTGTCAGGATAATGTGCAACCTACTTACCAAGGTTTAGCTAGGCCCTTCTACTATTTCACTGGTTGTCCCCTCCTGTGCATACACTTCATTCTCAAACCCTGGTGAACTACCTGCAGTTCTCTGAACAACAGCCTCTCAGTTCAGGCTATTTCACAGATTCATCTCTGCCTAAAATGTTCCTTCCATTCTCTTAAACTACCTACCTGGCTTGTATTTACCATTCAGATCTATAATTTGAATGTAGGTTCTTCCAGAAACATCGTACCTAATAAGAATAAATTAAAGCCTAGGTTCCTAAGGCATATATATCTACATATATGCCTTCCTGCCTGCCTTCCTCCCTCCCTCCCTCTTTTCTTTTCCCTTTGCTTTGCTTTTCTCTTTCTTTTCTTTCTCTTTTTTTCTTTTCCTTTTCTTTTCTTTATATATAGATATCCCTATTTTACAAATGAAAACACTGACACACGGAAAGTTTAATTAACTCTTCTGAGGTTTTGAAATTAGTTATTAGCAGAGTCAGAGTTCAAATCTAAGCAGAGTTCAAGGTATGTAGGTACATTTTTTCCCTTCCACCTTAGATATACATTCCTTAAAGAAAGGCTCAAAGATAAATGCTTACTGACTGAATAATAATTATACTTCATGTTACATGCCATACACTGTACATTTACCTTCTGTTAGGTTCCTAACAGCATCTTCATACTTTTTGTTTTGCAATGCTTTAATGCCTAAGCCAATGAGGCCTGGACCACTTTTTGAATCCATTTCCACTAATCTACAACAATACTGCTGTCCCTCATCAGTAAGATTTCCTGGAATTAAAAGAAAAGGTTATTAGTGTGTGTGTGTGCGTGTGTGTGTATATATATACATATATATACACACATATATCAAGTTTCTAAATGCCCAAACCCATATTCTTAAATCTCAAAATCTGCCTTTATATTCTTATGCATCCTTCACCACATGCTGATTCCAGAAATTCAAAAATTAAATAGACCAGCAAATGCAGAAAATATTAACGTTTAAATTAAAAAATGATGCTTTTTTATCTTCTTAAATACTGGAAGTAGAAACCACTTTAGGATTTCAGACAAGAAACCTGCTACTTGCCAGTAGACTAAGTCACATAGCCTACTGCCTGCCAGCTGTAACAATTTTGATTGTTAAATGAAGGAACCCTTGTCAAAGCAGAGTATCTTCCTCAAGTTCTCTTCCTAGGCAACCACGCACTGCTAGAGACATGGCAGTCAGATCCAGTGGACTCTTCCAGCATCCAAGGATCACAAGATAGGCGGGTTACTCATCAGGACACTGCACAAAGACTTAGTCACATTCCGCTTAAGTCTACAAATTCACCAGTACATTTCCACATTTTTCTAAGACAATCTTTTTCTATATAAGTGAATTGTGACACTTATGAAATAGTCACCCAATGCCTACATTTATTTTATTTTCAAATTTATTTTGATAAAATAGTTTAGAAAACTTTATATATTTTGTAATATTTCCATTTTCTCCAATCTCAATCCCAGAAAAGCAATTATGAATAGCATTCACAACTTTAATAAATCATTTAATCACATAGTAGAATTCTTAAAAAGACAGACTACAACTTGAAGCAATAAATATGGGGGAAAAAAATTCCTGAAAACAAAGATCTAATGCTTTAATAACTATATAAAACATATAAGCCCAAACCACATATAGAACCACTGTTTCAGTCACAGATGTCAAAGGTAAATTATTTGTATAATACCATTTAGCTTATATGTTTCAAATTTTTGAAAACCATTTGCAAACCAATGTATAATCCATTAGTAATATGTAGTAATATGTTATACACTGATTTAGAAATCCAAGTTAGCACTAAAAATCAAAAGACTTTATAATGACTAAAGAGTTAAAACTTCAGTACCGTTTGGCAAAATATGAAAACAAACTGGAAGAAATACTACTTTGATCAGTAAGCCAGTGAAAAAGACACAAGCCTGCTACTATTATGCTTCCAGGCATGAACTTCCTTGTCAATATGTTCTCACCATAGCTTCCATAAATATGAATCCAAAAATAAATATGCCTAGTTCCATACACCCTATATCCTCCCAAGAAAACTAGCGGATTTTTCCCTTTTGATCCAGTGGTATTGTCTAAACCAGACATTGTCTGCACTATCACAATCACTTGGGAGACTTGTTAAAACACAGTCTGCTGAGCCCTATCCCTGAAGTTTATGGTTCAGTAGGTCTGTTTAAGACCTAAGAGTCTGCATTTCTAAGAAGTTACCAGGTGATGCTGATGCTACTGGTCCAGAGATCATACTTAAAGACCACAGTCTACAATATTTGCTAATACCATATACCACCTTTACTATTAGTCTTATAACATGTATATTCTGCCTTTATTGCCTCTGTGGCTAAATGGTAACCTCTGGAGAGTAGAGACCAGCATGACATCTGATACATGGTAGGTGTTCATTAAATTTTGTGATGACCCTTTAAAAATACCATCATGACTGATGTTCAAAAAGGCTTAGTCTGTTAATAGGTAACAGCTGAAAATTACTATAAAAAATTAAAAATCTTCACCATCTTAAAAAAAAAAAAAAAAAAAAGCTACCAAACTCTTACCTTTTATCTCTACCCATCTGAGTCTAAACACTCTTCCTCCATAGAAACACAGTTTATGACAGACTACCTTGACTACAAAAACTGCCTGTATTACAGGAAATATACCCGGGATGAAAATAGGAAAGAAAAATCATGCATCTCTCCAATGAACATCCATATTTAGGGTACTTTAAACAACACACAGGTCATCAAAGTGTCGGTTGGTACATGAAAATAGTTTCCAAAAGGCTGAGATGAACATAAACGACTTTTAAAACAAGGTAAATCTTCCTAACATATTTCCTTTGCTAAAGCCTGGGAGCATAGCAATAAAAACAAAATAAGATTTGGGGAGACTATGTTCATGTCCGGCCCTGGGTAACAATTCTCTGCATATGACCGAGTGGCACTGAGAGGAATTCTCTATAGTGTTCTCAAAACTAGCAACAGTAATAACAACACTAATGATCTTTGTATAAAGAGACAAGGAATACTTCAGCTTCAACTCTCAATCCTTCTCTTCTTCATACTTATTCTTGTTGAGAATATTAGCTAAATAAATACCTTGGTGGAGGACAAAAACAGAGGAAATAGAATTCATTGCTTTTGAATTCTATTCATTGCAAATGAATAGAAAATTATTTACTTATCTGCTCTTTTTAACATTTAAAGGATTCTAAGGTTCCAGATTTAACAACTTTAAAACAGTCCGACAATATTATTTTTATTTCTCAAAAAACAAGCCAGATTTGGGGCTAATGAATGTTAAAATTCCAAGGATAGAGGGTATTCTGAAGAGGTCCATGTTGGATGCTAAGTAATAACTATAAAATTCTGTTTCTTAAAGTTTACTACAAAAACAGTTGGTTTTTAAAAAATTCATTTCTGACATTCCAAAAAAACTATCTAATTTTTCTTTTAAATAAACCTAGCTTGAGAGGGGAAAAAAAAAACATGTACAATTTGGTGGCATTCATATCTTTATTTTCACCTGGATTTTCTAATAGTTTTAAAGCACAAAATCTTAAACCAGCTCTTTTCTGCTTGAATTTGAAGAACCAAGCTTTCTAATCCTCCCCCATTTCAGTAACAAAGCAAAATAAGATAAATAAAAAAGTCATTTAGCATGAAAAAAACATTTCAACAGATGACAACTGTGAAAGCCATTCACTACTTTTATATGAAGCTTTACAAACTGAGTCATTTTGAAAATGAATATTCAATTCTCAACAGGCAAAGCAGGACAAAGGAGAAAGAAATACATTTGTTCTCAGTGGAGGAGAACCCAGCAATTAACTGCTGTGAAGTAGCAAATTCTGTACATACTGAAGTACTTTGTGGGAGGGTAGCTCAGACTTCAGAGACCTTACAATTCTCAGAAGTTCTTAATACACTAAAGTTGGGTTTAGAGGAGCAGTAAAAAGAAAAAGCATAGCAACCCATTGTTCTACATTAACTATTGAACTTCCACCTCAAGCATACTACTTTACCTTGAAATATACCTAAACCTAAATTGCTCAATTCCACAAATTCCGGCAACCAACAATTCAGAAAGGAAAGAACTCTTCCCTGGTTTTACCATATGTGTAAATATCCACATATACTCTTTTCTGCTGTGATATAGACCTCCTTTTCTTTCCATTCTACATGATACAAATCTATAAGCTTACTCAAAAATGATTTTTTTTCATTTAAACCAAGACACTTTCTAATCAATCAGTATAATCCCTTCACTATCTCTTTATTAGAGAACTTTGTCAACTACTGAATTTATGTGCAAAACTCTGTAGCCTATTTGTTGATCCTATTTTTTCTATTATTTTGTAGGATTTTTAGAATATAAGGACAAGTCTACATTATAGTTACATTTATGCTTATTGAGAAAGCACTCCACTAGTCCTCAAAAAGAATTTTCAAAGTATTCACTGTGTCATTTGGCATGTGAGCAAGCCAAGACTGAGGTAATGGTGCAAACCATAAATAGCTGAATAAGAAATACAGAGAAAAGAGTGAACACCAGCCATTAATTTTTCAATAACAACAGTAACAGCAGAATAGGGAAAAATAATTGGTACCAGGGGCCATACAATAAAGAAAATCAGCCTACTTATCTTTGGAACACACTGAGTCTTACATTAAAATTGGAAGGATCTGGGTAATTTTGGAACTAAGCTTCCTATCAGGAAAAAAAAAAAAAAAAAAATCACAAGACTTCATAAGTATGCTCCTTGTGCTTGGTGTAGCTCATCCTCCTCAGTCTCAGTGCAACACTCATAGTATTAACTAACTAACCTAGGAACTCTTTCTTCTTACACCACTCCTGCCAGGCAGCTATTGCAGTTCTTCTCCCACCTCTGCGGGCTTCGCTTTCTCATCCTACTACTCCCTAATGCACTTGGTCAAGTCTACTTTCCTTTGTATACCTGCCTTTTCCTATTCTTTCCCCATCACTGTAATCTAAGCTCTAATTCAATCACTTTCATTTAAAAAGATAGCCTTAATAAAAAGCCTCACAATCACAAACTCAGTTGGCTTAATCTGTCAAGACAGACCATAATAATCTTTCTGAAATGCTCTTTCCCTGTCATCTGCGCTGTTTCTCATCAAAGTCCACCTTCTTCTCTGACCTCATCCCTTCTCTTTCTCCACTTACTCCCTTTCCCTTTTTCATCTCTTTCCCTCCAAGCCAGCCAGCATTGCCCAAAGTATAGTTCTCAGTATTTTTCCCTTTAGTCCTCCTCTGATGGCAACCATTCCACATCATTTTCACCTACATGCAAATTACTTCCAAACCATACGTCTACCCTTAGTATCGATCTCTCATCTGCAAACCACTGATAGGCATTTCCCATTGACTGCCCCCTTAACATCTCCTCTCAATAACCTACATTTCATACAAATCATCAGGCCATATTGAGCCAACTTTTCAGGAGAGGTGAAAGTTAAAATTGATATTTGCCTCTTTCCCTCTACGAAATCACTTTCATTTTTTCATTCATCTGTTCCTTTCTATCATCACTATCATACTCCTCATTCATTCAAACCTAGTGTCACTTAGTCTACTGGAGCTAGTCCACCTTCTATACAACCTGTCCTGCACACCATGTTAGTTTAAGACTTTATATTCCGCTCACTATACTTTTTATGTTCTCTTTCTTCTTATGGCAGTAAAAAGCACTCTCCTAAATCTATCTTTGACTCAATTAAAGTAAGGCAAAGGGCATCTGCTTCCACCAAAACCAGAGCTGAAGGTGACAGTGTTTTTTCATTCAGACACCAGGAAAAAAAAACAAAAAAGTAAAAAAGGACTTAAAAGGAGAGTTAAAGTGAGGAGAACTGAGATAGGTGCAATGGTCATTTTCTACCAAGGAATTTTCCTTCACAGTTATCTCTAGCAGTAGTTTTCAACCCTTTTTTCACTATGACACATGTAAGGGTAATTCACATACAAAGCATTCTCATGTATATACTCATTTGGCAACAAAGTGAAAAAAATTAAGTGGATTAGTAAAGCTCCACAGTAACTGACAATCACTACCACACTGGTGTATGTACTAATATTTCTATTTCAGTGACTGACTTCTGTGAACTTGTTCACCTCAAGAGAATACAGACATGAAATTCAGGTTATTTAAAAAAAAAAAAAAAAAAAATGTATTCAGCACAGATATTGACCAAAAGGAAAGAGGCTGGTGGGAAAAACCAATATAGCCAACCTCTTGTAAACTGGTGGACTACCACTCCTGGACACAAGACATCCACAGCTACAGTTCTGCCAACTCCCAGCAAGCTAGTTGTCATCACTTCTCTCTTCCCCGCAAAGAAAGTACATGAAGATACAAGAGCATGAAGCATACACAGAGACAAATTCTCCCACTTGAATTTGCTCTATTTCATTAAAAAAGGAGATTCAGGAATTTAATTACTTTATAATATTACAGTATTCATAACAATGTTCTTATGACACTGTGATATAACATCAACACTGAGACAGCTAAACTTTCCAAAAATCCTTTCTGTGATATTTATAGCTCTCTGTAATAGAGCCTGACCTATTTAGCCAAAATATATCTTAGTTATTTCTTCCACTATACTAAGCAAACCTATTTTACCATTCCTAAAAAATGCACCCAGCTCCACATCTCTGCTCATGCCAGCTGGAGTACATTTTCCCTACTTCTGTTTATCTAGTATCTATAAAAAAATTCAAGACACCCTCCAATTCCCACCATTAAAAAGATTTCACTGATCAACAATAAATCTGGCAACTCATAATTCTTCTGTATTACTGTACTTTCCTATATTTATTAGTCTTTTCATGTACACAAAGACTACACATTATACTTCCTTTTATGTTCAGAAACACAGAAACAACACCTTAAACATGGTAGACACTAAAACATGTTTTGATTAATACCATCACTCACATAATCACACACCTCTAGGACACACACTATAATAAAGAAGAAATTACCTGATTCAATTAAATGCAAGCAAAGCACTTCTAAGGGATACTGTACAGTAGGATAGATGTTTATCATTCCTTCACAGGCCTTCTTCAATCTAGCAGTCTCATGAGGCAACTTGAAAATATAAAAGCAAAATACACTACATTCTAGTAGTAGTAAAATGTATTTATGAACACTTTCCTAATTAGAAATACATACAAGTCACATTAGAGATTTAAAAAATCAACTTACTTTGGATAAACTCTGAATGAAATGCCTATAAAGCACTTGGTGATCTTCACTAGGAATCTTATCTGATAATCCCAGTGCATTCTCAAAAGCAGTTAAAAGCTGAAACAAATACAAAAGCTATCATCTGTATCATACTTAAATGACAAATGATTAAATGTATAAGACTCTCCTACACAAACTACACCTTCAAGTAACTGCAAATGTATTCTACAGTCTGACCCTGACAACTCCAATGAGGAAAAAAATGTATATGCAAGTTTTGGAATGCATTCTAACTCCAATTGGCCAGCAAACTGCACTGAACTGGTAAGTAACAACGATGCATTAACAACATTAATTTAACAAAACACACTTCCCAGTGCCTGCTGTCTCCTACAAAGTAGTCAACCAGAGTATAGTCTTATATGCTAGCATAGCTGCTACTGCTCACGTATCATTTTTAAAACAATTCTTCTGAAATCACTAGCACGTTCTTCGAAATATCTTCAATGATAGCAAATCTTCAACCTTTAAAAAATAGTTAAAAAGTTAGGTGACACTTTTGGCAAAAGAAAAGCAGAGATATGACTGAACTGAAATGAAACCACTTCTCTTATGCAGTATTAGCTGACTCTGAAGAACATTCCATCACTTCTCTTATGCAATATTAACTGACTTTGAAGGCCAACAGGCCTTCTAAATATGTCTTGAATAAGAACAGAATACTAGAATCCAAGGCAAGTGGTATAAAGCACTTCACACCACTCAGTTGGCTACACATTCTGCATTTTAAAATGAATACTCATGACTTAATACCAAAAAGCCACAATGTAGTTCAATATCTCAAATTTTCTTTGGAAAGTATGGTATAAAGTCTCTATAAATAAGTAAAAATTTGCTGCCCTGATAAAGTTAACAATCTTACAAAGAAGGAACATAGCTCAAAACAGTCTAGCATAAAAGATTTTTTAAAATAGTAATAAAATTATTCCAAATGAAAAATCTGTGATACATTTTTTTTCTAAATACTCAGTGTTCAAGGTAACAATAAATCCCCCCATTCTTTTATCTATTATTAACAGTTAGAAATCAATTCTTGGCCGGGCGCGGTGGCTCAAGCCTGTAATCCCAGCACTTTGGGAGGCCGAGACGGGCGGATCACGAGGTCAGGAGATCGAAACCCCGTCTCTACTAAAAAATACAAAAAAAACTAGCCGGGCGTGGTGGCGGGCGCCTGTAGTTCCAGCTACTCCGGAGGCTGAGGCAGGAGAATGGCGTAAACCCGGGAGGCGGAGCTTGCAGTGAGCCGAGATCGTGCCACTGCACTCCAGCCTGGGTGATAGAGCGAGACTCCGTCTCAAAAAAAAAAAAAAAAAAAGAAATCAATTCTTAAAATCATAAGTACAATTAATTCTCTGTCATGGAGGAGGGTAGGATAGACAATCCAAAAAGTTACTTTACTTATTTTGGAATGTGTTTGATATTCTGGTAACCTACACTATTTTAAGGAAAATAATGTTATATTATGATATTACACAATTTAAGAGAAACTGCTAAGCTACCTAATTTTGTCACTGCTCAATTCTTTCCACAACTGAATATATGCACAGATAAATCATGTTATCACACATAAAAAAGAAATCTTATTCTCATATTTTTATCCCCAGCTCTTAGGACACTGCCTGACACATAATAGGTAGTCAATAAATATTTTCTGAATAAACAAATTAATGAGTGAACAAATGAACACATATACAAATAAATGAACTTCCTATCCTATATAGGGCCTATATTTGTTTATTTAAAAATTCCACTCAATATAACAAGTGTACATTAAGTAGCTATTTACTATAATAAGAAATTAAGTTGACTTTTAAAATTACAAATAAAAAAAGGACAATGATAGATATATTTTCCAAATGTGGCTCAAAACCAATTTTTTTTTAGTCTTTCAAAAAATTCTTTTCAATTACTTTAAAATCTGCACCATAAAGACTTTTTTTATAGGCATAAATACTCTAAATATTAAATATAAATACTCTAAACAGTGGAATTGTTAAACCTCAAAGTAATTCAGTACTCTTAGTTCAGAAGTGTAAAGAAACACACCTTAAAAGGTACCACTTTTTAGACATCATAAGCAGTTTTGTGAAAGTCAATTTTCAGTTTATTTTTTATAGTGATTAAGTTACTGATGTATTGCAGATTCTTATGAACACAAGGGAATGAAATTCTGATACCATGAGTACCAATTCCACTCCATCCAGACTCCGCATGAGACTACAGGCCAATAATTCTGACTTTATCTAGAAGAGCCTCTATGAATTTAAAATTATACATTTACAAAATACCTAGTCTAACATACAATCCTTTTTTTTTTTTTTTGAGCATCCATTGAATCATCATTGAATGTCCTATTTCCAAGGTAATTCATGTACTAATATCCAGAATCTATAAGGAACTTAAACAAATTAGCAAGAAAAAAAACAACAATCCCATCAAAAAGTTGGCTAAGGATATGAATAGAAAATTCTCAAAAGAAGATACACAAATGGTTGACAAACATATGAAAAAATGTTCAACATCACTAATGATCAGGGAAATGTAAATCAAAACCACAATGCGATACCACCTTACTCCTGCAAGAATGGCCATAATCAAAAAAATAAAAAAATAGATGTTGGTGTGGATGAGGTAAAAAGGAAACACTTCTACATTGCTGGTGGGAGTGTAAACTAGTACAACCATTACGGAAAACAGTGTGGAGACTCCTTAAAGAACTAAAAGTAGGCTAGGTTCGGTGGCTCATGCCTGTAATCCCAACATTTTGGGAGGCTGAAGTGGGCAGGTCACTTGAGGTCAGGAGTTTGAGATCAGCCTGGCCAACATGGTGAAACCCCATCTCTACTAAAAACACAAAAATTAGTCAGGCATCGTGGCACATGCCTGTAATCCCAGCTACTTGTGAGCCTGAGGCAGGAGAATTGTTTGAACCTAGAAGGCAGAGGTCGCAGTGAGCCGAGATTGTACCACTGCACTCCAGCCTGGGTGACAGTGACACTCTGCCTCAAAAAAAAAAAAAAAAAAAGAACTAAAAGTAGAACTACTATTTGATCCAGCAATCCCTCTACTAGGTATCTACCTGGAGGAAAAGAAGTCATTATACAAAAAAGATACTTGCACATGCATGTTGATAGCAGCACAAGTCACAACTACAAAAATACAGAACTAGCCCAAATGCCCATCAATCAATGAGTGGATAAAGAAATTGTGATATATATATATATACACACACACAGACACACACAGACACACACACACACACACACACAATGAAATACTACTCAGCTATAAAAAGGAACGAATTAATGGCATTCGCAGCAACCTGGATGGAACTGGAGAATATTATTCTAAGTGAAGTAACTCAGGAATGAAAAACCAAACATCATATGTTCTCACTCATAAGTGAACATATGAATAGAACATTGTATGTTCTCACTGTAAGTTATGAAGACACAAAGGCATAAGAATAATACAATAGACTTTGGGAATTTGGGTGAGGGTGAGGAATAAAAGACTATAAATTGGGTTCAGTGTACACTACTCGGGTGACAGGTGCACCAAAATCTCACAAATCACTACTAAAGAACTTACTCATGACCAAATACCACCTGTGCCCCAAAACCCTATGAAAATTAAACATAAAAAAAAAAACTCCATAAAAAGAAATAAACTCAATAAAAAACGAGCAATGATGTGAACACACACTTCACCAAAGAAAATACACAGGTGCAAATAAACACATGAAAAGATGCTCAACATTACTAGGGAAATGGAAATTAAAATGACAATGATCAATTATGTTTCTATTTTCTAAATTCAATTAAATGATCAATTTTCATGAACAAACTTGAGGAATAAATGAGTCAATACCATTTGCTGAGTTTCATTATTCTGGTCCTCCGTACTTTCAGCCAGGAACTGAGTCAATTTTCTCCATAGTTGATGAAGCTCTTGGTTGTCTGCACCTTCTTCCTGCCGTGTTTTTATCAACTTGTGCCATGTTCGAGCCACCTATTAAAGAAGGAGATTTTAAAGTATTTTGTCCAAAATGTAAAAATGGCAATAAACATGTAAAATCTGCAAATAAAAACATTTTTATCTATTAATATATAAAAATCGCAAAAGCATAGAATCCCATCTATTTTTATTTTATTTTATTTTATTTTATTTTATTTTATTTTTTTGAGATGGAGTTTCGCTCCTGTTGCCCAGGCTGGAGTGCAATGACACAATCTCGGCTTACCATAACCTCCACCTCCTGGGTTGAAGCAATTCTCCTGCCTCAGCCTCCTGAGTAGCTGGGATTACAGGCATGCACCACCATGCCCAGCTAATTTTGTACTTTTAGTAGAGACAGGGTTTCTCCATGTTGGTCTGACTGGTCTCGAACTCCCGACCTCAGGTGATCTGCCTGCCTCAGCCTCCCAAAGTGCTGGGATTACAGGTGTGAGTCACTGCGCCCAGCCCATCTATTAGTAAAAGAAGTCAGAAAATCATTCACCAACCTCTAGGTGTTTCTTTTCTTGGTAATATAGATCCACAAGTTTCTTGCAGACATCACACCACTTCTGTTTGTCAACACTTAGAACAAAACAAAACACATACACACAAAAGGATTTTTGAATCTGATTGATAAAAATAACCAAGGACTTAAAACACTAAAATTTAAGTATTCCAATAATAATTTCAGGTACTATTTTAAATTAGAACATATCTTCTTTCATACTACAGTAAAATTTTCTAAAATGAGCTCCTCATAAAAAAGAAAAGGTCTAAGAAGTATTATCTTCTATTATATTGACTGAAAATAATATCAAAGTTCCAAAATTAGTCAGTCCTCTTACCAGTAGTGTTTTGATTCTACTTCAATCACAAAAGATTCTGTGACAAATGTTTGAAAGAAAAAAGCCTCCCAATTCCCAGTAAATGTTGGAATACTTCTATATGAATTTTAATCAGTTTATTAAAATTCAAGCTTTGAAAGAAACTGGCCTTTCCTCATACATTTCTTACCTTTCATAAAGATCCAGGAGCTTTTGGTAAACACCAGGTAAGTCATCCTTAGCATTTATGTGATTATATTTCTCATACAAGTTTGCTAACCCCTAAAAGAAGAAGTACTCATGATTATTCTTTTTCCTAAAACATTTGCTGTTCTCACATTCATTTATTTGGCCAAATAATATGATAATCTATAAAGATTATTTATGAAAAAGATTATAATTTACAAATGAAATGATCTGTCTGGGATTTGCCTCTAAATATAATAACTGGGGGTCTGAGGGCACAGGTAAAGTGGATATTGTTGAGTATGGGTGACAGGAATAAAGAGGGATACCATTCCCTTTTCTTTTGAAAATTGAATTGAAGTGCTTCACAATAATAAATACTTTTAATGGCTATTTTACAATCTTCCCATCTAAGATTACTATAAGACACTATTTTTTTTTAATTTCAGCATATGTTTTAAAGTGTTTTATTGCAATATCATTGACATATAAAAATTATTTATTTTTAAGGTATACAACTTGATATTTTGATATATGTATTCACTGTGAAATGACAACCATAATCAAGCTAACTAGCATAACCATGCTACGTAATAGCATTACCATTGGTGGAGAGGGTGAGGGAGGTGAGAAGATTTAATTTTAAGATCTATGTGACAATACTTTTATATGATATAACCAAACAAAAAAAAAAATCAGGTAGTCTGTGAAAATTGTCATTTTTGCTTTAAAGAAGGATCAGATATCCTAAACCACTCAGTCCATTATAAAAACATCAATTTCTCTAAGTGTGTTACCAGATATCCTCAAGTTCTTATTCACATGAACCTAAGACAAACAGGTTCCTACTCTCCAGGGCCTACAACATTAAATTCATCAGTTTCAAAGGTGTGATTGAGATACCAAACAAAGTTATTAAATGGGAAAAAGTTGGAGAATCTAAGTAAAAACATTAAGGCCACTAAGTAAGAAAAAAGAATTTAACTTGCATTCAAAGATAGAAACATTAAACATTTTTATATTATTTTATTTTTCGGAAACATTAAAAAAACATTTCTTTTTCCTCAGGTAAGCATAAAGAATGATATTATGGCCAAGTCTTTTATATGCACATATAACTAAAGTAGAGATTTATATTTGAGTGCTCACATTTGAAATAATCTATTAGGTAGGATGTTAAATAGTGTTAAACAACATCCTTCGCACCACTTTTTTTCTAAACTAACTTTTAGGTTTAGAAAACCAATAAATTTAAATTTTTTCTTACATGGGGCAAATGTAGGTTTAAATGCTTAGTTTAGTGTTGAAACCTGTATTTTGAAAAATGTAAAAAAAAAAAAAAATTCCATTCCCATAATACAGAAAAAAAATTTTTTTCTACATACCTGCCAAGCTAATAATTGGTCTGGCTCTAATTCAGCAGCTTTCTTATAGGCACTCTGGGCCTGATCAGGTTGTTCTAGTTCAGCTGCAGCAACACCAATAAAAACCCAGGCATTATAGTTATTTTTCTCTTGTTTTAACACTGTCTGATTTTAAAAAAAAAATAAAAGAGCAAGTCAGTAAATTTTGGAAGCAAATGAACTAACAATAACAGAAAGTCTACTTATGAGTTAGGAAATCCGTATCTACCACTAACAGGGCAAACTTCAGAATGCCATTTAACCTATCTGGTTTCAGTTTCCTCAGGGGAAGGAGCTGGACTGTATGAGTGACCATAATGGCTTTGAAATAACAGGTGGTTTTTTTTAAAGCTGCCCAAGTCATACTGACACCTCCACCAAATGCCTCCCCATGCTCTTTGACAATACTGGGTATAAAAAGAACAGTAACTACTCAGTCATCCTGCCTGTCTCCATACTGCTACTGGTCAAACTCACAAAACTGTTCTCCATCTCATTTCACTTAATCATATTCCATCTCATTTCACTTCATTTCCTTCACCATGATAGTTTCCCCATATTAGACACATGGATTTTTCTCGAGGTTATAGACTAGGAAAGTAGATTCACCCCGATGTGACTATACCAAATATGTTCAAAACAAATAGTGGCAATGAATGTTTACATTCATTGCAACACATGCCACCTGGAATAAAAATTATATGTAGAGATAATTGCTTTCAGAAATAACAACTACTTGCTAAGGTAAAATAAAATAGCTTGAAGCAGTTAGCAAGTATATTCTAGGGAAAGAAAAACAAAACCAGTAGCTAAAATGAAATTAAATTCTTAAGGTTTTACATTATTCTAGAGAAAATAAGAATATTTCCATGAGTTAAGCCAGTCATATTATTTGACTTGAGTGCATCCACATAACACTTCTAATAATCTGTCCCTAATATGCAGTACAAGTTCCATTCTATCTGTGAACACACTGATTACACAAATTGGGTCATTCTTGTCACCTGACTAAGTCAGAGTAAAGGGAACACCGGGGAAAAAGGCACTCAGGCCTCATAGCACCTGCTCCAAGATTTAAATTTTCCAAAAGCCCAGCTGCGGAGAGGGCCTACTGTAACCCTAAGATTAGTTTTCCCCAGTAGCTGCCATGACTCTAAGTCTAGTTTTACCTACCATCCTCACTCACCAATCAGAGCCTGCCAGCTCCCAAAAGCTTCTCTAGTACCAGTGAGCTTTCTTTCAAAATAATACACAACATTTTTCTTTCCAATAAAATGGCCAACCTTCTCTTTGTTCTTCAGACATACAAAAGACCACTTAGCCTGTGTGCATATGCCCGAAATTGCAATTCTTGCTTCCCAAAATAAAATTCAATTTAAATATTCGTGTCTCTATTTATTTTGACTTCAACATAATAATGCTGCCTCCTAACAAACCACAACAATGATGCAACTACCAAAGTTAAGCTCTAAACACTGGCGCCTTATTAATGCTTATGTTCCCAACACCAGCTACAATGGCTGGCACTTAACTGCTGAACAAAATGCAATAGTCAACCAGCAGTTAGTTAAATACCGACTATCTGCCTCATGACCAGATTCTTTTCAGAATCTGAAATGGATGTTTAAGAAAATAATTATCGGCTGGGCGCAGTGGCTCACGCCTGTAATCCCAGCACTTCAGGAGGCCGAGGTGGGCGGATCACCAGGTCAGGAGATGGAAACCATCCTGGCTAACATGGTGAAACCCAGTCTCCACTAAAAATATAAAAAATTTGCCAGGTGTGGTGTTGGGCGCCTGCAGTCCCAGCTAGTCGGGAGGCTGGGGCGTGAACCCGGGAGGCGGAGCTTGCAGTGAGCCGAGATCGCGCCACTGCACTCCATCCAGCCTCGGCCACAGAGTGAGACTCCGTCTCAAAAAATAAAAATAAAAAAAAAAAAATTATCACCAATGTGGTGAAAGCAGGTATGAGATTCTGAAAGAACACAGAGAAAAAAGTACGGAACTCTGCACAAACTGGAGAAGGCTTCCCTGAAGAGACACTCATATCATGTGATAAAGAGCCAAAGGCAGACAAGGTGACGATCAGACAAACCCACAGCAAATGCAACATTCCTTTACTCAAAAATGCATTCAGTCTCAACCAATATTCTGGGTTACTGCACATTAGTAATCAGGCATTTAGAACTGATCAGCTATCCATCTGCATTTTCTAATTGGGTCTCTCTAGTATAAATTATTAACTATTTGGTGTAATTCGTATCTGAATTTTGCAGAAAGCCTACAGAAAGAAGACAACTATGGTGGTGCTGTATATAATAACTGAAACATGCATCAATTAGATAAATCTAGTGCTGGAGGAAACAGTCTTTCTTCCCTTCTTGTACTCCATCCACAACCTGTCCCCACTTGGAACACACGGCCTTCCTTCTTCTAAATCAAGATGAATACTATCATGGCCTTGCATCCCTGCTAGGCTCCATCAGTCACCACCAGAAACCTAAACCTCACAAGGGTATCCTTTATCTGTTTACTCCTTAGACCCATCCTCATATTGCCATATATACCCCCCAGTCTTGCCCAATTCCCTCCCTACCACTCTCCTAAATTCTTCATTGTGCCCTCTGAAACTCCCAATCTGGATCAGCCAAGTTCCCTCCATATTTTTAACCTTTCTTTTAACCACACCAAGTTCTGCCTCAAAGAAAACATGGCTAATTCCCCTATAGATTCTACAGATTGCAGCTGACTTCTTTTACAGCTCACATGCCACAGGCCTACGAGGTGAGAAGCGGCTTCTCCTTGCTCACACTGTCACCTACAGTCCTCTTCTGCTCCTTCCTCCTTCAGCAACCCCACTGCCTTTGAAGCTCAGGCCATCCAACTATACTACTAAAAACAGCCTTCTTGTTGCTACAGTCTACCAACTTCCTAACTCCCCTTTCCTTCAGTGAAAATTCTGTATCCTTCTTTTCCACCTCAGTGCCTGTATTCATTCCAACCTTCATGTTGATGTCCCATTGAACACTCTGGCCTCTCAGTTACGTGACCTCCACGCTACTCACCCATCCAAAATCTGAATTTCCAGCACAGTACTCATCTGCTCCTCTCCTACCGTCCCAGTTCAATTACTGTACTGGACCCATGGTAACAAATCTTTAACCTTGGATTTCTCTAATTTTTTCTATCCTAACCCCTTTTTCCATTGCCTATCAGCCCACTTCTCATTTCTCATTCCACCTTACCCAGCTTAGACTCCAGGACTCACCACTGTCATCAATCCCTTGTCATCACAACCTCAACTCCTTTGCATGTCTTTCCTCTCATCTTTCTCTCCATCCACACTTGAACCCCATCATGCCCATCTCCAAACCTGGGAAGCTGAATACGAAGAGAGAAAACTACAGCAGAGTTCATTAATTTCACCTTAATAGCTCGAAACTTCAAATGAGCAATCACTAGGGCCTGCTAATCTTTCCAGTCCTTACTAGCATGTTTGTTTTCCCACCATGAAAAAAAAAAAAAGAAGCTATTTCATACCTTCTTTTATCTCAAACCTCCTAACCAAGTCTTCTCCCAGTCTCATCTTATACTTCGCCAAGAAAATAGAAGCCATTCGAGAAGAAAGCTTTTCCCATCACCAAATCTACAAGCCCAACACTGTATGATGGGCACCTATCTTCTCTCCTGCTAAGATGGAAGAAGGATTAAAGGGCTCCCTCAAGCTCTGGATCCCAGAGTGTCTCTCACCTACTGATGACTTCACTCCTACCACTACCCTCTGTCTCTCCCCTGAGTCCAATTTCTCCCTCTGAATGGAAACATTTCCATCAACATAAAAATAAGCTTTATAATCTTGATTCTCTCATCCATAAACCAAATAGAAAAAGAACACTAACATGCCATTAAAAAATGAAAACTTTAAGATACAGTAGCATTCCACGATACAACCATCAAAAGACATTTATGGGATATTCAGGTTTTCAGAACTTGGTTTTGGTAAGTTACCAATACAGAGAAAATTAAGTTTGGCAGAGGTAGTTTATCCTGCTAATGGGAAGCTAAATGTCTAACCATTCTAATGGTTCTACTAAATGGCCTTACCCCTTTTGTTGTTTGGACAGTAAATAATTCACATATTACAAATCAACAATGTTTATAAACGGGTAACATACTTTTATTGTGGAAGAAAAGAATACTGGTTACCTTACAGTGTTTCAAAGCTTCTTTGTATTCTTTGTTTCTGATTGCATCTCTAGCACTTTTTAGAGCAGTCTTCACTTCCTTGCTGGACATTCTGTCAAGGCAGAAAGCCTGAGTGAATTTACAGTAATACCTACCCACCAGTAAAGGTTCCAACAAACTTAGTCATCTGGAAAGGGAACCTGGAAAGAGAAAAGACTCCTTCTATCTGGAACAGTCTTCCCTCTAGCATATACACAGTTTATTCCTTAACCTCTTCAGATTTGTACTCAAATGTCATTTCCTCAATGAAACCCTCCCCCTACATGCTATTTTAACATTTTAATCTTGCCATCCCCCTACTCTCAACAACCCAGTATTTCCTGAACCCCTTTCATTGCTTTATTTTTCTTGAAAGCATCTGTCACATTTAATATACTATATATTCTACTTATTTATCCTATTTATTTTCTGGGTCCCAACCCCCACAAGAATGTAAGTTCTATGCAGGCAAGAATTTTTTTTTTCACTGCCGCATCCATAGAACCTAGTATCTTACAAATTACAGATGATCAATTAATAAGTGTTGAAATTGAGTTATATTTTATTTATATCCATTCTCCATATATTTTGGCTAAAATACAAATGATCTTGTTGATCAGAACTCAAAATACATACCAATCTCAATCCAACTCTCCCACTCTATACAAAGTAAGATCCAGTAGAATAAGCCCAAGTCACAGATCAAACACCAACACAAATAATTTCAGTGACTGTGATACGAAAGTTTAAGAAAGCATTGTTTTAATGCTAGTTTCTGTGAAACATAAATCAGGATATTAACTTTCTTCATAATAAGGATTACTGTAAGATTATTACCCATACTTTCTCTAAAGAAAAACAATGTTTAAACTTGAATGGAAGCAATGGATAATGCAAAAGAGTTGTACATTAATTTCAGTCATAAGAAGATATTTTAATTAGTAGATAATTTCTTCATTTAATCTTAAGATATATTAATTTTAAATAAATTAGCATATTTTAAGATTTCACAACTTATTCTGGCTTACCTGTAAACAAGTCTAATTCAATCATAATTCAATGTTGAAAAAAAGAAACATTTGTATTTTCTGTCAGTTCCTCTAATCTCATAGAAAGGTAAAACAAAGCTGGGGTAAATATTAAGTATTTATAGGTTTCAGCTGCTCAAGGGAGTAAAATGTACCAAAAAGATGAATCACTGACATGGTAAACTGACAGTCCTTTATATCCAAAGAAGAAGCTAACACAGAAGTATGAGACCAAAGAAGTTTGAGAAGTTAGATATATATTTTTTAATCTTTTTGACTTAAAAAATGTTAGGATTCAAAATAATAGAAAAATTAAGATACCATAAAATCAATTTATCTACAGCTAGAACCAGATTTCCTAAATAGGCAGATAAGTAACTTTTTTGCCGAGTTACAATAATTATATAATTTAAAGCACCATATTTCATATGTTCTTGATTTAGAAACTACTACCTTATCTGAAATTATCTTGGTATATATTTACAGGTGAAACCTTCAGAACTTTTTTTGTAGTTTGCAAATCTTGATTGGAGTAGGTAACAAATTTCAATGCTGATTTCACAATTTTCTCAAACCAGTTTCCTTTGGTTAAAAAAAACCCTGCAGACTAAAAAGAAGAAAATAACATCAAGGATGATGACAACTGATCTAGACCAATAAAAAGAGACAAAAAGAGGTACTCAAGTAAAAAAAATCAAAAGATGTCCAAGCTGAAAAGGAACAAAAACAGTCTCAAATTAAAAACAAACAGAAGACCACAACCATTACATAAGGAGGAAGTTCACCATCTCTTCTATCACCCAACATTCAAGAGGGCACGTATACAAACAAGGTAGAACCAACCACTACTAAACTACATGCAGCCCCAAGCTATTTGCTATGCATGATATAAAAAATATATAAAGAATATAATCTAAATCAAGAGAAAGACCTAAGACATATAAGTCATTCAGTAATCAAATGCTAAACTAAGGGTAATGAGTGGAAGTGCAATAGGAATTTAGAGGAGGAAAGGTGTGTGGCGTGATGTTATTAACAGCTATTATTAATAGAAGAAGACAAGACTTAAGAATGGAGGGAAGAAGGAAAATTGCTCTACTCAGAGGCAAATGCATTAGCAAAGTGAGAGAAGTGAGAATGAGTTGTGATAAGTATAGGAAACAGTGAGAAAGCCATGCTGAATGGATCAGAAGGGACTTATTAAAGAAGAGAAGAAAATTAGGTTGGATAGGTCAAACAGAGCCTCAGATTACAGATCCTGAAAGTCAAAAAGACAAGTATGAACTAAAATACAGCAGCAAATAGGAAGCCATTAGGAATTTTTAAGTAGGTTGTTTCTAAAGACCACTATATAGAAACAAATACCATTTTTCTCTTGGTAATCAATTCTATTATTAAATATCCTTCGGTATCTGTGTGTCTCCATATGTAATTACAATTCTTCATGCTACAATGGAATCCTCTATTCTTCTCTTCCAATTCCTTCTTCATTTGATGCAACATTTAACATAATACGCTAGCACTGAGGTCCTCTCTCACTCATGCATACACACATATATGTATGTACGTAAGTTTCAGAAGGTTAATTTCTAAAAAGACAAAATAATCTGCCCCTTTTCAACCCTAAAAGCTACTTCCTTCTTTTTTTGGGAGGGGTGGGGTGGAAGGGAAAGGTCCATTCACCAACTTTCTAAACAAACCCTTATTGAGATCCAACCACCCACTAGGTACCACTTAAACTCATTTTCCTTCCAAGGGTAAAAACCTACTACCCGAAATGATTCCCTGTAACCCCATACTCCTCTATTTTGGATATTTCCCTTGATTCTAAGGATTTCTAACATTTCAAAGAAACACCTAGCTCTCTTGCAAGAGAGGGAGATGTCTTTAACATTCTTCCACAACACAACTCCCTATTAATTCTTCCCTCTTATACCTCTCCTCCCACTTTTCTTCTCAATCTCAACTGACTTTTTTTAAACAAGAGTATTCATTTTGTACGTTTTCACTCAATTTTTTCTATTACCAACCCAAAATATATATATATTTTTTTGAGATGGGAGTCTCGCTCTGTCCCCCAGGCTGGAGTGCAGTGGCGCGATCTGGCTCACTGCAAGCTCCGCCTCCCAGGTTTACGCCATTCTCCTGCCTCAGCCTCCAGAGTAGCTGGGACTACAGGCGCCCGCCACCGCGCCCAGCTAATTTTTTGTATTTTTAGTAGAGACGAGGTTTTACCGTGGTCTCGATCTCCTGACCTTGTGATCCGCCCGCCTCGGCCTCACAAAGTGCTGGGATTACAGGCGTGAGCCACCGCGCCAGGCCAACCCAAAATATTTTTATCCGACATAAATCAAGTATAAAAAGTGGCAACAATGGCACTTAAAAAGAGTTAGAAAGTGACAGTCATGCCATAAAGGCAATGATATTCCTCAAAGACAACATATATAGGTAAGTGAACTGATATGTCCTACTGTCCCCAGTTGAGGCTATGAAACCTTAAATAATATTCCAATATGCTCATATAAAGATTCCACAAAGCTAAAACAACAATAACAATAAATAGTAATGATAATGATAATGGAAGCTAATTACAGAAAGGAAAAAAATGATACCTTTAAATCTAATAACAAAAGGTATTTTGTGATGACCCATAGTCTGACATTAAAAAAAAAACAAAAACCTATGCCATTAAATCTTTCTTCTGAAAGGAATGAGTAAAAACAATCATGAAGTAAAAATAGATTCCAATTTATTATTTAGCATTCTAGACACTTACCTTTCACCTATTATTACTACCTCTATATTCTTCCCGAATTGAATTTCAGATTGTTCCTTAGCCATTTTCCATCTAAATTAAATAAAAACAAGTATGAGACAGTCATATAAAAAGGATGACACCCACAACCCAAAACCTTCTAAACTTTTTAAAGCATCAGATTCAATTTTCATAATTCATAATTTAAAACATGAGAAATAATTATGTACGATTTTTAGTATTTGTATTCTTTCCCAGAGAGACACTAATCTTAATCTCCAAATTTCTAAATTTGTCTAAACTATATTCCTAGGGTCTCAGATGATAAAAGGAAACTTCTATAAGAGATCAGAAGGATTTTGAAAAATCATTTCAGAAACCCAAAATACACTGATGTCAATATAAAAAATGGAGCCAAAAAAGAGTATCTACTATTTCTGTGCCATTTTTGCTTTGAATCAAGGACATCTACAGACAACTAAGGGTACTTATTTACACCCAATTTGCAGCCTAATTATATTAGAATAGAACTTTGTTCTAAGGAACACAAGGAGTATAATATAATACAATTATATTAGTTCGTAATCTAATGAAAACAGAAAAATTTTTAATGTTAATAATGCATGTAAATAGTCATTAAAAATAGTAACACAACTAACTACACATCTACAAGTTCTAAGAATATTTTGATAGCATCCCTGAAGTAGCTTCTGTCAAACAAAAAATAATCTAGAATGGTCCTTGGAGAGAATGGAGGTGGTTTTGAAAAGTTGAATAAAGTGAAAAAAACATGCTACTTCAGAACTAGGAAGTAAACAATGTTTAGGTGAGGCAGGTAGGGATGAACAAGGAATGAAAAGTTTCCCTAACCAAAACACTCATTAGTGATCTACCTAAATAGAAGTATAAGTTCAACAGTAAAAAGTCTTACTGGTAAGAAAAGAAAGTATAGTAATCCAAACAATGTTTAGGAAAGTAAGATAATAGTTAAAAAAGAAAAAAAAAGTACCAACCTGACTATTTCACTGGCTTCTTTAGCCCTGGTAACACTTGGCTGCCCTCCTCATCCAATCTAGTTTTAATTTATCACTCAGTCACTTCAGCTCTGTTCTTACAAAATACCCTAGATCCTGTCAGCCCCGTTACTCTGTCATATCCACCCACCAAGGCTTACCCTAGTTGAGAGTGAGCTTAGGAAATCAAATAGATCTAGGATCAAAGCCATTAAGCCTTGGGTACCTGACTTCATTACTCAAAGCCCATTTCCTCACTGGTAAAGTAAGAATTGCATCACTTACCTGACATAAACATAGATGGAGTACTTGGACATAATCTATACTAATAATGTCCTATCTACTGTTATTCGCTCAATCAACTTCACTACTTGCCATTCCTAAAACAACTAGTGTGATAACTCAGTTACAAATTTTCTCTACACATTCAAAATCCCCAACCCTCTCTGCAACCTCCTTCTTCCTTGCTCTCTCAAGAAGTAAACTTCTTACCTATACAAATGACCCCTGACTTACAAATGGCTGAACTTACAATTTTTTGACTTTAGGATGTGCTTATCAGGATATTAAATGCATTCTGACTTACAATATTTTCAAGTTAAAATGGGTTTATCGTGGTGTAACCCCATCATAAGTCAAGAAGCATCTGTATTCCTCAAAAGACAGCTATCATCAAACATGAGTATCCTCTTCAAATTAGTTACTACACTACATGAATACTAGAGTACAGCCTACAACAGGGATCACTTCCTCCTCCAAACCACTTATTAACTGAGCTACTCAACTGCAACTTAACAAATATTATTTTTATTATCTTATATAGACATAACCTGTCTCCCAATTCAATAAATTCTTAGATGTAGGTCTTATATTTTCAGAGCTTCTTAGATACCCAACACTTACTGAATAATACATATTCAATAAAGAGCTAATGATCTTCCAGCTTCCAAAGCTTACCAGTGTTAACAAAAAACTGAGTGACTGAGGGAAGTGTCTCAATCAGTAGAGGTTTATCGAGTCACACTTTGAGGACGCTCCTGGGGAAAAACAAGACCACAGAAGCATCTGTGACCCGCACTTTCCAAAGAGGGCTTTGGGAACTCAGTATTCTAGGGGAGAGCACACAGGAGTGAAAAACGGTGGGAGGGAAGTAGGCAGTGAGGCAAATGGTTACATTCTCCTGAGTACCTTTTCTGATAGCATAGTTACTGATTAGCAAAAATGTTATATGTTCACAAAAGAGTAATCAAAACAATGAGGGAACCTGAAATTATGAGAACTAGCTGAAGAAACTGGGGACTAGGAAAAAAATAAATGGTGGAGAGGGAGTGAGGGGAAGGACTGTTGAAAGGGAGAGATTATCCATGTAAAAGTGAAGAAAAATGAACTAATGAATGGTTAAAAATAGAGGAAGATTAACTTCAACTTAAAATAGGAACTTTTAATGAGACCTATTTAAATGTGGAATGAGGCGTTCAGTGGAAGTGCTTCCCATCGCTGGAGATGAAAAAGCACAGGCTGAACAATCCACTCAGCAGGAATGATTTAGGATAAACTGAATGTCAGATGGGAAGTAGGACTAGAAGCCTCTTAGATTCTTCCAGCACAATGTCTCTAAGGCTCTAAAATATCTGTCTTGCTCCAAATCACTGCAGCACCTGCTCCTATTGACACTGCCAAGAGGAGAAAGAAGAAAAAGATGTATTCTTGTAATTCTGTCATCAGAGTGCATATCCTGTGGAAACAAGGCTGTAGAGAGTAAGTACAGTTTATGGAATCAGACACAAAATTAAATATAACTTTTATGAATTCAAATGTCAGTCAATATTGTCACCATGGTAGAAAATACATCCTACATTCCAAATTAACTCAAAACAAATTTGTGTTTATGAGGGAGTCCACTTGTATCACCTTCCACGCTGTATTATTATTTCATGTATGCTAGGTTTTGCTTCCCTGAAGTCTCACCTCGTGTAAACCGAGACTATTGTTTAGGTTTTTTTTTTTGTTTTTTTTTTTTTTTTTTTTTGAGACAGAGTTTTGCTCTTGTTGCCCAGGCTAGAGTGCATTGGTGTGATCTCGGCTCACTGCAACCTCCGCCTTCTGGGTTCAAGCGATTCTCCTGCCTCAGCCTCCCGAGTAGCTGGGATTACAGGCGCCCGCCACCACGCCCGGTATTTTGTGTATTTTTTGTAAAGACGGGGTTTCACCATGTTGGCCAGGCTGGTCTCAAACTCCTGACCTTAGGTGATCCGTCCGTCTCGGCCTTCCAAAGTGCTGGGATTACAGGCGTGAGCCACCGCGCCCAATACTGTTTACATTTTTGCGTGACCCGCAGATCTTTATCACGCTGCTTGAGTAACAATTCTGCTACACTAACAGATAAACTCAGTAGACTGTCAAGAAATTTTGTAATTAACTGCAGACAGAGCATTTAGTGAGTTACGGCACAGACTCTTCAATTTTCAGTCGTGCTCTGACTGGCTCCCTGTGTAAACTTAGGTCAGTCATTTAACCTCTCTAAGCCTGTTTTCCTATCTGCAATATGGTGAAAGTGAGGATCATGGAAAATATTCCATATAAAAGTACCTGGCATGCAGTAGATGCTCAGTAAATGCTTAGTGTAACGCTCAGCACCTAAGTGTCATGTGAGTATTAAATAAATCTGTTCCTTATTACAATTATCTTATGCAAAAAAAAAACCTGCCAGATACTAGCATTCAGTTGAATTATGTTAAGTAAGTAGTACAACTCCTCGTTTTACTGTCAGAATATTAAAACTACTAGCGTGATGTGCAAATTATATACTCGAAACTAGATACTGAAATTGGAATTTGGCTTTGGGACAGAAATCTTCCAGAACTCTCCAAAGGAATTCAACAGTCAAAAGAGATCGGTTTTTATTCTGCAGCAAAACAATGATATTCTGAACCTACGCCAACTAACTGAATACGTCGCAGAGCCCATTTCCCCCGCCAGTTTCCCTTGTCTCCTTTGCTCTCTGAAGGCAAGGAACAGCTATGCTTTCCCCCGCCTACAGCCTGAAACTTCTTACTAGGCCCCGCTCCTCGTCCCATGAGAGCACAGTAAATCCTGACTGCACAGGGTAAGAGAAGCTATAAGATGAGACAGACTAGAGATTTCCCTGGGAAGGTATTCGAGGGGCTCTAAGGTATTCACGGCGCACCTGAGGCGGTCCACCCAGAGGCCCCACAAGGAACCGCCCTATTGAACTTACGTGACAGCCGCGCCGCCACCTCATCGCCGCCCAGTTCACGCTCTCGCCGAACACTCAGTCACGCTTGCGCGGCCCAAAACGAAGAGCCCCAGCCCCGATCCTTTCTTTCGCTAAGTACCATTTCAATCGCCTTTATGATCCCTTGTGCAAAAGCGACAGAGATCCGAACCCACCTGGGACAGATGCTCCTCTTCTACAAACGCCGAGTCTGCAATGAGAGCGCATGCGCCTTTCCCAGGAATCATTCACGTGACTGGAAATGGTTGGGTTCTGATTTGCTCGGTATTTGATTAAAAAGCCTTAATGTGGGTAAAAGCTGGGATTTCTCTGTTGCGCATGTGCGCGCTCTCAGCCTGATGGGAGTTGTAGTTCTGCGGGTGAAGCCCGACGTTACTATCAAGAAACCAAACTGCAAGCTCTGGGAGTTGTTCGCTGTCCCTACCCTGCTCTGCCAGGGAGAGAACGCCAGAGGGAGGCGGCTGGCCCGGCGACAGGCTCTCAAAACCGCTACCAGCGATGCTACTGCTGTGGGTGTCGCTGGTCGCAGTCTCGGCGCTAGCGGTACAGGCCCCCGGAGCAGGGGAGCAGAGGCGGGGAGCAGCCAAAGTGCCCAACGTGGTGCTGGTCGTAAGCGACTCCTTTGTAAGTACTGCGAGGCAGGGGAGGGGCCCCCGCTAGGGACCGGAGACCTCCCCGCCGCCGCCTGTGCTGCAAGCTTTGGGTAGCAGAACCTGAGACATTTTCAAACACCTTTCACCCCGATGCAAAGAAATAAATACATTTTATGTGAGGCCCCGTGTACTCACAAGCACACCACATACCTATGCAGGCATGTAAAACAATAGTGAAATACTGAAAACATCTTTGCAGATTTTTTTTTTTTTAAATACTGACCTCGATTCGCTAAATTATTTTACCACTACTAATGAACTTTCAGTCCATACCCCGGTTTGGTTTAATTGTGTGGTAAAATAACATTCTGCATCTCCATAAAAGCGTGTTAGCTTTCCAAAAGTCATTTCCCAGTTCACCTCAAGTTTGCAGGAATTCATGTTTGGGTGAGAGGTGAAGAAAGTTTATTTTTATTATCCAGGTTTGTGATAATCCTGTTAGTGCTGATTCAAATGGAGTCGTTGGTATAACTTGATTCACTCCCCCGTATTCCAGAAAAATTTTGCGTGTGTGTGTGTTGGTAATGTGGCCGAATCCCAAACTTAAACAGTTTCTGAAACTTTCCCAAGCCAAAGGTGCTACTGTCAACCTTACCGAAGCTTTTAGGATGATACATGTTTTAAAAAGTGCTGCTTAGACAATTGTTTGGTTATTAATTGTAATATTAGTTTATTATCACTCGGTGTTACTGTGGTCACACAGAGGTTGGTGTTAAGCATATCTGGCACTAAAGAGTGTTTGCAATCATATGTTGTATTCCTTTTCTCATAGATTAACCCGTGATGATTAAAATTGCATAGTCTGGATGTGCCCATGAGATTTTTTGAAAATATTAAAGTTATCTTTGTGATTTAAACTTAGAGAATGGGCGGTACTGGAAATTGACTAGATGGCATTTTATTACAGAGTGATCTTGTAATCAAAGACAAATGAAGGAAGCAGGATTGTGCAGAGGAGAAGCTGAATTTTGTTGCTATCTTATTATGACAGTTCTCAAAACTAATATGGTGCTTCAGAGCTGCTTTCCAGTTGGAGTGAGGGGAACAGACCTTTCTACCTGCATGTTGGATGGCCACTGATTGTGGACTGCTCCTAGAATGGGGCATGATGTTGGGCAAAGCAGCTGTCTTCAGCAGAGGCAATTGTTCATTCCTAAAAGGGAATTCGGATGTGGATCACAACATCCCAGAAACTTCCAAAGATGAGTGAGATATTTAGGTTTGTTACTTCTTTAGTATAGTATGAATGCATAGATTTTTCTATATTTGCTTACATTTTTGGCATTCACATACTTGTTAGTATTCAAAGTGTCCTATCTTTGGCCAGTGGAAGCCCCTTCAGGTGGTTCTGAGTCCTTTTGACCCATCCCCATTAATATTTGACAGCTTGCTTTAACAGAGTTCAGTGTCCACAATGCGTATTTCCCGCCCCATCTTGTATTTAGAGATCACAATCTGAGTGTTAGGGTTTTCATTGCATCTAGACCTTTCCAGTGGACAAATCTAGAAAGTACATGTATTTTAGAAAGAGAAAAATAAATTGTGAGATTATACTGATACTTTCCATTCAAATTTATGAGTTCATTCTTTAATTTTTATACTTATATCTTTTTTGTCTTATGCCAAATATTTTGGTCTAAACACATTAATACAATTACTTATTTGCTTTTTCCAAACATATAATATGTATATATCAATGTGTTTGAAAATAAGACAGTAATATTACTAGAAATAATGCTAGTCCTGAGTGGAGCTTACAGTTTCTTTGAAGTTTTTGTTTTAGGTGTATTCAACTATATAGTAAAAAGATTGGTCTTTAAACTTAAAATAATTCCTCTGTCTATGATTATACCAGTTTGGTATGCTGTTAGATTCTTGACACTGATTTATCATTTCTAAAACTCTACAGGCTAAGATAGAGCAGTTGAACTGATAATAATTGTAGGAAGAAGATAGCACATTTGTTTTACATTCAGGATAACAACGCAAGAGCTTTGCAGACCGACTCCCAAGAAAACAAGCAAAACAAATGAAAACACTTTATACATAAAAACTATTAAATATTTGAAACATTTAAAGTATCTGGAAATTGTCCTAAGGGCATACACCAAATGAAGAAACATTTATTCAAGAAAATCCACTAAAACTTGGTAAGAACAGCAAGAAGAGTCTGTGGCAGTGAACTATGGCTTTGACAGAGGTTTCACTCACGTGGGTGTGGCCAAGAAGATAAGACTCCTCCCCACAGCTCCCAATGACTGGTTATCATATCTCACTAGAAGGGACAGGCTGTGAGGATTTCTCATCTTCTCCTAATCCAAGTTGGAGAGGTTAAATTCCTAATGAATGCAGCTGATAAGTTGAGGGCTCCCTTACTTCAGTCAGCCCCCACTTACAGGACAGAGGCTTTATGCCAGGTGTGGAAGCTTGAGAATACTAGGACCCTCATTGCCCTGGCCCTAGCTCTGAGGTAGGACAGAGGTTCCATACCAGGAGAGACAAGCTGAGAAGACCAAACAAGCTTCTGCAAAGCAAGCAGAATGGAGGAAATAATAAGGATTAGAGCAGAAATTAAGGAAACAGAGGATGGAAAAATAGTAGAGAAAATCAATGAGACAAAAAATTGGTTCTTAGACAAAATCAGCAAAATTGACAAACTAGCTACGCTGAACAAGAAAAAAGACAAAAGAGCTAGATTACTAAAATCATGAAAGAGAATGGATACATTACCTTAAGAAATAAAAGAATTACAAGGGAATACTTACATATAACAACTGTATATCATCAAATTAGATAACTTAAATGAAATGGACAAATTGCTAGGAAGGCAGAAACTACTGAAACTGACTCAAGAAGAAATAGGCAATCTGAATAGACCTATAAGAAGTAAAGAGAGTAAACTGGTAATTTTAAAACTACCAACAAAGAAAAGCACAGACCCAAACAGTTTCACTGATAAATTCTACCAAATACTTAAAGAATGATTAATATTAATTCTTCATCTCCTCTTCCAAAAATTAGGAGAGAACACTTCCAAACTATAAGACCAGTTTGACCAGGCGCAGTGGCTCACACCTGTAATCCCAGCACTTTGGGAGACCGAGGTGGGTGG